ATTTTCATGTGTGATCAATAATGTAAACAAAGTTAGTTTTGTTGTTTGGATTTGTAAAGAACACAGCTCATTTTGGTGTTGAATTAAATCCTATATTTTGTCATTCGTGAATTTCATTTCGTTCATATCACAAGTAAGTGAATCGTGTAAAGTGACGACGACAATTGGCGACCGTGACAGGACCTTAAGAAGAAATGACAAAATTAGAAGTTGGAGACTGGAGATTTGACAATAGAAATGCTGGGGGATCGTCTGGAACGGACAACCTTTCCCAGGGTTGAAATTGACCTGCGAATTTCTGGCCTGCTTTGCAGGGGTGGACAACCTTTCCCATCACTAATGAGGGTTCGGGATGGGACAGGTTGGCCGCCCCTACTGCCAGGATTATCACGGAGTTTGACGATAGGTGATGACAGTGGGTGCAATGGATTATATTTCTAGCATTGGCACTGCAATGCACGAGAAGATAATATTATCCCTTAAGGAATTGTTGGGGTTTACAGATTTCATTTGTGATATTTATTTATGTGATTTGAAAAAGGAAAAAGTCAGGCAAAAAGTCAAATCAATTATTATCTAAATATACTAGTAGAAACGTGAGCTATTAATGACTTTAAACAGTGTTTAAAAATATTTCGTCCCACAATAAAATATTAAGTATATTTCAAGTGTGTAACGTTCAAAACGTTTGGCTGCGCTAATGACGTTTAAAACATTAAATTAACGTAAACACAATACAGTTCTTGTATAAGTGGGAAATGAGACAATTTATCTTTATTTATTTTGTAAACACATTTTATATTAGACGTATTATTCATATTATCCTCTTTTATACGGTAGACCTAATGCCAACTATTTAGGTCTTAACAGTTTTGTAAGGGTATCATGGAAAGTTAAGAATTTTTACTGTACTTAAAATTTTAAACCTACATAAATGTAAAACCATCTGAACATACAACTAGACATTCCATCCCAAATTTTTCACCAAACGAAAAATTCCTAAAAACATCTGTTGTTTAAAAATCAAACTGAGATGAAGACTTATTGTAAGCTATAGCATCTTTTTTATCACATGAAATATATCACTACCACTTGTTTTTGTTGTACTAAGGGACATTTGTGGTTTATAGGCCGTAGCTGTACAATCTGTGAGTGGCTTAGGGCCTATTCAATTGTATTCAATTTTGTTTTTTAAAAAAATGCCACATTTGATGCGTATTGATAAAATTTTTTCTTCATTATCAACATACTCGTTATTCTGTAAAATATACATTCACGTATCCTCCATATTATACATTTTGTTAATAATTGTAGAAACACTAGTATGAATAGTAAGTTGACATAACATCTTAATATTTTAAAACATCCATGAAATCGTCATACTTATCAATTTTATCAGTGCAAAATTTTAATAACGTACCTATAATGTAGTTTTGTCATATGACATTTAAGTGGCAAATACCCGCCGCAGCATACCTGCAGAATAAGCTAATTTCCATGTGCCTCGTAGGAATTTCAATTAAATCTATTTAAATAACATTAGGATTAACAAGTACCTAGGTTTGCTGCTACAGGGAGCGTAATAAAGTGTTTTTTGTAACATATTAATATCGTAGCCTTGTTAAAAAAAAATTGCCAAGTTTGATCAAAATGTATCCATAAACAAGCAAACTACCTACATCATTTTACAATAATCTCTGTAATAATTACTTAGGAATTTTAAAAACTCAATTTTTTTATTTTCTCCGTAACCATTAACTACACAAAACACTTCAAAAACACCATAAAACACTTTGTTATGCTATATTATTTATTTTTTAAGCCCTTTAACATGGTTTAGAGAGAAATTGAGACATTTTGTGTTTTAAGGCTCAAAATAATAAAATCCTATAACTACCCCACAAAACCCGGTTCCCATGGTTTGATCATGCTGGTTCGCGAACTCATTCAAGTTTATCCCGCCTTATACCTTCAAACCAAATTTCATCAAAATCAGACAAAAATAACTCAAGTTATCGCGTTTACGGACAAATCGGTCCCGGATAGGTCTTACCATGAGACCTACAGTAATAACTACTTCCCCATAGGGAAATTCGCTAATATTGCTGGGCACTAAAGTGTGATGACCTACTACTGTAATGAAAAAGATTAGTGCGGAAAATGTGTTTATTTGGGGTTTTTTTAAGCCCTTGCATCATTAATATTAAAACAATATTTTAAGACTTTCTCTTTTGATTGGCGTATATTTTCTTCACTGTCACATCATGTGCTATGTTTGAAAGACATAGAAAATGCAACGAAAAAGTAAATTCAAAAACCTACATTCACTGATTTAATATAGGCCTACTTTACCAAGGTTTTCACGATGACTCGATTGTTAAGAAGCGCAAGGAACAAGCTAATTAAGGAAGGCAATTAATTTTCTAGTCCCTGCAACATATTGTGTTCTCCGTGTTTGATCCCGGAAACGCAAAGATATTCCTTAAAAGCTTTGTTACTTGTATTCGAAGCTTATGTTGCAGCCTATAAATATCAATTTGATGCATGCTTCAGTTAAGTACTGTTATCTTATGAGTACCTACTTTCAACCCCTGTCCCAGGTTCTACTAGTCTAGGGTCGGCAATTAAATATTTTGGCTAGGGCGGCCAACCTGTCCCTGCACTAATCCTCATGCACCCTGGGACAGGTTGGCCGCCCCCGCAGAAATATTTTACGACCGACCCTTGGCCAGGAGACCCTGGGAAAGGTTGTCCTACAATCGAAGGTGATCAGATGGGGACGGGAGATGGAACCTACGAGTGCCGTCCACGGGTAGGACGAAATCCAGTCGGTACAGCTTAGACAACCAGCGGACCCGGTGAGTATGTTACTATGAAATATTTCGGTGCAGTTAGAAACTCGATGAAAACAATAGGATATTCATTTTGCAGACATCAAAAATGAAATTTGATCCTCCATTAAAAATATTTTGGAAAATCTATCAAAATTAGAAACTAAACTAATTACTAACACCTATGAAACAGAAAAATCGGAGAAATTAATTACAATGACATCAAATTCAACAACCGGGGAAATATCTTGGAGTTAGCCGAGGACTCATGAGCCATCCCAGGAGGTATAGCCATAGAACTATAAACATGGGTATAGCCTAGAGTTCCTACGTCAGACAGAGACTTTTGAGGACTCATCGGCCTTCTCGGGAGATTCAGAAGAGATCCTGAATAGTACATAGATGGTCCAGGACTCATCAGCTATATTGGGAGGTGCAGAAGACATCCCGCGTCGGACAGTGATGGTTAAAGATTCATTAGCCATCTCGGAAGATATAGAAGAGATGCTGCAACCAACAGAGATGGTGGAGGACTCAATGTTAATAAACTGGTTCAATGTTAATATCTGTATATCGGATCGAAATATAAAATATCGATGTATACAAAAATCATCGATAATAATGAATGTTCCCTTTAACTGGAAAGTACCGACGTAAGTTAAATAGCGTTAAAGGGATAAAACAATAATTCAGGTTTACAGGTTATTTTATTTTATAAAATAAAACCATATAAAACACAAAAGATAAGTAGCTGGGTGTAGCCTTTAACGATCAACTAGAGTACGACGATCTTAATAATCGTACTTATAATCGTACTCAAAGAGTGATACATTTTAAGTTTACATGGAGATAAATGTGATATATGCCGTAATTATTAAAAGTTAAGGTGGAGATGATTTGTATTTTACGATTGGTTGCGCTATCTTTTGTATACATTTCTTACCGGAATTATTCCAGGCGTATTTTCGCCTGGCCATTTGTGGGAATAGTGTACGTACACTACTAGCTCTGAAAACGTACATCCTAGCTTATTAATATCTCAATATCTTAATAAATAATTTACTAGGAAACAAAGTAAATATAAATATAGTAAATATAGTGATAGCTTACTATAGAGTAAACAGTAGTTTTCGTTAAATATTGACACAGGGATCAATTGTGGCAAACCTGCATACTCAACAAATTCCCAAAACAATTTGACCAAGATAAGATCATAAAAATACCACAATGCTCAAGTACAGCAGAGAAGTGTTTCCTAATTAATCAATGTTGTATTTATATTTCATTTAAAGAGCCCAAGTTTGAGAAGTTCTCATCAGATTGAATTTAAAAGCCTAAGAACTAACTAACTAAATTATAAGCCAATGAATTTACTATCTAGAATTTTTCTCAGTATCGAACCGGTGATCTTCTGATCACAAGACGAGTATTATAAGAACTCAACTACTCATTGGTATATAGTTTGTGGCTATACTAAAACTTTTAACAAACCCAAAAAGGCATCCGGTAAAAAATTGTAATGGTCAATAATGTTATTCTCTGATTTGTATTTTCAATGCTTAGAGAACATCGAATGACAGATTCTGGAGAGTGTTTGTGTGTAATAAATTAATCAAGTCATTGTAACAAGAAGGACCAGAATGGAATGTCTTTTTACAATATTATGAATTGATTAACAATGATCAGCTGTTATTTTTAATTTTAAATGTGAAGGCTAGTAGAAAAAAATAACTAATAAACAGATTCAGGTTTATAGAGGACTTGCCTTGAAAGTGTATAAAGTGTTGAATGTTGAAGGAGGCACCATTTGGAAAGTTTCAATTTTACGATCATGTTTGTTTGGAATTCTCACTACTTATCAAGTATATGAAGGTTGATCCACCCAGTTTACCACTTCCCATAGACTCCCATGGGCCTCCGGTGGTCCTCACTCCCTGACTCCACCGGGAGGAGTCTATAAAGACATCACTGTCGGCGCCACTCCGACCTCATGATTTACAACTTTAACACCAATGATGTACGACTTGTCACCTGCATTAATAGCACATTCATCCTAGTTTTTTGCCCGAGGGGCGGGACCCGCCCCCCTCTACCCAAATGTCCCATCTTAGAACCTCCCTCCCACCACGTGTCCGATGTTTAGTATCCTCTTGTTCAATGTTCACACTTGTTCCCCCGACTGTCCGTCAACTAATAAACCGATCGTGTCTAATCCAGTCGCTCCTCAGTTGTAGTAGTTTGTTTAATTGACTAGTTTGTTGTCATGCTAGACATGTTTGCCGCGGACTGTCTGTACTCTGTGCCTCCTCCTCAGAACAGGTTCTCCGTTACTTCTCTGCTGCAACTGGACAACAATGTTGAGAAAAGTGATGGTAAGTGATGTTATCAAAATAACTGTTGAGTACGAGATGGTGTACTTACACATGTAGATGAAAGTCAGCAAATCCATACCTTGTCATCTGGAGCCATACTGTATTCCGTCCTAATGTTTATGTTATTGGCAACGTATTCGGCCTGTTAAGTTGTTTGTATAAGCAATGGAAACATATTGGTAAAAGAAAATTGATATTTGCCCTTGTTAATTAATTTACAATTAAAACACAACCGTCTAATTCAAATTAAAATATGGGAGAATCTTTAAGTAAAACAAAATAATGATAAGGTGTATAATGTTTTAACTGGTGGACATGAATGAAATAACAAATAAAGTTTACTTGTAGGTAACATCTTTTCTAAATTATTATACTAAACAGATAATTAATAGCAATGCAAGCAAGACAACCTAAAACAGAATTAAAATTGATGAGAATCAGTTTTATGAAGACGTTTTTCACAATTACAACCAAGCACGAATAATTTTTAAGCATACAATACTTTTTTACCAAAATATTACCAAAATAAATCGATTGTCTTTATTGGTTAATTATCTATGACTGTGCTTATTTCACTATATGAATGTGTAATCAATCGATACTTTGGTTTTATCCATAAGACAGTGTTAAAACATAACTTCGAATGGAAACCTCAGACGGTGATAAAAGAGACATAAACGAACAGGGAGACCCCACATGGCATATATTTCTAACAAAAGTGAAATTATTTATTTTCAGTTATAAAGAAATATTATGTCACTACATTTTAGATTTTTTAGTGTGCTGCCAACTACTTTGTTTTAAGTTAAAGTGCCTGCCACAAACCGCCGTAGAAATATAGGACATTAAGAAATCTTTGTTAAAAAAAAAAAAGAAAAAAAATGTAAATTATTTGTTTGTTAGCCTTATTGTATCAATTGGACCTCACCAACAAGTTTTATAAACTTGGTGAGGCCAAGCTGTTGTAATTTTCAGAATAAATATATTTGTATATATTTGTATTTGTATTTGTATTTACATTGTAATCGTGAATCGTACATTGTAATCATTAAATGTCGTCCTATTGTAAATTCCGAGACTATTAATCGAATACCATTTCGAGGATTGAATTGGGGGTTACTTAACATATAATAATTATTTTCCAGCATGTATATATACGCCAGATTTATTAAATATAATTTTCCATTTTTAACCTTAATAATTTCAATCAAATCAAAACAAAGTACTGAGTTATAAACTTGTAGTTTCTGAAATTTAAGGGGTAAACTACTTGTATTACTGATAATTCTTTATTGCAAGATCACAGAAAAATATGCATTGTTTAGGGAACTGGTAGAAAAATGTTTACATTATACAATTTTGTTTACATGTTGTTCAAGTAGAAAATAAACATGTACAGTTAAGTCTAATATAAAAGTACAAAATAACATGATTAACAAATAAATTTAAGGTCAATACTTAATTGGATAGATCGCACTGAAGTGTCCCATAAATACAGGGGTGATTGATATAAGTGTGCCAACTATTTTATTCGAAAGTTATAAGAGATATAGCAAAATGTTAAATTGTAGCTGCCTTGGATTTTTTATTTAACAAATTTTGGTCAAGTTCAAAAATTAATTTTAGCCGCCATTCGCCAACTTTGAATTTTCTTATGGAAGACCCTATATTTTATGATTGTTTAGGAAGTAAATTCAATTTAAAAACGTTTTTATTTATGGAATTTTTTTCTCTAAAGCTATTTGTTTAAGATTTACAGCGTATTAAAACTAAAATACCCCCACCGCAGCAAACCTGCCGACTAAGTGAATTTCCATTTGTCTGAATTGATTTTCAATTAAATATATTTTAATAACATTAGGTTTAACGAGTACCTAGGTTTGCTGCTACAAGGAAACTAATAAAGTGTGTTTTTGAGTAAAATATTGATAGCTCAGTACAAAATAAATAAATTTGCCAAGTTTGATCAAAATATATTCATAAACAAGCAAACTACATTTGACAATATTCTCCATAAAAATAACAAGGGAATTTTAAATTTACAATTTCTTAAATTTTCTCCGTTACTAATCGAACAAAAATACTTTTATATACTATTTGTTTTTTAAGCTCTTTAAAAAGGTCTAAAGAGAAATTGGGAAATTTTGTGTTTTGAGGGTCAAAAGTGAGAAAAACCAATTTTTACCCCATAGAACCCCCCGTAAAGCCCCGTCCCCATGGTCCGATCGTGCTGGTTCGCGAACTCATTCAAGTTTATCCCGCTTTACACCTTTGAACCAAATTTCATCAAAATCGGACGAAAATTACTCAAGTTATCGCGTTCACGGACGTATATATATATATATAAAGATTAAACATTAATAAACTTAGTACCGAAGTAAAATTATTTATTAAAATATTTAAGTAAATATTTTAATAAATAATTTTACTTGGGTACTAAGTTTATTAATGTTTAATCTTTATTTATATATAGTAGCCCTATTTTTCTATTTTTCATATATATATATGTCTGTATATATATATATATATATATAAATTTGAATGAATAGTGTTTTTGGCCTCTGGGGACATCAAAATGAAAAAGTAAATCGGTCCCGGGTCTAGGTCTTACCGTGCCACCTACGGTAATAGCTACTTTCCTATAGGGAAATTCGCTAATAAAATTACTTGCTGTGTAAATTCTGCATCATGTAGCTCATAAACTAGTACGTTTAGAGCAAAAATGCAAAGAGTAAAAAGGTCTTAAAATTGCATTTAGATTATAAGTTATCCTATTTTCAAATTTCCCTGCCATTTTGGAAAATGGTGACCATTTTTGAAACAATGGAACCAATATTTTTATGTATGTTATGGTTTTTTAAAATCTAGATGCAATTTTAAGACTTTTTTACGAAAATAAAATATATTTTAATATTTATATCTAAATATATCGTCAGAAAAGTGTATTTTTCTTTACATTACAATTTAAATTTTGTTATATATCTCATAACATTCTAATAAAATAGCTGGCACACTTATATCAATCACCCTGTTTAGTAAAACAGATTTTTAATCTCACTATTTCAGTTTTTCAATGTTCTGAGCTATCTAACGTGTTTTGGAACAAATTCCCTTGAAATCGAAACATTTATCAGTAATGTAGCCTATACAATACTGTGCATTTGTTTTACCTATATTTTTTTATATAATAATTGAATGCGATAGTGTGAAACCAGTCTAAAATCATACACGTATGGAAACATTTAACAACCTTGCAGAATACGGTCCTGTAGTGAGGCGAAAATTAAATAGTTTATATCGATGTAAGATGCAATATTATTGTTTATCCAAATTCAAGGGTCTCTTAACCTGCAAATTATTGTATCAATTTCACAGTTAGAATGTAGTACAAAAAAGTAATGACTATTACATTTAAACATTTACTATTGGTATTGACACAAAACCACACACTTCCCATTAATTACAGAAACCAAAGTCAACTGCGTCCTTTCATTAACATACTCAATTTGAGATGTGGATTTTGCATTGAGTATTTCAATACCGTTAAGTTCAACATGGTTCAACCATAGATTAAAGGAGTACTGTAGACAGTTCAACCAAAACCGCGCTCTACACACTATACACCCACACTGCTGATATACTTGGTTCAACTTAGTTTTACAAGTAGACTCCTCGTCCCATTGTAAATTTTGAAGCTTGTTTTTTGCGTCTAGTTCATGTACGTCCACACTGATCGCTAGTGTAGACAACATTTTGTTTCTATTATTTTAGGGTTATTTTCATGATTTGTGCTTTACTATTTGGTTATTTAACTAGGAGACCAGTTATTGTTTATGATTATATCGTTTTATTAGGTTAAACGAGGTTTTAAATTACTGCAATAACAAGAAACAAATTGTAAACAAAACATAACCTCTATAGTTGGACGTACAGAACTAACAATCAAATTGGCTTCAGCTGTTCCATTGTTTTACCATTGACTATTGGATACAGAAGTTGTTGTATTAATAGTCAAAGGTCTTAGTGTATTCTCTTTGGCTTAATCTGAGCAGCTGTGTAGAAAACTCAACACTAATTTTTTTCAACGTATAAAACAGGAAGAAAAATCTTCAGGAAAAAAGTTGAACAAGAAATTTGGACCTACTTGTTGCATTCTCCAGATTCAATGCAAAAATAAAATACACCCGCTGCAGAAAACCTGCCGACTAAGCGAATTTCCATTTGCCTGGATTGATTTTATAATAATGTATATCATATGAAATATCAATTATATTAATTAAAATATTAATAGCTTAGTATGAAATAAACAAATCCGCCAATTTTTATCAAAATATATCCATAAACAAGCCAACTAAAACATTTTACAATATTCTCCATAAGAATAACATGTAAATTTTAAATTAACAATTTTTTGAATTTTCTCCATAACCAATCACCGTACAAAAACACTTTGATATACTAAATTATTTGGTTTTTTTAATCTCTTTTAAAAGGTATGGAGAAAAATTGATAAATCTTGATAAAGGGTCATAATGAGGAAACCCCAATTTTACTCCATAAAACCCCCCGTTAAACCCCGTTTCCATAGTCTGATCATGCTGGTTTGCGAACTCATTCAAGTTTATCCCGCCTTACACCTTCAAACGAAATTTTATCAAAATCGGACAAAAGTTATTCAAGTTATCGTCTGGAGGGACATGTATAATAATTTGAACGAATTGTGTTTTTGGCCCTGGGGACATCAAAATGAAAACGTAAATCGGTCCCGGGCCTAGGTCTTACTTAATTCGCCTTAATTCACTAATATAACTACCTCCGGGCAAAATCCATCAGAATTTGTGGTAGGTAGTAATTTAAAACTAAGATATCGAAACTTCGAAGTTTAAAAAAAGAAAGAGAAATAATGTATGGTAAAAACTTTTTTTTTATTGGTAAAATGTACATTTACTTCTTAAAAAAAAAACAAACATATGAGACCTAATCTAAACACATTTTAAGTACTGTAAGTTTTCTCCTGTTCCCACGAAAATCTCCCAATAAAATAGTTATTCTGATGAGCTTAAGGATAATTATTTAGATCAGAATAATCTAACCCCCTGATCTATTTAAGGGGGTTATATTCGTAATTTCTCAAAATCAATATTCTAGGTACGTTATTTAATGGATATCTTTTTAGTGAATTCATTTAGACCTATTCCCTATTTGTGAGGGACATCCAACTCCAAGTAAATATATATCTTTTTGCGTCTTATTTATAAACAGTGTTGTTTCCAGTATATAAGTGGCATGGCACAAAACGCTACAAATCATCCCGAAGAAAAACATTCAAGGCGTGACCGTCAACAATAGACGCACTTGCAACAATGTAACTAAACATCTGGAAACTAATTATTGTCCTTTGAACTGGAAGCCAAATTGTAGGAGCGATTTGGTGGTGTTAATTAGGTTATAAATCGCGCGTGCATGCGTGTGCGTGTGTGTATGTATGTGTGTGTGAGTTATTGCCTGTCGTCGGCTCATTAAGTTTGTGTCTCGACATCACTTAAGTTAAGTCGCCACCCAAACACGTCGGTACGCCCGACTAGAAAGGACGATTTAGGAAATATGCCTTAGAAATTGTTTGACCCAGTATATCTAATAGTAAAAATTATTCAAAAACCTTAAAAGAGTAAACTAGTAGCTGGAGATGGTGATGGTGATAAGAATGAAGATGAGTTACGAGAGTAGAAAATGAAAAATTTAAACACAAATTTCTCGTCGTTGCAGGAATTGTCTTCTATATACCACGAGTGTATGGATTCCACACAATTATAGTATTCATACATATAATTATAGTATTATAGTACAGTAAATACATATAAATTTACAGAGCCCTTAGGGAATTTGTTTATGCCAATACTTTTTCGCAAATATACGCACTCTAAGCTTTATTTTGATGAACCATATGCCTATATTTTAATTTTGTCAATGGCCTTATACAAAGATCACAAATTTGACTGTATCACTTTAATAATATAATAGATTGACTCCTACTGGTCTATGTGGATCGGATGCCTACTTCGGTATCCCTCTAAGTTAATGGTCAGAATAGTGGGATTCTTTGGGTGCTTAGTTGCTAAAACCAGCTGTTTCTTCAGGCAGGATTATTTATTGAAATCTAGACGATAGAGGATAGCTAGGTCCAATTTAAAATCATCAAAAAGTACTTTCTCATAATCGGACCATTGACTTTCTTATAAGTAAGACCCATCACTTTAACCATTTAGGTACCCAGCTATTCAAGCTATCATAGGTGAAGGTGACCTCTACGATCACGATCAGAACTAAATGAGAGCGTAAAACCCTTTAAGGAGGCGTGAAGCGTGGTACTACGTTTTAAGCCAGTTTTTACCTACGCACGTTCCTTTCGTAACTCATCCAGCTAAAAGCTACAATATTATGGGTGATCTCTCTCAGAGCTAAAAGAGAATAGACACGGAATGCCACCTGCATTTTCCTCCAGTGTTGCACCCCGTGTACAAGTGTCGGGGAATGTCTACAACTCAGACCAGGTCCTGAGGTTAAACACCAAGCAGCGAGGCGCGCAAAGCCGTAAACCCGCGGCTAATTCTGTTTGGACTGCTGGGATTAGCTGGCGATTTGTCACCGGCAGACAACGAGCGGCTGGCGTCGCAACTCAAACTCTCTCTCTCTTCTACCCTCCCTCCCTCCTTCTCACTCTTGTACAAACTGTAGAAGTCTAAACAAAAGTAGGGAACTGCTAAAGTATCAAAGAGGGTAATATATTCTTATTCTATCCTCTAATACTTAAACCTCTATTCTCTGTTGCCGTAGCATATTTTTTGCCTGCGGGTTTAATTGATTGTTTGCCGCACAATACAATAGACCAATAGGTACTTTAAAACTTAATTAAGGTGCGAAGCTGAATATGGACGCAGCAGGGTCCTCGTAGCATGAAGTGTGATGATATATGATTAGCTTAGTTATTAACTTAGATCAGCTAATTCTTAGCAAGGACCTTTCTCCATGGACTAATCATCATAGACACTACTGTAGAATCCAGTTTCCAAACATCAAAAAGCTTCCAACTTTTCTTAGGTTCGAGCCGGTGACCTTGATAGGCAGGCGAGCATTTACACTTCAGGTACCCAGCTCACAACCATTTGAATTTGAGAATATTAATACAAACGTACACTTAAAGGTTCGATAGTTTATGACCCCTTCGATGACGATGGTTTAACTTGTCTGTCTACAATAATAGCTTTTCAGCATATATTTTAATCTACCATTTTTTTTATTTTCAAAGGCATTCTACTAACTGCAAACTTCTTAGTAGTTTGATTTTTTAGACGTAATCCAAAACAGGGAATTAATTGTGTCAATGTTTTAAAGTCAACAATAGGGCCTAGTTATTTATGCATTAAAGTGGCACTTTTTTAAACAAAATAAAATGTTCAATTTTATTGAGTAAAAAAATATACTTTTGACACGAGTTGCATATTATATTTCGTTTAGAGGGTTTGATATGTAACAACTAAAAAATAGTTATGTATTCAACAAATGTACATGCAACAATGAGGTTAGAATTTTTTAGCAGAGCTGCGTCAATTATTGTGGCCTTAGATGTTTACCATTTAGTTTCCTTGATCTCTACTTTGTGAAAAGACAAACAGCAATATGATCAAACTTGTTATGTCCAGAGGAGGAGTACGCGGGGGAGAGCGACGACAGCAAGCGGAAGGGTAAACCTCGGAGGAACCGCACCACCTTCAGCAGCGGTCAGCTGCGCGCTCTGGAGAAGGTGTTTGAGAGAACTCACTACCCAGACGCCTTCGTGAGGGAAGAGCTGGCGAGGAGAGTGGGCCTCAGCGAGGCTAGAGTACAGGTCAGTAGGCCTCAGCGAGGCTAGAGTACAGGTCAGTAGGCCTCAGCGAGGCTAGAGTACAGGTCAGTAGGCCTCAGCGAGGCTAGAGTACAGGTCAGTAGGCCTCAGCGAGGCTAGAGTACAGGTCAGTAGGCCTCAGCGAGGCTAGAGTACAGGTCAGTAGGCCTACACCGAGGCTAGAGTACAGGTCAGTAGGCCTACACCGAGGCTAGAGTACAGGTCAGTAGGCCTCAGCGAGGCTAGAGTACAGGTCAGTAGGCCTACACCGAGGCTAGAGTACAGGTCAGTAGGCCTACACCGAGGCTAGAGTACAGGTCAGTAGGCCTACACCGAGGCTAGAGTACAGGTCAGTAGGCCTACACCGAGTAACAGTGAGATCTCCGAGTATGGAAATGAATATTCTTTGTTTTATGTAATTTAAGAAATTACTGTAGACATGTTACATGACGATTAGAAAAGACATCGTCCACGACGTTTTGAAACGAACGGTAGTATGGTAGCACAGATAAAACATACTCCCTTAGTAGAGTTCTCATCCTTATGGAACAGCGAAAGCCAATTTTATTGTTAGTTTTGCCCTGTGCACTGTAGAGGTATTAAATTTTTTTTCTTGTTATATTAGTAATTTAAAACCTCGTTTAATCAAATAAAACTATCAAAACTAAATTTCATCAACACTAGCGAACAGTGTCACCGGACATGAACTAGACACGAAAAACTAGCTTCAAAACTTACACTGGGATGAGAAGTCTACTTGGGTTCGTTAGTCTATGATGGTAGTCACCACCAACAACAGGGAAATACTAATTCCCTTTATGTAGTCTGTACACAAGGCTAATGAAAAAGCCTTTTCCATTAGCCTTGCTCTGCACAGCTGCCTGAAAGTGTTGTTACAGTACCAACGAAATTTTAGGCGTTTATCATATAGAAAACCACGGCTTTATGTACACAGACTATCTCTAAGCTATAACATATCAACATTATTTCTCAGCATTAAATGGTATTTTTTTTATAGATTTGTTATTGCATGTAGTGAACATAAACTAAGCAATCATTACTGATTGGTTAAACCCTCAAAGCTCGATACTACACTATAACAAGTATAAAACTTGTCGACATTTTGAATTTAATAATCATAAAACCGTTTAATGCTCAATCTAACTTGCATGCCACATTTGAGAAATTAAAATATATTAAAAGCCAACTTGTCGCAATCCATAATTTACTAGGGTAATATTTTGGCCTATTTTTAATCATACCAATGTTCATCATATGAGACAATTTTATCTCGCTATTGCGTTTGAACTTTAATTGGTTGTGTCGAAATCCATTCCGATCCAATGCTCGCCCCCTTGAAGTGTTTCCACATAAACAGCTGATTCTGTGAAGCCGTCGAAGCCGATCAGCTGACAGTTCCGTGGACAGCGACAGTGGCAGCAGTGTCGACTATAGGTGGCAGTGGAGCGACTAACCACAGCCAGCTGTATCTGTAGATCTGTCAGGGCGGTCATGCGATCTGCAAGCGCCGACACATGTCTCGTACTTCGCCTCTCATTATCTCCCTCTCTTTCTCGGTCTGAATACGAGATGACACACACTGAAATGCTGTGGACACTTTGCTGGTTCTAGCCTTCAAAACCTCCTTGGGTTGAAAGTAGAATGTCATGGCAGTAAAAGAAGTCAAGTAAAATTTTTGAATGGTTTTTAATTAGTTAATAACGTTGAATGTTATTTTACCTTGTAAATCTGAACACAATTTGTGATTCGGTAATATCTTGCAAAGGAATTAAATATTTTTTTGCAAAAACCAAAACAAATGGCTTCACTACATGACATATTCACTTTTACCATTGCTTTGCTTCTTCTCCACAATCTACAAGACCAGGAATCAGGAAATATCCATTTTTTTATGTGTCATGAGCCAATAACAAATTTTTGGGTCTTCAATTTATCAAACAAACATACAGCTGATGAGGGTATAACATGAACTAACCAGAAGACCCATTTTGCTCATTGCTGATAGAAAAAAGACAGTATCCATGGGGTGTAGTGGAATGATTTCACAGCACTGATGAGTTTGTTACAATTACACTACACATCTTGGTTTGATATTACTTTGTAGTATATGCATAGAATAATCTCAATTAAAACTTACATAAAATCAATTAAAACTGACAACAAACATAAAATACACACAAATCCCTGGATCAAAGTTAGAGAAACTAAAGAAATTGATTATTATCACATAGAAACCCAATACAGGCAATGATTCACTTAGAATTTAGCACACTTTGGATATTTACAGAAGACATACAAAGTAGCACACTACCACATTGTTCGTCTATCCACCGCTGTTCAAGCTTTAAATAGTGTTAAACAATTTAGTTGTAAGGGTAAGAGTTTTACACAACTCTCTCCACTTGATAGTTATGTTTGAGTAAATTACATGTTATACAGATAAAGTACAACCTTTTATTTAGACCTGTGAATGACAGACTGTCCAAACATAATTTTATACGGATAGGTCCAGTTTCTCAAAACAGCCCTTACAATGTTTTAGGTGTGGTTCCAGAACAGAAGAGCCAAGTTCAGACGCAATGAGAGAACCTTGGCTTCACAGAGACAGCCTACTAGAGTCTCTGACAGTCAGACTGCGGAGGCTAGACTGGTGGCTCGGCCTTCTACCTCTCCAGCGGCCACTGGTAGGACCTGATCTCATCATTTACTTCATAATGTTCACTTTTGCATACTGAAGTAACTATCCAATTTGGTCGAGCTGAAGCCTATATTTTATTGGAAACTAGCTGGCCCGACAGGCGTAGTCCTGTCCTATTGTGGTTTTATGTCACATGCTCGTACATTTTCAAGATGAGCTCGTTCGCATGGCTTAATCACGTCCTGGTTGAAGTTCGTTTGCTACGCTCACTCACCTTTAGGTTGGAGCTCGTTTGCTGCGCTCACTTGCCTACAGGTTAGCTCGTTCGCTACGCTAACTCGCCTCCAGATTGGAGTTTGTTCGCTACGCTCACTCACCTTTTGGTTGCAAATTAGCTGTTCTCATAAATTAAAAAAATATAGTGCTGCACCCTGTTGGTAAACCTATTAACTTTTTAATGCTATTGAACATCACAGAATCAGATAGTTTAGTTGAACCAGCTGTTAAGATTCTTTAATTCCATTTAAATATGAGTACTCATAAGATTAACATGGGAAACTCCAGAGCCACTGGGGCGGAGCCCTTTTGACGGATCTGCACCAAACTTCACACAAACCATCCTTGAATAATGCTTAATAATGCCTGAAAGTTTCATTACAATCTGTCGAGCGATTTTGGGGAGTCCATAAAGGACAAACATACAAATATACAAACATACATTGGATTTTATATGTATAGATAGATGAACATACCTAGTTAAATGGACTCCTTGATTTTTTTGTGACATGCAATACGCTTTAGTTTACAATAACTTATTGTCCTTTAAGTTTGGCTTGGTTGAAAAATTCAACACTCTGTTGTTAGCTCATTCAACTACATGCAGGTTTTTTTTCAAACTGGATACAAGTTTAACATGGCAATGAAATACCCAGAGTCAGAGATAGCACGCTCTGCATAACGTTTGTTCATGTCTGTCCTAGAGGTGATGGCAATTTGCATTTAATAATGGTCCCGACTAAAGACACAGCTGATCTTAGTAACAAAGCTACACAGATCATCTCACACCGTCATACTCATCCTTCACTCATATTTAGGTTCAAATACGCACCTAGGTGGACTCCTTGTCTCAATTAATTGACAATTATCAATTGATAATGCGGTGCAGTGACTTGGTGGTAGAGCCCTCAAGATGTAAATCCAATCATCGTAGAAAGATTTTCTAGAGAGGAGGACTGTTACTGTGTTAATATTTCCACCAAAAAACCATATGGCATTTGATTTAAACTGAAGATAGTAGTTGACATGCCTTTAAAAACTTTTGACCAATATTTCAGTTGTAAAGTGCCTCTTGAATAACTGATTCACAGTGTCAGATGCAACAAATGGCGATAGTTCCAAAGAATATGAATACAAGACAGCCAGTAAAACTTTACTGGAATTACTTTAACTGGAATTACTGGAACTTTACTTTACAAGAATGAACTCATTCTTGTACTGTATCGGATCATTCGATCATTCCTTGCTTAACTTGATGTGTTTCCTGCACTGGCCGGACGGAGGCTTCTAAAGGACGGACATGTTAAAAGAGTCCATCAACATTTTTCTCAACTGTTTCTCAAGAAACTGAAACTGTTTGAATAATATTCAAAGCAAGCTCCCATAAGTTGCCATCCATATGATTTCAAACCTGTAACACTAATGATTGTTATTAATGAATTACTGTATTTTAGTTGGATATTACGAGTACTATGTTTTATTTGTAAGTTTTTATGCAAATTAGCAAATTAAACATAATTCATTAAATATGATGATCATAGTTTTCATGCTTTTATCCAGGCTTGCCTAACCACACCATGGATTACTACGGCTCTTGGAAAGCTTCAACGCAGTTTCAAGTCATCCCGAGTCCGTCCCAACACTCCCCCGCCTGCACTTTCCTGCCTTCTGGTGAGATTTATTAATATATCAAACATAAAAATAACACTTTGTTTAATTATTTCCAGTTAACAGATCCTAGTAAAAATTTTCAATAAGTATCTACCCAATATCAACCGTGTTTCTCAAGAAAATGGTAATCATGCAATATTAGAATACATTTTATTTCATGTGTTTGCCTAATGAGCAGCTAGGTGTAAACCTATATGAATTTTTTGCCAATGTACGCTACCCTCAGGGATCTTGTTTTCACTATAGCATTGATCATTTTTGTAATCAATGTAGTAACTAAATACTTGTATATATACTGTACTGTTGTGTGCGTGTATATATTATACCTTAACTATCCGGTTTATCTCATGCGGATGCCTTTGTCTTGTAAGATTATTTGACATAAAATGAGACATCCTATTGTCTTTAACAATAATAAGAGATTGTCTATACTCCATTCAAAGTTCGCCCTGCAGTACAAGTCTTATGGGAGATAGTCGAGCAGTTAAAATTACTAGAAACATAATCTATGTCGTGTGGGTTGTGTCATCTGTCCTCATGACCCTTGTGAAGGCACTTAATTAAATTTCACTTATTCATGTAAGTTTATGTTTCTGTTAGATTAGTATTTTGACTTAATCATTTGGATTTTGACTTAGGTGTAGTTAAAATCGGTATGTGAGCATAACTAAAAAAAATTAAGTTTAGTTTATTGGTGTTTTTTTTTTTTTTTTTGGATGGGTATTGTTGCTGAAACTTCAATTTGAAATACAGTACATAACTCTGTATTGCACGCTGGACATGGGAAAAAATTCTGTATCAGTTTTGGGGTAAACTATTTTTCTAACTGATCCGCTGTTTACCAGGTTTGCCAACCTCAGCGTACAGTCAGCTGCCGATCCACAGTTCTTGCAGTCTCCAACAGTATTGCCAACCTTCGTTTCCGAGCTCATGAATATTCTCTACACCCAACGCACCTCTAACATTGTACTCTTGATTTCTATTAATATTATTAATGAAGATACTGTACAAACATATCGGTATTTAAAACATTTTATTAAATACACTTGTGCTTTAGTTTAAAGTTAGTGCTGTAAATACTGTGAACTACGTTAGGTGATAAAGTGTTACTTAGTATTAACAAATTATTTATTTTTCTGAGTAGTAATTATAACATATTATACTTGTATATAAATAGTTCCTTCACGACCACAACGTTCTGTTTCTTTCTCATGCACCCAACCAACTAAATGAATAAAGTACTTATCATGGCAAACTTTGTTTCTTTTTGGTTTCATTGTTAGTGTCAAATAAAGCCTATTTGTTAAAATTGTTATCCTTTAAACACTATTTCAGTTTGATTTTATGAAATAAGTTGCAATAGGGCATTTTACTCTTTTTCATAATAATTTGCCATAGGACATTATACCTACCAAAAAAGCATTTTAACAATAAGTTGTCTCGTCAGTACGATTACTTTAGTAAGTAACAAATAAAAAGAATCGTCTCTGTGCATATACCCCTCGGGAATACAAAGAGACCTTTTAAGTCCTTTTAAACACAAACAGTTTCAGATAATTAATCCTATTTAATAGTTAAATTAAATTTTTGGCGTGTTGGTTATAAATCTAATACAATCTATGTACTAATTACGTAAGCCGATTATTTGCGTCAAAATTGTGGGCGACTGGGAAGTCGTAGAACGACAGAAGAGGGCTCAAATTAAAGGTCTCGATCCCGTGACAGCGAGAAAAATAGTAAAATTCCACAAATTTTAACACAAAACTAGATATAACGTAAAATGTTCTCCATAGAGCATTAGAAGCCATTTACTGCTGATTTTTGTTAACTTCAACACAGCTGATCGTGATTTATCATTATATCAATCAACGTCAATTATTTAAGATGGGGACGTCAACGCCACTATGTGCGTATTTTAACCCAAATATGAGTGAAGGATGAGTGGCACGATCTTGTAGTCTTGTTAGTGACTAAGGCCGACATATTCCTTAGACACAGCTGTTAATTAATAGCCCAACAGCTAATGGAAACTAAGGGACCTACAGTTTATAGTGGAATCCGAACCACATTCTTGCCTTGGTATTAACAAATCGGTCTAGGTCTAATTATCATGATAGTACTGCGGATAGTCGTAGTCATCACTAGTGCAGATGTTAATCCACACCAGGGAGTATCGCATCCAGAGTGCATCTCTATAAATATCCACAATTCGTGACCTCCTAGTAGCTGGATTACAGGACGTCACCCGTCCCAGTGTGTTTATTTGAGATTTATTGTAGTGTTTAATCAATATTTTGAATGAAGTGAAATAACCTCAACGGCTACTCTTAGAAAACAACCTGGGAATAAAGATTAAATAGGTTCGTACAGGTAGAAATAATAGCTGGGTTGGGGTGCTAATTTAGCGGTTTTTACCAAGAAATAATCTTTCAACACACCTTTATATGCATTTTGATACCAAGACAATTTCCAAAATACCAATCAGGGAAGCCTTTTTTTATTATCATTTTACAACTACCTTAGTAAACCAGTATTATTCACAAAGTATTTATATGTTCTCTGCCTTTAGGAGAGTTAATCCTCTGGAATGATTCAAATGATTTATTGAAAATACCGTCAAAAAACCAAACAACGAGCCTGTTTTTTTACACAAAAGATATGGTGTGCAGTCATATATATCATGACACATAGGTAATTTGATTCTGAGTTTGTTTAAATATTACAATAATTTGTTTTACATTTGAGCTTTTTAGGGGCCTATGTCCCTTCAAACCACTAGTTTTTATATTAATGAAACAGGTTCAAAGAATATGATACAGTTTTTTTATTCTCTTTTGCATACTTAAACTCTTTATTCATATATGTAAACTCTATCGTTTAACAAGTGGCAGCAAACAGTTTAAGGTTTACAAACACTCACACAATATCTACTACATAGCCATAGCTTTGATGCTTTCATGAAATCAATGTTTGTAAAAATCCACAATAAATAGTAAAAATTATATTTTAAGAGATTATTTATTTATTTTTATGTAATTATAAAACTGAACCCATATTATTTACAATAACCATTGTAATGATATCACCTTTTAACATATTCAAGCCCAACAATCATTTTCAACAACACAGAAGTCTACTTATGCTCTTGTAATGGGATTTTATTATAATAATATAAAACAAAGTCCTAATACAGAATGGAGGATCATATAAAATTAAAACTCTCTATAACATGACAATACAGTTCTAACAATACTGTTGTCTACAGTACAGACAATACAAGTCTTTCCCAACAATAGTAACTAAAGCTTGTTTAGACGATGGGTTAGTTTCACTACACAAAAACTTGCCCTTGTTGCAAATTAACCATTAGTGTTTTACAAAAATAGTCATTAAAAGCAAATAACCTCTAATGTAACTTCGAGAAGTAATTCTTTTGGAATGTGGTTATCACAAACAATTCACATTGGAAATCAAGTGACATTGCAATTGCAAATAGTTGTCAGAAGCAAGTCACTTTGCAAATGGTTATCAGGACCATGGCTTATTGTAAACAGTTATTAGGGCTATTAATGCTTATAAGAAGCAATGTTTATTGCATATGACAAGACAAATTAAGTTTTCTTGTAAATTAGTATCAGGGGCAAGTTTTCAGAAGAGATTTGTGTGACAAATAGATTGTGATATAATAAGTTTTAGGAGTAAGCTGTGTAGAGAGTGGTTTTTAAGAGAAATTTAGCAAATAGTTTGCAAATGCAGAACATTTCTATCACTACAACCGCAAGTACAGTAACTACTATCTATTACTTCTTAGCTAGCTAATTGTGTATTTCTAAATATCACACAAAACAAATAATATAACCATTTCATGAGGACTTTTACTTCTAGGACTTCACATAATGATAATATTCAAGATAAGCCTATTTGGCTATTTACAAATATTTTTTAACTCACAAAATTTATCACGATTAACAACTATTACAATTTATTTATTCATACCTACTGTAAATTATTAGTTAGGTTGTGCAAATAGAGGGCAGTGGTACTTTAAAATGAGTTATATTACCCTACTATTATTTTTTCCTACAGTCACCTGACAAAGTGGTCTTCCTTGCACTGATTATAGCACAGAAAGTTGAAAATTGCTGCATCTACTTACTTTTACCGCACACTTTTTAATTTTGCTGCACAGTTTTTTTGTTTTTTTTTTTGCCTCATACCAGTATTCCAACCAAACAATACAAAACAGCGTGCTTTTATTGGGCATATAATACTTGTAAGCTTGGAAATAAGCTGACAACACTTAAAGATATTACGACTACGATCAGCTTGTGCAGCGTCTCCCATTTCCTTCAATGTTTAGATATAACCTAACCTAAAAAAGCATAGTACAGTGTTTGAAAGACTAACTATTTATATACTTTATAGTAACTGTAGGAAAAATATAATGTGTAACGCAAAAGCAAAAGCCTTTGATGCAATCGAGAAACTTTCCACACTCGCCTACGGCTCATGTGTAAACATTTCTCACTTCGCCCACTAGTTACACAAATAACTATTCTTAATCATTCCAGAGCTTGACAATATTTTAAACACATCAATTTTATAATGCAAAAAAATTACTTAGGTACTTACATCTTTGCTATCTATATTTCATAACTCATACAAAAAATTAACTAATGTTTGTACATATTTTACGCATTAATACTATTATGGCGAAGACAAGTCTAATAACACAGGTTGATCTTGTAAAAGTCTCGTATATAAAGTGTGCTATGTTCAGAAATATAAACGAAAAGTGGTAAAGAAAAGGAAATTGTGAGATAATAACGATAAACATCAATAAATCACAGCTGCTACAATATCACAGCCTTGAATAAACAACCTAACTCATCTTTATTGTCAAAGTTCTAATGAAACATCTACAAAATGTGTCTAAAGGTGCAATTCCTTAGCTGCAATTATAGCGACAATAGCTTCGTAATCCCAGCCGAGTGGTTGTAGAATAAGTGTAATTTAGTTTGTGACAAACAATTAGACCTTGTGCATCACTGGAACAATATAAATTGCATGTCCGCCGCTACTTAAAGGTTGAAGCACACTTGGAAACTCTTGCGGAAGTTTAGTCAGTTCGTAACTGGGACAAAATCACAGGAGAAAATCCTACTATAAACAAGTCCCGGCAAAACTCAAAGAACATTGTCAGACGGCCGTCGTCTCTCAGGATGTATAACTTTTTGCCTCAAGCAGTTAAGGAACAACCAGTCAAACATTTCAAACTCAAGAGCCACATGTTTGAAAAATAACAGTCTACATTATATCAAGCTATTTTAAAGAGGTGACCAATTACTAACATTTAAAAAAGATTCTTGCAGCTTGGCAACTTGTTGAATTTTGAATGCTTAGGAATTGTACCTTAAGATCTTAGTTTTGCTATGTGTGTAAGTTCTAACATAAAGTGTATTTACAAATATATCACATGTAAAAGAAACACAAAATAGGTACTGAATCATGATTTATGATTTAAGATATTTAATATCTTGAAACCCCAAGTTTTTATTCATTCCCAATAATTTGCATATACAGGGTGTCCCGGAACTCTCTACCAATATTTTAGGGCATTGATCCTGGGTAAGAAACGTACCTAAATATCATATTTAAATTGTTCGGAAGTCCTTAGTTACTCACACAGCCGCCATTTTGTTTTTTTCAGTTATTAATTTTTTTCTAAAGAATGGTTAAACATACGAAATGGAAACTTTGCGCAAACATTTATGACAACTAGACAAAGCTGCAAAAAAATTATGAAGATTTTTCAAATTCATAAAACAAAATGGCGGCCATTTAAAATTTTCTTTCTTAAATAACTCAAAAACCATTGATTTTACAACAATTTTAAATGACCGCCATTTTGTTTAATGAATTTGAAAAATTGTGATATTTTTTTGGTAGCTTTGTCTAGTTGTTATAAATGTTTGTGCAAAGTTTTCATTTTGTATGTTTAATCATTCTTTAGAAAAAAATTAATAACTGAAAAAAACAAAATGGCGGCTGTGTGAGTAACTAAGGACTTCTGGACAGTTTAAATATGATATTTAGTTATGTTTCTTACCCAGGAGCAATGCCCTAAAATATTGGTAGAGAGTTCCGGGACACCCTGTATAATGAAAATACTAGAAATGCTGATTTCATTATACTCACCAAATGCTTCATAAAGGTTGTTATTACAAAAAATAAAAAATAATGAACATAACACCGTCTTGATAAATAGGATTTTAAAAATCAACATCAACGTTTACACTCTGTTTGCAAGACCTTTTCCTTCAATGCATTTTAGTTGCGAGTAACTAAGAAAACTAGACTGCAAGACAGAAATCACCGCTGTTTGTGCAGCAATGTAGTTACAACTATCAACTAAATTACCATTCTTTTTACAAAAAATAATATTTAAATTGGTCCCACTACGGAAATAAATACATTATTTTACAAAACAATGTAATTAATATTTGATAAAGTGCATACGATAATTTACTCCTATAAAACAACTTCAATTAAGCCTACTATCTCTAATGGTATAAAATATAAATACTAAAACATTCACACATTCCTATCCACATAAATAATTACATAGGTCATTACATACATAAATAATATTAAAAGTTTTCTAATAAGTAAATTTACGATAGAATACTACAATGGGATGTAAACTAGCTGCAGGTATTTGCCAAAATAAAGGAACGATTGAATATTTGATGTTAGTAGACTCTCTCTTAACCAGTTTCAAAATAAGGAAGAACTCAGTTCAGTTGAACCACTGAATAATTAGAATAAACTGTTGTAACACACCAACAATCCTTTTTTCTTCTAAACCAAAATTGTATCTGAGGAAAAGTTAGAGTAACTTATTGCAATCTTAAGGATATATAATATTGGAAGCATATTATTTTATGCCCCCAATCAATTTCATGGAATAAAAAACTAAAATAGAACATCCGACTATAATAACTTACTCTTTGAGAAGCCAAGAGACTAATCCAAATATGATTAACTTAGCTATTACTACAGCCGCCAACGCATGAAGATGAGATGTCTACTTTTATATCCAAATTCAATGCTATTATTATCATAATAAATTTTCATTTTTTACAAAATACAATATGAAAATATTGTTCTACATATAAATATTACGTGCATAGTCTTTTAAACTGGTATTCAAGTTCACTAATAAGGTAACATTAAAACACAATAAATGTACATATTAAAATTTGTAAATGGCAAAAATTTATAAATTCAAAACTCACTACAAGTAATGTATAAAGTTCTGGTAAATTATCATGAAAAGTCAATAAAATATACATATATGTAAACACTTTCTTAAAACTATTTGTATATGATAATCCGACCATTTTGTTGCAGCTTGTGAGTTTATACAGTTACCTGAACATTTTGAACAAAATTACTCCACTCCACTTTAGAAGGCACCAGATAAAACGCAGGTGAAATTTTGGATCCACATGGGCACTGGCAACCTGTAAATTTTATATCAATGTTAAATGTAATTAATTAATGATTTTTTAACCCTTTTCCTAAAAACTATCAAAATTTTTTAGTTATTCAATAACCATTTGATCATATAGGTACCAGTTGTTATAATACTTCTACAGATTTGTAAATTTTTACCCGTAAGCAAAAGCAATTTTCTCTCAAAATGCGGAGAGCGTCTGTAAATCTACATCTTTTTGAGTTTGTTAGCCAGCCTACTAAACTTATGGCAATCAAAGTTTACGATCAGAACCAAGAAAATATTACTTGATAGGATTTAATATTCCATCCCAGACTACTTAGCAAACACTTCCTTAGGTATATGTCGACCTCAGTATGTTGTTGTATTCCTACTAGTGGTAAGTATTTTAATTTTAGTGCATTAAGATAAGCTAAATTGATGAAACATGTATCATTAAAGTAGACAAATTGTTTAACATTCTGACTAAATAAATATATTGGTTTAATTTGAGCCAAATCTAAATACAAGAAAATATACTCTTAGGGGAGTCATTAAGGCCAAACACTTGTGTTTTAGTTGTTGAACAAGTTCAACAATAATTTTAACCATTCAATGACAAAATTGTTAGTACTATCATATACAAATAGAATAAATATAGACTGTCAAAGGAAAGATCTGCTATGTGGCACTCCTAGTGGTGGATGCCAGAACATATGCTAACCGCAGCACTACTGTCGGTCTATTTATTCTATTTGTCTATGGTACTATATTCCTATAATTTGTCTGTTGGAGGATGTAGTTGTTTAAAACAGAGTGTTTTCTGATTTCTCCTTTCTAGAGAGTTGTATATTTCTTGATTTTCTTTAAAGATGAACCTAAATCTTAGGATAGGGACCAACCTGGTAACAATGTGACCACAAGACTCATTGGTTGGATTTATCAGGGCTAACCACACCATATTGCAGAAAAATAACTCAATAAATGTTTATCACACCTGTTCAATTAAATGGCAGAAAGTTTATTTTTTTTTTTAAGCACATTATCCTAGACTCTAAACTAAGGCATAAATGTTTGCCATCGTTACGGGCTATGACCTCAAAATACAAATTTCCAAAATCCTACTGCTGCACTTTTAACTTAAGCACCTATATGATTGGTTGAAAATGTTATGTTATCTACGTTTTACTAACCCACCCATGATCCAGCTGAATGAGCCTAGCTTGTTATTACACTTGGGACAGTGCAGCTTGCCCTGCTCAGAATTCAGCACAGTCTTCATCCAGGCTAGTGGCTCTACGAAGTGTGTGGCGGAACAAATCTTCTGTTCTCTCACACGCTGCGGCCACGTCGGGTCCTTCCACGACGGCCTCTCTCCCGGGACGTGCGGCATCAAGTTAGCAGCCGACGCAATGATGCGTCTGCAAAATGTAACGTTAAAAATCAACCATCCACAATGTTTCTAAATTATATTAGTGATGGTTGGATCCGGATATCGAACTAACGCATCTACCGCTAGAACCGAAAATACCGTAGTCGAAAACTACGGTGTATAAACTAGCTATACCGACAAAACTAGAACCGACAATAAAAAACAGTACATACAACAAACAATATGCTTCCAAATCAAATAAAACAATCCTTTATTCAAACAGTACATTTTGATAATACTTAATACTTTCTTATTAAATGGCGACCATACAACCAGACCACGTCGGTCTGTCATAACGTGATTCAGTTTACTTCCAGTTTACAGTCCTGCCCGCGTGAATTGATAGGCCTATCTGTAATCGTATTTGTTTTATGTTAAATGTTTGTAACGTATTCTGACGACACCTTCAGAAGTGGATCATTTTGTAAGCCTGACGATGGTGGAGTTAAAGAGCCAACAAAACATATGTAGCAAGTAAAATTCGACACTACCGTACATGTTAAGGATTGTTTGACAAGGTGTGTTTTTACCATTCTTAGAAGTCATCTTAATGACAAATAGCAAAATATTGTTGGTGAGTGAACTAATTAGAAACACTTTTTCGCCGCTTATACAAAATTATACATTCATTATGAAACCTAGAAGGAAAATATCCCCACCAAAATCCCCCTAAAAATGTAGATATTTCAAATAAGAGAAATGTATAGTTTTGCGAAAACAGAATAAAACCTTAACTCAAATTTGAAATACAGTAGACTCCCTCTTATCCGGACTTCTCGGGACCGAGGCCAGTCCGGATAACGGGTTTTCCGGTTAAACTGACGTCCCCTAAATCTCATTAAAACGGACCGTTTGAATGCATACTGTATGCAGTATTTGACTTAAATTTAAGATCACAGGACGACGCCACCCGTCCCAGTGTGTTTATTTGAGATTTATTGTAGTGTTTAATCAATATTTTGGAATGAAGTGAAATAACCTCAACGGCTACTCTTCAAAAACAACCTGGGAATAAAGATAAAATAGGTTCGTACGGGTATTTATTTGTTCATTAAGTAAGTACTATGACAAAGTTAAGTCAGTAAGACTAAACGTTAATTCTCTCGTGACTTCTCTTGTAAAATGTCACTGGCGCAGGACAATAATTTTAATATTTTTAATTATTGTTGAGCTCAAGTACAAACAAACCTGCATCTACAACAGCGGTATACCAAAGGATCCGGACTCACTCGGATCAGGGATGGATCCGGCTGGATAACATCCAGGCAGTCCAGTGGCAGTATCTTCACTGAAACATTAGTGGTTACGTATCAGGCCCAAGCCAAGTCAGATATATCATGATTTTTTTACACACTAACCTGGAAGTTCTGTCCTTCATGAAAGAACATTGCCAACAAAACAATTAATGTGGAGTTACAAGAACTGTGATAAACATTGTGAAACCATAGAATATCCATACAATGAAATTAGTTAAACAAAAACCTGAACAATAACTTTGAATCTCGGAATCCACAGCTAGATTTGCAAGTACAATAGTTATTTGTGTAACTAGTGAGCAATGTGGCACTTTGCTGCACACGAGAGCAATGTTTACGCACGAGCCGCAGGCTCTCGAGTGCAGCAAAGGCCTTTTGCACTCGTGTTACACATTATATTTTTCCTACAGTCACTATAAAAAGCATATAAATAATTAGTCTTTCAAACACTATACAACACGTTTTTAGGTTCAGCTGGCAACACAAATAGGTGCCCTAGAGAAAGTAGTTCCCGGTCCGTATCACTCGGCTATTTTTTCCTCGGCAAGCAATGTGCTCCGCGACTTGAGAAAATAGTTCCGTATATTTTTGTAATTTTCAGTGGTTTCCGCGCCTAAAAAATGCTTTAAAGGTATTTTCTTGTTTATTAAGATCGTAGGAATGTTTTAAAAACGTTTAAAAGAAAATTCCAGAAAGTTCAGAAATACCGGAACTATAAACACGAACTGACAGGTTAAATCGTAGTTATAATAGTCAATCAGCTGCTCATAGTATTATTATCTTTGTGTTGCCAACCTATTTCCAAGCGTACACGGATTACGTGCATAATAGAACCACTCTGTTTTGTGTTGTTTCGTTGGAGAAGATATATAGTCTAACAAAAATGAAAATATATAATACAGTATAACCCCTCAGACAGATGTGCTCATTTTTTTAAATCGTCCACTTTATAAGGACATGTTACAGCTAGATGAGTTTCCTTCTTTCTGTACTACAATCAGTGCAAGGTGAATATTGTGGCAATAGCTCTATTAGTAGGTCAGTTGAAATGTTATTTAAATTGGGAATAAATATGTCTTATTCATGGAAATATTTGAGCAAAAAATTAATCAGACAAGTTGAAATTCGCTTAGTCTGCAGGTTTGCTGCGGCGGGGGTATTTGGAGGTCCTGTGATTTTGGAGGTTTTGTGTTTTCAAAGTATGTTTAATTAGTATTCGTAATTTTTATAAGATACAGTGCAAATAATAGGGATATGAAGAGAAATAATCGTTTTCACTCGTATCAACTATATATCACGGATTTTGAAGTCACGAAGTGTCGCAGCTTACTTGTGTAATAAAACATGATTTTTACCATTATAAATACTGTACACTCTCAATTAACTGAGGTTGTTGGGACTGAGACTACCTCGGTTACCAAAAATCTTGGATAACACGGAGGTCTCGTGGATTTTGAGGTAAGGGTTTCAGAAGTTAAATACTTGTAAAATATATCTTTAAACAACACATAGCGAGTTAAAAATGATAAGTAATAACTTAATGTAATTTTGATGTAACCTTCTTTTCCCAATAATTTAGTATTGTTAAAGACAAAAATTACACCTCGAACATGTTCAACCCTTTTTAATTGTCTTGAAAAGCTTTAAACACAATAGCCTATTATTAGAATTATGATAAACCAAAGCAAACTAGATTGTTTAAAACAAAACACTAAGGGTGATCTTTCTTGTTTAACACGTTGACTGCGCGTGCCGACTTTAGTCGGCGTCGCCAGCGCTCCCAGGTGGCGCGCGCCGACTAAAGGCGGCACCAGACCAACAGAAATATATTGAGTCAGTGTGAGCTTAGCCTCAGACGGAGACGTTATAATCGTTGCCAGCCTGCCAGCTTAGAATGCGAGCTTTACTTTGGTGTAGGTTGGTACTAAAATTTCCCGTAAAATCCTGTCTGGCAATGCTTTTGTCCCGGTTTTGGGGATTTTTTCTCTTCAACCCACATTACAAAGACACTGGATACGGATCCGTGCAGTGCTGCTACCTTTGGGTGTTTCAGTGAACTACATCCACTCTCGGGGTAACGCAGCACAGTCACCACTGCTCTTTTGTGATTCGTCAGACTGAAATATTTGAATGCCAATTGCGTTCGCTGATTCGGTTGCGCGCCGGGGCTTCGCCCGCCACTGGGGAGCGCCTGTAAAGTCGGCGCGCGCAGTCAACGTGTTAAAAGTATTAAATTACATTTTTTAAGTTTGACCTGATCTATAACTTGACACAATCGTGTCTACATCAAAACATAGAAATGCAGAAGACTGGTTGACACTGCTATTGTTTATGTTCTGCAGACATTTCGTCCAGTCCAGTTTGCTATTGGTACCGGCCAACCTAGTTCTATGTGATTTTAATTTTTAAGGATATTGCGGTTCATTCTAACGTTAAAATAATAAGTTTTGGTTATTCCAAGTACTGTATTCATTTCAATAAATTGCAAATTAATTGATATGTTTATGTTTCTTTAAATATAAACATACTATAATAAAGTAATTATTGTTTTCCTACTGAAAATCCAAATACATATTTAGCCGAAAAACGACCTCAGATAAAGCGAGGGCTCGGATAACTGGGGCTCGGATAATTGGTAGTTTACTGTTTTCAAATATGGTGAATACTGAGTGAATTGCAAGTAAAACTACAGTGCAGCTGACTGTGAAATTAGTTTTTTATTATTTTACCTTGTAGCTACAACACCAAAAACCTGTTTAAGTTACTGAAACAAACATAATAGATGTTTTAAACGGTACAGGAAATTCACAAAATAATTATGTAAAGAATGCAAATAAATTCAAAAGCATCAGGCAAAACAGCTACAAAATGCTGATAAAATTAGAAGAGTTTTAGTATACTATTATGTCTTGATAAAACCACATAAAACTAATAAGATAGCTTATAGAATTTGTTTGAACATCCATTACAATGTTGATAAAATGCAAATTATAATGCTCATAAGGCCCTACTGTAGTTGTAAGCTTGTATCTAGGATTGTAGGGCATTAGGTAGGTCATCCATTGTTTTCAGCACTTTTTTTTACTTATCCATAAATGATTGTGAATAAAGGATATGTTAAGTTGAGTTACTCATGATAATCAGTATAGCAACAATTAAAGGAGCTTACAGAATTGCAAGTTAGTTAAAATAATTTAGTTAGAATATACTATCTCTGATGCTGGATTGTATCAGTAGAATATTTTCCAATAGATTAAATACTCAACATTTCAGTCAACAAATCGTAAACTTACCTTTCTTGACTTTATCAGCAGCCAGTTTCAACCGATACATTCTGTACTGAGCGTTACTCCGATCTAGAGTGTAACCCATCCTTTCATAAAGCTCCAGTTGAGCTTGGAACCCTGCATTTGGTCCGACAAATCTACGTTGACTCTTCACTCTGGAACAATTTAATTGTGTTACTTTGAAGCTTAAGAGGCTCTGCATAAGCTAACACATAGAAGGATAAGTAGTTAGTCTATCGTGGTAGGAGAATCATTTGTTAGAGGTCTGATTGGATTACCCTCCTTGTGCGTTTTTATTAGGAGCTTAAAGATTGGTGGCGATGCGTTGTTGTTGTATAAAAGTTCTGTTCTGGATTGATAATACAGTTTTTGTTTAGGAAATATTTTATTTCCTTGTTGTATACTTTTGTTGTGTCCTTTATTTCTTTAATTTTGCTTTTCTGGAAGTATTTATTTATTTTGACGTTTAGTTCATCTTCATTAATAATGACAGTGGAATTAGATTTGTCTGCTGGTAGGATTTGTGCATTGTTTGCAATGAGTTTTTGTTTTGTTGTCTACATGGTTTTATTTTCGGTGAAAGGTTTATTGATTGGGTGGTTGTGTTTAATCTTTTTACAAATTATATCAGATACACCATATCTTATTTGATCTCTATTTTACCATTTGTAGTGCTACTTTTGTATCAATTAATGATTTGGTTATGTTTTTGTGATTGAGAGTAGATGTATTAGGATGAAATTTTGGATTAAGTTCTAATATTTTGGTTTCGTTCTCTTCTAGGGTGATGTCAGTTAGGTTCATCAATTTAGGGTAAAATTCGCTGTTGCAATCAGACCAGTAATAAACACCATACCCTCTCCCTCATACAAACTAGCAAAATAATCATTTTTATTTTCAGGTTCACCCTCTATTCTAAAGAATAATTTGTTAATTTCATACAAAATTTTAGTAGGGTAATACCGGTACAGAAAAAGTTTTGACTGAGAGAACCATCCCTTTTATTTTTTCGGACATTTAGCAAAAGGTAGGTAAGGGTTGGGCCTCAAGATATCGGTGATTAGCATCATTTCAACCAGGAGCTTCAAGACAATGTTGCGTCCTGTAACGACCAGACCAGCCGAGACTAGCTATGTAGACACAGTTTCTATCAAATAAGATTTAGTATAGAATAAAGATACAATTACCTTTCAAGTGCTTCGGAATAGGTAAGGCTGTATTTCTTCATCATGAAGGCGATAACAATTGTAGCACTGCGGGAAACGCCAAAGTAGCTGAAACACAAGTTTTAATGATACAGATTATCATCACGTAAATAAAGAGTTTTCAAGAATAGGACTAGTGATTAAAGTTTATGATTGAGGAATAATTTAAAGCTAAAAAATCCCTAGGAACCTTACCAGTGGACTAAAACGATTTCATCTCGGTCTTGTGCTTCTTTTATAAAGTTATAAGCTTCCTCAAAATGTCCTAGAAGATCTTCATGGGGTAGGTCAGTGACTGCAACAAAACTTTTATCAAACATCACCCTAATCTGTACAATTTAATTATTACTCCAAGAGTAGTAATAATAGTTATTAACCACTTAAATACTACGAGGGGTATTTTTAAAATAAGGGCCAATTCATTAAAATCTCATATTTCACTCGGTATCAGTTAATTACACAGCATTTGATCTCTGTCTCAATCTAAATAATATTTTTACAGTTTTGTTTACTGTTAAGATATACATTATAACATCATATTTTAGTAAGTTCTATAACAGAACTGAAGATAATTCTGTTTTCTATTTTACTAAATACACTATTGTAATGTCAACTGTGAAACCCACTAGGTAGGAACTCAAGACTATCACATTCTATTTTGATGCTCCGACTTTGCACATCAGATAGGAAGCACGCATACTATAGGCCTAGGTACTCAAAATAAATTGAGAATTCAATCTAGAAAATTTACCTTGAATAAACAATGTTTTGATTCCTGAAATATCTGTGATTTTTTGCGGCAGAGGACAGGAGTCAACTGTGAGAATTCTGTTTATTTTGTTTCCCTCTATGACATTCTTATCTGTTGCTGCTGTCAAGTTTCCTACAAAATAAAAATCAAATAAATAGGTTAGAGTCTGCCTGTAGTGTAGGCCTACTCAAATCACTCAAGTAGACTACGCTAACTTCTGTGTAACCAGCATTAAAGTTATAAAAAAAACATGCTGTTGTACCCTCACTTACTTAACAACTATACACTCAGTTACCGGCATGTTAATTGTACAGCTACCAGTGCCGGGTTACTAGGTTGCAGCCACAAGCAAAAGGGGCCTTGCGCGTGGGTAATGATGATGATGTGCCTTAGGTAATTGTGGGAGGTGTTACCGATTTTGTTGTGTTCGCGTGATCGCCTAACTTCGCAGTCACACAATTAGTATGAGAGAAATAGTTCAGATTCCTATCGATAGAGATGCCTAAAAATTTGACATACAGTAGACTCACTCTTATCCGGACTCCTCGGGACCGAGGCCAGTCCGGATAACGGCTTTTCCGGTTAAACCGACGTCTCCAAAAACTCATTAAAACGGACCGTTTACTGTGATATTCGACTTAAATTTAGGAGAGCATTGTATTTAGACACATAATCACTGGTCTCAAATCTCACACACCATGCGTGGATGACTTAAGGTCATCAGGCTCACCGGCTGCCGAAGCAACCCTTCAGAAAGAGGGTTGCCCCTCAATCCTAACCAGGGGTACCGGTTACTTGGTCTTACATCCCTCCAACTGGGTTCCCCCAGGGCCGAAACCCCGACAGACCATGATGGTGTCCATGGACGCAACATAGTGCCAGCGACACTTGGGACCTATCTAATCCCTGGCAGGCCATAACCCGCCATCAAAGCCAGGAGGAAGGGGACCGTCAGCAAGCTGACAGGGGAACCCCAACCCCCTATTTACACCACTACCCGATTGAGGCTATCTCATTCGCTGGGAAACCAGGGATAACTAGGGCGATAGATCCCCAGATACCCCCTGCAGGCTTGATCCCAGCACCCGATCTACTTCATTTGCCCATCTAACCCAACATCACTGCCGGGCCATCAGGGTTCCCCAAAAGGAGGCAGGTATAGAAATGGGACCCACCCGGATGAACCTATCCACCAAAGGTGGCGACACCCTTAACTCAATTGAGGTTCCGGAGAAAACCCCCCACACTCTAGATAACCATACCTCCCGGGCTCAGAGACAGGGATTGGCTGATGGAGTGCGCCCAGCCTTGCCCTCACACTGCGGAAAGTTCCGTTCCCCTAGAGTATCCCCGTGAGCTTACGGGTACTCGCCTGATTTCACCTCCAGGAAAGGCTACTTCCAAAGTCGAGGATTTGCCACACAAAATGTTGGTCGCACAAAGCAAGCAGGCCGAAACCCATAGGACCATAGTCACAGGTAAATGGGAGAAATGATGGCGCACTTCCACCTCTCCGAGAGCTAAACACCCCACCAACCTCGATGGAGGAATGTCACTGGGGGCTCCCCCTAAGGGGCTGGCGCATCCCAGACGTCCATGACTATGGCCTACTTGAAATGCCGATTCCAACCCCGAACAGTTACCTCCCCTTTGGGGACTTAGCAATTGCCCGTCTTTCACCTCCCAGGAAGAGGCTACTTCCAGAGCCGAGGATTTGCCTCACAAAATGTTAGTTGTACACAACAGGCAGGGCTAGCCCATAGAACCACAGCCACAGGTCAGAGAATTACACTCTGAGAGCTAAACACCCCACCATCCTGGATGGAGGAATGTCACTGGGGGCTCCCCTGAGGGCTGGCAATCCCAGTCGTCTATAACTTTGGCCTTACCTGAAGTGCCGGCAGTTGCCACCCCTCTGGGGGCAAGTTAACGAGACTAGTTGATAAAGCTTACCTAGTTGTGTTCTACCACGCTTTATTCTACAGTCACGTTACTTGCGATCTCCAGCTATGGGGTCATGCAGCCAATGTCTCCAGAATCCTTAAGCAGCAGAAGAAAGCTCTGAGAATCATGACTGGCAGTGGGCGACAGGAGCATTGCAAGCCTATATTTGCTGACTTGGGTAGGCTATACTCACCATACACAGCAACTACACTCTCTCAAGGAGTTCTTTGAGGACGACCTCACAGGACTTTAAATCCACCGCCATTAAGTTTATTTAAGTTCTTCTTGGTCTAATGACCATACGAAAATCCGACTAAATGGAAGTTTGTATATATGTACTGTAAATATTAGTTTTATTTTTTTAATTGTAAATATTGACGCAGCCTATCCAGCTTATGCTGGTATCAAGCCAAGGAGGAGGTAATAAGGTAAATTATTGAAGTAGGCCTACCGGTACATAATGTGTACTTAGCTGAATGTAAAAACGTGTTCAGAATGCTTACCTAAAAACAAACCTTTCTCAATACTATCTAAACTGGTCGGCCCAGCATCAAAATCTTCTCGTTTTAACATTTTGAATGACTTGATTTGTAATGCGATATTACCTAATCAAAATCATTTTAAATTCAGTTCACGATTTCGATCAAGACTAATCAAATTTAAGTAAACAAACAAACCAGACGCAGACGACAAACTGTACTGTAACTATTGACTGTAAACCAAGTCGCCAACGTGAGAAAAATAAATAGTTACAAATGATACAAATGCAGCATAAGTACAATACATAATATGAAATAATTTTTAATTTTTCGTATATGCAATAACTTAGCATTATTATTTTTCTTCACTGAATATTTTTTGTATCTGTTCAATCAATATTGAAAGCACACATACACGGTAAACATCCTGTAAAATATTTGAGTGTTACATTTCGTTATAGGTGAAAAAATTAATGGAAAAACTTGTTTTTTAGCACTATATTAGACTCAGGTTAATTTACAGAGTACGCGGATTGTGCACGTATTTTTAACGTATTGTGCGCAGATTAGAGAGGGAAAGGCGGGATTTTTATGCTTGTAAGGACGGATTTCTTCCGAAGCTGTGTGGCAACACTGCGTAACGAGACGAAATCTTTCCATCGGCGTTTGTGGCGTAGTTGAAAGATAGCGTCTCGGACTCGTGATCTGGAGGTCCCCACTCCCCAGTTCGAATTCCACCGGTGACACTAACTTTTTGTCCAAGGTTTTGCTTAGATTGCGAATACTTCTTAACTGTACATCTTTTGTTAGAATTTGAGGCATTTATAATTTTATTTATGAACAGAAATATTTCTTTAAATTAGTAAACCTTCATTAGATTTTTAATTTAACTTATATATTTTTTTATTATCAGCAAGTTTAGTTGGTTCGGTTAGGTTATGGCAGTTTAATTTTATAATAAGAAATTTTAAAATTAATTTTATAATACAAAATTAATTATAAGTAAACCTTCGTTCGATTTTTATTTTATATCTTATATTATCAGCAAGTTTGGTTGGTTAGGTTAGGTTATGACAGTTTAATTCTATAATTAAAAATTTTAAAATTAATTTTATAGCTAAAAATTTAATTTTCAAACTAAAATATTATAAAATAAATTTAAAGATTTTCTTAAATCGACGTGAGGGGCTCTCCCACAATCCCCCACTCTTTCGCAGAAAAGGTTCTCATCAGTTTCTGTAAGGGGAAAATTAGACGCCAGTGTAGTTGAGTTGGAGTGGAGAGTGGAGTGGGAGTGGACAGTGGAGTCACGCCTTGCTTGGAGTTGGAGTGGAGTGGAGTTACTGGAGAGTGGAGACTGAACACTGAAGTTGGGTTAGGTTTTTCGAGTTGCTAAAAACCTTAACCGTACGTACTGTGTGTAGCCTATATTTTTATTTAATTTAAATGCTAGTATTGCTAGTACATGTTCGAGTGGATATTCTCATCCATTGATTGTTGTGTTTGGGAAAATACTCAGTTAGTTTGTAGCGAGATGGTGCAATACTCCTAAATAGGTTTAAACTAATGGCAGGTACTTTAAGATCCGTCTGTCGTAAAGTTGTTCCTGCGGCTCAGGTTATCCCTAACATGAGGAAACATATTTTATTGCTGAATACAAGTTTTTCTGAATCAAAGTCCAGTATCAAAGGGGGATATGTCAGATCAGCATTCCTCTCAGAGGTAAGTGGATCAATGTATAAATCTAATTGTGTGAATAGAGGGGTAGGCCTACTTACAGTACAGTTTCTCAACCACATTACCTAGACTACTACAAGTTGGAGTGAATTATAGATGGGTACTCATTGCATTAAGTTAGCACAATGAACTAGGCACTTTATTCTGCTTTGCTGAAATTGTCTTGTACAGCCGCTGAGTAGAGAAGGGCTGCACTTTACTTGACGTCCTACACTCATTCGAATGAAAATATCGATCGATATTTTCATTTGATTGTTTCACTCGATATATCGTTTGGTTAGTTAGGTAAGGTTAACCTAACCCAACTAACCAAATGATATATCGAGTGAAACAATCAAATGAAAATATCGAATCGAAAAAACAATCGAATGAGTGTAGGACGTCAAGTAAAGTGCAGCCTAGAGAAGGATTTAGGGCTGCACTTTACTTTAGGTCCTACACTCATTCGAATGAAAATATCGATTATTCGATTGTTTCATTCGATATATCGTTTGGTTGGTTAGGTTAGGTTAACCTTACCTAACTTACCAAACGATATAACTTATCGTACAATCGATATACCGATCGATATTTTCATTTGAATGACTGAAGGACCTAAAGTAAAGTGCAGCCGGATTTAGTCACAAGGGTATAATGACACAAGCTAGACCACGACAAAAACCTTGACTAAGTTACTTAGTCGTAGCTGTGTTCCACTAAGTGGCCAGAGCACGACACAACCACAACAACTAAGTTATCTTTGGACTTTGAAGACTTGGCTTATTTAGTACAATAGTATTAACTTCGGCTATAGGCAACAGGCATTTTAAGTGAAAGATAAAGGGAACTGTCCAGGTTGCATTTTATGTCCACCGTCAAGTCTTCAAAATGGCATTGACCCATAGCCTAAGCTATATATAAGCCCATAGGCTTTAGAAGTCAATATTCATCCAGTGCACACTACCATTTTTTCTAATTGCCAATATGGAGAAACTTTTATTTTTTTGTTCAGTCTGTAGAAAGGGATATCAAGGTTGAAAGTAGGTACCATGTATCTAGAGGTACGGTACCCGTAGTCAGTTGTAAGCCTACACATCCCAATTGCCAATGTGGAGAAACTTTTCTTCTTTTTGTTTAGTTTGTAAAAAGGGATATCAAGGTTGGAAGTATAGAGGTTGTACACATCCTAATTGCCAAAGTAGAGAAACTTTTCTTTTTTTTGTTCAATCTGTAGAAATTTGTCAGCTAAGTAGTTTTTAAAACTAGGTATTCATATCTTAACCTAGGTAGTGTAAGTCCCCCCCCCCATAACCTACCTACCTACCTATCTTAGTCTTATTATTTTAGGTACCATGACAATGACCTACTTAGTTAATATTTGTTTCAGTTTTTATGCAAGAGAAATCTGAGCAGCGTTCCAGCTGTGAAATTGATTGACGATAAATTAACTCCTTCAAACAACTGTGTAGCAACACCATCTTTTTCTGAATCATCGAACGGAAACTTTCCCAAACCTGACTTGGCCGACATAGAATACCATAACTACGAAGAAAACTCAAGCACCAACAATTTACCAAACAAATATAAACTTCAAACACCTGTGAACAGTTTAGCCAAAGAAATTTACTTGTACAATGGCCATTTGCGCTCACTTTCCTTCAGCAAACCGTCTGTTGAAATGTTTTCTGATTATGAAAAACGAATGATTGTGCTCTCAGAGGCAAGTAAAGACCCGACACCAGAACCATCAAATGGTACCAGTGGAAGACCTTCGGCTGAACAGCTTGAACATGTCTTCAATGTTTTATCCGAAAATGTAAGTGATAAAATATAATACCGTACTGGTTCGGTTTCTTTAAATAGTATGGGTATACTATAAAGAAACCGAACCAGTAGGCCTACTTAAAACTAGTTTCTAAGGTTTAAAAAAGAACACAATCCTAAATATATGGTTGGATAACTTACTTACTCATGCTAGTTTAAGCAGGCTAAATTATTACGGTATTTTGAAAAATTGATTTTGAAAACCTAAGCAATCTTCCTGCTAATGTGTATTATGATCATTGAGATCTAGGCATTTTTGGAAATTGTGAAATTTTGTTTTGAGTGTTAATAATAGTAACTAGGCCTAAGGCCTGATTCACAAGCGACACATCTATTGGCCAGGCTGTGACTAGGTCGTAAACACAACGTTTAACATGAGCTTACGGCAGCTGCGACAAGCTCTGTCATAGACAACCAGCTGGCACTGCTTCCTAGTGGCTTGCCGTGGATATCCAGCCAACAGCTCTGTGGCGTACCAATACAGCTATGTCAGTGTGTTCACACATGCAGTCGGTCATTGCACTGCAGTTCACATACTTGGCTTTGTTTCATTGTGCACACCAGCGATGGATACCATGGCTTTGATATCGATATTTTTATTGAATCAGTGAAGAAGGGGGGTCCCTGTCTTTCTAACACTTGTCTAGTGATAGTTGCTAGTTTATGTAAAGTTTAAATTACGAGTTCCCAGAAAATATAGGCTCCCTACTAATAGGCCTATTAATTATATTAACTAGCTGTTGTACACTAAATAGAAACGTGGGCGCATGCAATAGGTAATAATACTTCAATTGTTGAAGATAATAATTGTAAATTAGCTATTGCATGCGCCCACATTTTTAGTTTTAAATCTTACAAGTATTTATTCTCTCCACATATTTATAAACTATTTTCTACTTTTTAGTTTGTTTAAGAACGTAGTACAGTATAACCTCTTTAATCCAAACTAATTGGGACCAGGGGTAGTTCGGACTATTGAATAGCTCGGATTACAGAACATATTATTGTTTTTACATAACAATAGCTAAAACATGGCTAAAATTGATCAACATTATTTTGGGAAAAGTGAAAAAATGTTTTGTAAAGTAAAGTACAGTGTTTATTTAATACAGTAGTAAACATGGTGAATAAACAGTACTGTAAATTAAATACAGTATACAATAAAGAACTGCTGTACTGTGTATAGAGTACAGCAATGAGGGGTTCGGATTAGTGGATGTTCGGATTACAGGGGTTCGGATTAAAGAGGTTCTACTGTATTTTAAAAAGTTTTTATTTAAGTTTTTTATTTAAAAACTTTATTTTATAATTCAGTTTACCTTTTATGATATTAAATCTTGCAATCATTTATGTTGAGCCTTCTCATTGTTCTTTTTATTTAAAGTAATTCTATACTCTATAAGTAATATGTCAGATATTAAAAATATTATTTTGTTTTTTCAGTTACCAAAGCTTTTTGTCCACCCTCTCGACTACACGATATACCATCCTCAACTAATTTTTGAAAACAACATTAGGGGCACTAGGACAGTGTAAGTAGCTGACAATGGTAATTAGTAATTAGGTACCAGATTTATTACAAAATTAGTTTTAATATGATTTATTAAATTGATTTATTGATATATTATGTATTTTTATGATTTATTTTGTTGTGAGATTCTTCACCACCATCACATTTGTTGTCCACAATCCAGTAGGCCTACATTATTACCATCCAGTACATTGTTACCATCCAGTACATTGTTACCATCCAGTACATTGTTACCATCCAGTACATTTTTACCATCCAGTACATTGTTACCATCCAGTACATTGTTTACCATCCAGTACATTGTTTACCATCCAGTAAATTTTTTACCATCCAGTACATTGTTTACCATCCAGTAAATTGTTTGCCATCCAGTAAATTGTTTGCCATCCAGTAAATTGTTACCATCCAGTTAATTGTTTACCATCCCCAGTAAATTGTTTACCATCCAGTAAATTGTTTACCATCCAGTAAATTGTTTTCCATCCAGTACACTGTTTACCATCCAGTAAATTGTTTACCATCCTGTAAATTGTTTACCATCCTGTAAATTGTTTACCATCCAGTACACTGTTTACCATCCAGTAAATTTTTTACCATCCAGTATAAATTGTTTACCATCCAGTAAAATTTTTACCATCCAGTAAATTGTTTACCATCCAGTACATTGTTTACCATCCAGTACATTGTTAACCATCCAGTACATTGTTAACCATACAGTACATTATTAACCATCCAGTACATTGTTAACCATCTACAGTAAATTGTTTACCATCCAGTACATTGTTTACCATCCAGTAAATTGTTTACGATCCAGTAAATTGTTTACCATCCAGTAAATTGTTTACCATCCAGTACATTGTTAACCATCCAGTACATTGTTAACCATCCAGTACAGTGTTAACTGTCCGTTCAGAACTATGTACCGGCAGCCAAAATGTGAAATATTACCAGCACTGATGATTTTCAGAAATGACAAATCCTTATCATATCACTGTACCAGTTATTAAGAATAATCACAATCTTTTTTCCACCATTGAGTGATGAGTAAATTATTTTATCGATGTCAAATGACAATTTCTATGCACATACTAGTCAGAAAGAAAAATTTCAAACGATATTGAAAAATGGTGATTTAGTAACTTTTTTACGTTTTTATGTAGCCTATAAAACAATCCAAGAATCTTCTAGATGATTCTTGAAACACAATAGATTTAACCAGGCTTTTTCTCAATTTTACATTTAGCTTAATCCGTCACGTATTAAGTGTGTCAAAAATATTTTGTTTCTTTTCAGAGGAATCTTTCATTACGTGAAGCAAATAGCTCTATTAAGGATGATCGGTCATTTCAAATTTGCCTATGTTAAATTCGACATTCTCAAAATAACAGCTCATCCTGAAGACGGAACTGTAAAGGTTAGGTGGAGGATACGGGGAATTTCTGGTATGAAGGTGAGTATGATTTAGCCGATCAAAGTTCCTTGTAGTAATTGCCATCCTTGTAGTTTTACCATGCTTGATAAAATATCTTGGTTTGTGACCTACCATGAAATTGTAAAATTAGCCACAGAACCCCATTTTTTCTTCATCATTTTCACTCAGTGGAGAATAATTAGTAATATTTTCTTATATGTTTATAAATCATTTAAAAAGGAATATCATAAGGCCCGTGTACACTAGGCTAGTTTAGTAACAGCTAATATTTGTTATTAATACAAGCTGGGCACATTAGCGCAAAAGTTCCCATCTACACGTGGCTAGTTATTGTCGCTGTTATTAGTGCTAGCCAGTTGTAGAATTAAGTGTTCAGACTTACAATTTCAGTTTTACAAATGGTTTCTGTTCCTTTAAATTACAATTTTTTTTAGACAAATTGTAAGAATTGATGTTCAAAGGAGTTCTATGAAAAGGAACTTAATAAAAAGAGATGAGATTTCGGGTTCAAAAGTGGTTTAGGTGAGAAATTCTTGGTGCTTTGATTACTCGTTTAAGAGAACAGGCAGTGGAAGAACTGTCCATAACCACTCTACTTGACAAACAAGTAGCAACTGTCTTGTCCTGGCGAGTGGCGATTAGCACTGGCGCTCTCAGAGGTGCACACACCCCCCTAGTAGCGCGCTAATTCGCCAGCGCTAGTGGTCACGTGACTACCCTCCCCACTTGTTTGTGCTTGTAACATGTGAAAGCGACTAGCAGCAAATAAAATACTAGTGTGCTAGTTATTTTTGCTAATGGATAATTTACAAGGGACTAATTTATAAGCACTAATCAATTCTAGCCTCGTGTACACCCAGGTACTGTACTGTACGCAGATTTTAAAACAATACCTAGCCAGATAGATACATCAAGGAAATGTTTTAAATCAAAATTGTAAAGAGATCCCACAATGAGATACAAAGCCTATAGTTTTTAGTGTAGACATGCTGAGACTAGTTTTAAGAAAAATTATCCAGTAAGGGTATAAATTAGTAAAATATTTATTCCAGGTGTTTATGAACTTCTGGAAATTCAACATTTTGAAGATAAGGGAGGCAATTGACAGAGAGTCTGAATCGTAAGTAGACTAAACAATTTTCAACTATTTGGAGAAGAAAAAAACTTAAAAAATGTAAAATCAAAATGTAAACCACAAATAGTGCTTTCCAATGGATTCATTCACATTAGAAAGTACTTACATGAAAGTTGTTGAAATAATTTTGAAGGACGATTTAGTGTACGTTCCTTAATACAGTAGTTTACGTAGGTTTTTACGTCTAGCTCTTGCTGATTTTTTATTTGATATAAATATTTACTAGGTAACACAACAAACTTGGGTTTTCTGGGTACAAACAAGCTACAGAGATAAACTTATAACCATGCCGTGGATGCCTTAGTTCCTATATGTAAGTAGACAACTTACGTTGTACTCTATTTATTTTTCTAACGATAGTCAAAATACTTTCAGTTGGTACGATGGATTCTCCATATTCTATGTTGGTGCTGACGGAAAAGTGTACAAGCACATAGTAGACAAGGTAAGAATCTCCAATATATATTTTAAAGCTTGATATAAGCGAAATAAAATATATAGCGTATGTAGAAAACAGTTTTCTTTAAGCAGAGCGATTCTTTAAGTCCAAATTTCATTATGGCCAAAAGTACAGTCTTGGCCAGAAGTTGCTGCAGTGGTTGGCACAGTCAGATTGCAAGCACCGTCCGCCAGCGCGCTCAACTACAGAGAGAGCATTTATATTTTTAGCCATAATCTTGTTATTTTTCTTTATTAAATCCCTGCCATTTTGTTTGAAAATTTTTACGCAGCAAATTTCATAAATTTTAAATTGTATAATTAATTCAAAACCGTAGTTAAAATTTAATAACGCCTGTAGAGGCTAATTTTGCAACTATGTTTACCAAAGTGGTGTCATACAAAACTACAGAATCTCCTCTTTCAATTGATTCTCACCCCGTGACAATAGGTTGTGTAGTTTTTCATTTATAGAGTTTCAAAAGTGTAACAATAATTTAAAATCACGCTGTATAGTAATTTTTAATAACAATAATTAAGAATTTGTTAATTACTACTAACTTATTATTCCGCTACTGGAACAGTTTTTGTTTGTTTTACCCTACAGTAGTTGTATGATACAGTAATACACTAGAAAAGTGACACAGTGGCAGTTAGCGGCATGATATTATAAACTTTGTTTATCTAAATTTACAAATATATATAGTACATTGGATCGTTGGTTTTTAATACCACTACTGTACACTCTTTACAACTCATCTATGGATCCACAATGTTGTTTTGTGACGCGTGACTACAATACAAGAACGTGCACCATGCAGCACTTCTGGCCCGGACTGTACTTTGGTCTTAGTTTGGACTGTGAAATTTGGACATTGTGAAACAAGGTTTATTTAAGATTTGTTTTTTTTTTTTGGACTTAGTGACATTTGGAGGTTGTGAATTGCTATGTTTATTTAATATTTTACTTTTGGACTTTGTAAAATTTGGACTTAATAAACCTCACCCAAATAATATATGACTACTTGGTACAGTCCTCAGCAGTAAGAGTGAGGTAACAAAGTAGGTCGGGCCGAAAAGTTGACACTACTATAGGCCTACTACAAATATTATAAAAAACAAACATTTATTTTTGTGGTTAAGGATGCAACATAGAGCACAAGGTGTAGGTTTTTAGGATTTTTTGTAAGGCTAGCAGGGCTTAAACATGAATGGGAAAAAGTCCAAACTGGCACAAGAAATGCAAAACTTTGCACTAAATCCTAAAAACACATATTATTGTGATGTCTGCACTACAAACTTATTTGTAACACCAAGTTATGTTTTACAGATGCAACCGGACCCGGAAGAAAAGCTTCAGCCTGTCAACCAACTCAAGTCCCCTCTGGCAACCAAGCTGGCCCTGATGTTGGGTCTAGTCCCGCGGGACAACCTGGACCTCTCCCAGCTTCTCTCCTTGTTCCAGGAGAACACAGAGTGTCTACAGCACGCCATGCTCCCACTAGACAAGATAGCTTGAACAAGTCACACTTTTGTTTAGTTGCAAGTAGACTCAACTTACATTAAGTTGAAGCCACAATGTCTCGCTACTTTCATCCTAAATGTCTCTCTAGTGATTTCTAAAGAAAATGAATTGGAAATTAGGATTCCTCGCAGGTTTTATTGTAGTAGAAATATGTTAAAAGGAGCACAATTTCATAATAAAAATAGTACATTTTCATGCCTGAAAGATAATGTTGACACAATTTGAATCCAAAGTAGTTTTCAAGTACGTTTAACACGGTTGTGTTGCATCCTGTTATATTAATGTGTTATAATTTATTCAAATGTTAATTTTATGTAAATAGAACTCTGTCCCATTAAATGTGTTATTGTTATGTATTGTTTATTTTTAATCCAAAAGAATCCTTTTGTAAAAGTCTAAAAGAATTATGATAATAGAATTGTTCAGCTAGTAAATTACAAATAGAAAATGACAGCCTTAGTAGCTAAGCTGCTAATTGCTGCATTTACTTACTTTGTCGCACCGTTTATACTTTGTCGCACGGTTTATACTTTGGCGCACACCAGTATTCCAACTAAACAACACAAAACAGTGTGGTTTTATTATGCACGTAATCCGTGTATGCTTGGAAATAGGTTGGCAACATTTAAAGATACTGCTACTAAATAACTACTATCATTGACTATTGATACTACGATTTGACCTGTCATTTCGTGTTTATATTCTATTTTCATTCAACACTTGGTTTGAACATAACCAAAAGTGTAGTAAGTACTGTATTTGAAAGAATAATTATAAGTGGGCCTAACAGGTTTGAGAATAATGAACTCAGTGAAAGTAATGATGAAAGTGTGAATATAAGTGTACACCAGAAGAATCGGCAGAAACTGCAAAAAATGTTAAATTAAACCTGTTACCTGAAAAATCAAGAAAGAAGTATGAACAAGCATACAAAATGTTTTCCTCTTGGTGCAAGTAAGAAAGTTACAAATTCGTCAGTATAAAAAAATATCACCTGTTTACATACTTGTTTATTCTGTTAATACTGATTATTACTGTTTATATGTGTACTCTTGATAATAAATAAAGCCGGGTTTTCCTAGGCGCGGAAATGGAGAGCGGAGAGAGGAACGAGGAGAGCGGACTCCACTTGTCTTAGGTAATTTAATGTTACTGTTTTCCTAGAAGCGGAGCGGAACAACATGTTAATTTCTTTTCCGCTCTCCGCGTTCCTCTCTCCGCTTCCGCGCCTAGGAAAACCCAGCTTTATTTATTATCAAGAGTACAGATATAAAACAGTAATAATCAGCTGGTGCGCAGTGTTTCCCATTCTGTTCAAAGCCTGGGTTTAACATTAACCTAAACTAAAAACGTGTTGTATAGTGTTTGAAAGACTAATGATTTATATTCTTATAGTGACTGTAGGAAAAATATAATGTGAACACGAGCGCAAATGGCCTTTGCTGCACTCAAGAAACATTCCGCACTCGCCTCTCGTGTGCAGCAAAGTGCCACTTTGCTCACTAGTTACACAAATAACTATTCTAACAGTATGCGTAGATTTTCCTTGCAATGCACACGAGCTGAGAAAAAAGGTTTTAAAGAAACATGCATGCCTTGCCTATTAATTATATAGATATCAAAGTTTTATATTTTTTAAGAAGATTTAAGTAAATAATTAATTTTGCACTATCATATTTTGATTATTTATTTCCAATATTCACATTTAGTATTCAACCAGGTTACATTTACATTGTAAAGCTTGAATGACGGAAGACAAAACAGTAACAAATGCACTTGTTCAACAGATAATAAATTAACAAAACTACTCTAATTATGTATAAAAATGTATAATACAGGGTGACACAAAGGAACCGGACGTTTTTTAAACAGCTGTTCCATTGTTGTCGAACGTGGTAGGAAGATTGAAGTTAAGTCATTACCTTCAGTGAGGCTTGCCATTTTTGTTGAAATAGCTCAGTGGAACCTAGACCATTGCGTTTTCGCATACGATAGTTTGGTCGGAAATGGTGAATCCGTCGTCAAATCCAGCGGGAATTTAGTCGAAATTTAAATATTGAACGCCATTGACCGGTTCCAAGCCGAAATACGCTATAAAGATGGGTTTCAGGGTTCCGAACAACTGGGAATACAACAAGAAAAAAACCACCAGGCCTTGTTAGAACTTCGAGAACACCCGAAAACATCGCCTGAGTGAGAGCAGTATTGAATGAATGTTTCCTAACAAGGTGATTTCTCGTTTTGTCGACATACCGTGGCCACTAGTGCAATAGTCCAATAGTGATTAATCCTTTGGGTGTTTCTTAAGGAGCGTGTTCATGCTCACAAACCACGCACACTAGAGGATATGAAGTTTGTAATCATAGAAGATATCAATGGCATTGAACAAGACCTCCTGACCCGAGTTTCAGATGATTTTCAGACCAGAATGAACATTTGTAGATAAGTACATGGCCGCCATAAGCATGAAGTCATTTTCAAAAAATGACTGTATTGTAACAAATGGCAAATGTTTACCTCACTATGTACAGTATTAAAACCAGTTTATTCCTTTTAACTACTGTGTACTGCTTATTTAAAAAAACGTCCGGTTCCTTTGTGTCACCCTGTATAAAACAAAATTTTAGCAGGCTTACGTAATTTCCTATCACAAGCCCAGTTACATTTTTAAAAATATATATTTGTATATGCAATAAACATTCTATTGGCTATCTTGAACAGAGACTTATTGCGTACGGTATATTGTTATGTCGACATAGGCAAAATATTACTAGCATGATCAATTTAGGGATGACATTGACTGTAAATTCAATTTAATACTTCTCCAGTGTTTTAGAGATAACAGGCATATATATATACATATATGCTAAACAATAGTTTTGGAGGTTAGAAAGCCTCATATGCGGAATCATGAGAGTTGAGAAATTCTTCAAGCTCGTCTCTTTCTCCAGCAGGCCCCGTCACAGTGCTACTTCTCCGACTTGATTTTTTCTTTTTTGTTTTTTTCTCTTCTTTGTTTAAGCTTTCTTTTTCTTTATCTTTACTATTTGTTTTCTTTTTCTGTTTAGACTTCTTTGTTTTTTCACCCTGCAAACCCAGTATATAATTGTAGGTGTACAATAAAGACAATTCAGCAAGAATTTTTCGAATGGAATTGATACAACACTTTGTGTAACTTGTCCAACAATACCATAACGTGCAAGATGAACAAGATTAAAAGTTTTTTGTTGAAGAAGACAACACACAAGTGAAATAAAATAGCCGTGTTAGAATCAAGGAGGGTTTTAAATAACATTGGAATATCTTGTAAACATTTACATACCTAAAACTTAGACACACAAGTAGGCAACACAAAAACTTGTACCTTTTGCTTGTCAGATGCCTGCAACATGGTATCCGGAGAGTGGTTTCCGGGGCCACTGTCCTCTCCTCCCTCAGGACTCACTCTTCCCCCCACTCCCAGAGTTGCTCCCCACTCATCCAGAGCATCTCCTGTGATGTCCACACAACCTCCATCAACATCTTCTGTTTCCTGTAAAACACAACCAATGCATTGACTATTATAGTTGGTAAGCTTTAAATTCCAACTTTACACAGCATGTTAAACTATCAGAACAATAATGTTTTAAATTATTTTTTGGTGATGGTGAGGTACAGTAAGACCAAGGCCCCAGTAGAAGAACAGGCCATGCTGCAGTGCGGGAAGCGCAACACTACGTCTCAGTGGTGGATAGTTGTACTAAAATCTTACCATTAAGACGAACAGCCAGCTTATTTACCCAAAAAATATGGGATATGACAGTGAATCTATCAATTAATCTATCCACTAGTGTGACATCATGGATCCTGCAGCATGGCCTGTTTTTCTAGTGGGGTCTTGGTAAGACTCCCGTTAAATTGAAACTTTGATTAACCAAAACCACAGTAAATATTCAAACCAGTTGAAAATTTAGCAAAGCAACAGGAACTATTGTTAAAAAAAAAAAACTTCAAACTATTGTTAAATAGTTAAAAAGATAGAAAAACTAAAAACCATCAAGGCGAGTTTAAGAGACATGGCTGCTCGCAACATCTGAGAAGATAATGTTTAGAAAACAATTGTTGATTGTTACAGGAGTTAAGTTTTGTTTGTACAGTTGTAGGATATCTTTCACGTAAATAGCCTTTAAATTCCCAACATTGATTAACTGAAAAAATAGGTTATACAAAACGGCCTTGCCCCTTTTATTTCAGATTAGATGCACAATAATCTTTGGGTGATGTGTCGAGGTACCAACCCTTAAATTTCAGTTATTAGGGGTTCCTGAACTTATTGAAGGGATTATCATGGGATTTTTTACCTTGATTACTAAAAATCAAAGTATTCCGGATAAGTTGGGATATCGAATCTGATCCTGTCCTAGGGTGTGAAATTATCGTAAACATAACAAGATTAATACACAAATTGCAGTAAAAACACAACCAGTAAAACTACTTTACTTTATGCAACTGCAAAGTAAAGTACTTACTTTATTATACTTTACTTTATTTACTTGCAACTGGCAGCAATAAACTTTAATTTGTGAACAATGGAACTAAGTATCAAGTTTTCTCAAACCATTCCCACTTTGTGATGACTCTAAATCTGTACAAGGTAAATAACAGTGTGTTCAGTATTGACAAACTCTATGAGTATGGTCAACGTAGTTACATTTCAGTTTACAATCACTTAAGCTAGGTTTTCAATAACATGTAGCAATGGGGCCACCTTTTTCTGGCTTCAAAGTGGCGCCAAAAATGTAACGTGTAAACCCTAAATGACGCACCAATTTTATTATCATACAGGGTGTTTAGTGATATTGTATAAAAGGTTGTGGACTTGCACTTAAATTCATTTTATACTAAAGTTTAAAGTTACTGAATTAATCCTTGAATTATGAAAAATACACTTTTACTGAATACATGTCAATGAATAGGAAAAATACAATTTTGCCAGTACTTTAAAATTTGTTTAAGCAAATCTTGGTAATGTTTGCAAACTAAAATTAGATCACCAATTATTTTCAAATGTGAGATACTGTATCAGGTTTGCAGTTTTATCCAAACATTAAAATTATTTCATAAAATGACTCTTCTTTTCAAAGATTTATGATTATCTTTTTTGTATCAGTAATTTGTTTAAAAAAATAAAGTTGGAGGAACAACTGGCTATTATAGGAGTCGGGATGCCCTCATACGTAAAAAATAATAATATAAAACGTAAATGTTTTTGTTCTTAAGTGATTGTAACATAGGTGCGGTAGATTAATTTTTATTCAGAAACAAAAAACTATGAACATTAGTAATAAGGCTAAGTGATGTTAGAATATTTTATTACAGTACTTACTGTGTGGAGGAGTGGAATTTCAAATCAGATGGCATAATTTAGACACTATAGTTAGTGTTAATAGTTCACGCTCTTTGCATGAACATGCTTAGGTATTGAAAATTTTAAAGTACTGGCATAATTGTATTTTTCCGATTTAATGAAATGTATTCAGTAAAAGTGTATTATTCATAATTCAAGGATTAATCCAGTAACTTTAAACTTTAGTATAAAATGAATTTAAGTGCAAGGTCACAACCTTTTATACAATATCACTAAACACCCTGTATAATAATAATAGTTTATGAAATGAACCAATCATAATAATTTATGACGCAACGTCATCCTATTGTTTTGGGACTCATCGACTGCGAGTAGCGGCCTGGTAGGTAGCCCATGTGGCTGTTGCCAACTTTACAACAAAAATTCCCCGTTAGTCCCTGCTGTTGAGCGACGGCCAGCGTTGGTCTCGGCTAAGCTCTGTATCGGCTTTATGTTGTGTACCCATTTTTTGGCCATCGGTTAAAATTGGCCGAGATCAACGATAACCGCGGGCCACGAAATCCTGTACTTTAAGGAACTCCTGTAAGAGTTGTACTTGACAATCGCTCGATTTCGAGCAACAGCTACACTAGTTTTACTTATTATTCGTTTATACCTGAGGTGAAAAGTGTCCGTTTTCCACTGATCTCTTGGCCAGTTCTGTTTGTGGAGGGGTTGGTGAGGGTGGACTAACAATCAGTGTGTCTTCAGGGTCAAGGTCATCCTGGAAGCCTGCCACCAGGGGGTTGCCTGTCTCCACCTCACTGCAGCATTACATTGTTACTTTCCGTTCAGAATAAGTACAATTTCATCTAAAACTGTTAGAGCCACTGAGCTACCTGGAGGTAGGCCTAGTTTAGAGGTTGACTAATTTAAACATGCCATTGGTCATTTGGTAATGACCATTTGGTCATTTGGCCATTTGGTAAGGAGGTGGTGCCTGGTCCAGTGTTTTAATTTTGCCAACAGCTCTATAATAATGAATTAAGTGAAGCTACAAGTTAACACATGCGTGAATCAATATGATTTAACAATTGTTGGGTTTTGCTTTTTTTCACTTTGGCAAATTCCATCCAGGAAACTACAAAATGACTGCAAGCAACAAACAATCTCCTTGAGAAGTGTTATCTACAGATATTCATTATATAGCTCAGTGATTAGGGTTGTTCTTGATTCTTGGAATAGGTAGACCTGGAAATTATTTCAGTTGTAATCATATCAAATTCCACCTTCCAACAAACCCTTTTTAACTTTCACTGCTAACACTGACCTAAATATCTCTAGTCAAAGGTAATTCTGTAGATATTCTATGGAGACCAATTTACGACAAATGAAGGGCACTTTTTGTTTTTATATTGGGGGTAAAGTAAACACACATTTTGTAAAGTGGACACATTTTGGGTTTTATATTAGAGTATTTTAAGTTGTTATACACACAACTTAAAATTTTACTAGAGATCCTAAGACGATATTATATTTACAAAATTTAAATTTGTATTTATATTACTAAAACTTGCACAATTAATTCCCATGAAAATTTAAGTGTTAAGTGCTCATCTGGAGTGGAGGATCCATCATTTAAGCGGATCCTGGTCACTGCCGTAAACATTTCATCAGTACAGTTCACCCTCGTACTGTACCGGCTCACCCCTTGCTTTGCTGGTAACGTTCCACGCACGGGCAGTTAGTCTATGTGGGCGGGCAAATGCAAGGTTAAAAGAAACCTCCAACCCCTTAAAAAAAATCTTAACGTCATATAATAGTGAGGATATAAATTGTTATTTGATAAAAACTAACAAGTGATGTGATGAAAACAAAATAATTTGTTTGTGTACCTGTCTGAGTCAACTGGGTCTTCTCTTACTTGACCTTTATTGTTGGTTGGAGATTCCTCTAAAAACGACCTGTCCAATTCTCCCCCATCAGGCACAAATTCTTCCACACTATGGATTTTACTGGAAATAGCTAAAAAAGCACAATTCAAATTAGACATCCGCTAATTTCAATAAAGGTAAAATGTAATTCATTGAAAAAGGTTTTGAAACCTATCAGTTTATTATTGTAATTACTTTATTAGGTTTAAACTCTTTTTTTTCAATTCACATATGTCTTGTCCTGAGAGTTCTTTGGTATTTTGTGTTTTACTAACCTTTTAAAGACGCTTCTGTACAAAACATTTTTTTAAATACTCTCATAAATCCTGACAGGTCACCTTAATGAGGACTTAGAATCCCAGATTGTTTGAAAGCCAGATATAATTCAAGATAGTTTATACTCCCTGTATAACACATTCGACCAAGCAACTTGACAAACCATAATGTAAAATTACCTGCAACCTTGTCATCTACAGGTTCGGAAGGCCGGCCGAGTATCTTGGCGGTCACAGGGGTGTTAGGGAAGGGCTGGGGAGGGGGAGCTGCTAGCCGCATTTCTGGCACTGACGGACTCGGCCGTACTGGCTACCAACATAACACAACACATAATAACAAGTGGTTATGGTTTAGCAGTTCTGCCTTATTTTATGAGAGCATATCTTTGATTATCAAGTTTTAGCAAATTTCCAATATAGGGAATAAGCTATTCCGTAGGTCTCATGACTACCTAAACCCAGGGCCTTTTTTTTGTTTTGATGTACCTACAGGCCATAAACACCATTCAATAAAACTTTTATTTTTATTTTGATAACTTGTGTAAAAATGTAAATTTACATTCTAACTGCACTTAAAACAGTAACTTTAAGCAAACACTGTTGTCTTTTTTCGACTAAGATATACAACAAAACAACATATTCGAATAAAGCGCGTTGGAATCTCGGCCCACCCCTTCCAGATAAGATAATGTATTTTTCATATTGGCTAGACAGACATAGCTTAGGAATTCAAGAGTTTCAATGTTTTATTGAAAAATCCTATTTCAGACAGTTAAATTAAAAAATAACAAAAGCAAAACTTTAGCCCCACTTAATTTATACCATTGACAATGTTATCTGAGATAGACCATCTATGTGGTCCTGTAAAACCATTGTTCATTCAAATTTAACAAAGTTTAACCGAGTTACCTATTAAGATTTCAAAATGTCCATTCTACTCTCAAAATTCTATTTTCTTTCTTAGATTTTGGTACTTAAGCGATTGGTGACATAAAAGAGGTTATACCTTCTTACATGGAGATGTCTTTTTCGTTTGGATTGGTTAAAAATTCGGTGTATACAAAATTAGCAAATTAGAAACTATTGGTACATTAGATTGGGGTATGTCTCTCAAAGTCATAACAAAGTTTTTCAGAATTTTCTAAGGGCCGCTTTCCCCAAATCAAGTTTAACTCTGATCGTGGTTTAAACTCTAGTTTAACCTCAGATCCACTTTCCCCAAAATAATTTCTCCGTTTAAACTAGGTTTAAGTTAACCCTCCGGGTGAGGCTGGTTTAACTGGCGATTCATGGGTTAAACCAGAAGAGAAGAAGAATAGCTTGATTTTGATTGGCTCTTGGCTGACTAGTTACGTTCGGCAGACGGCAATGACAAAAAATATCCTTGTTTGACGTTTGTCTTGTCAAACATAACCTAAAATAAACTGAACTGGAAATAAATTAAGAAATAGCAAACCAGAACCCATGTAGACAATTAATTCATGACTATTTCAAATTTAAAAATATAAGGCTACAGATATAATGGTTTTAAGGTTTTTAAATGCGTAAAGTAGGCCTAAATTATTATATTTTCGGTAGGTAGTATTGTAGTTGTGTACAATTGATAGGTTACCTTGTCCACAGAAACGCAACATTGGTTGGAAAGTTTAATCGCTCATAATAAGCCTTTTGGTTTGATTTTATTTTAACACGATTCTTTTGTTACACAAAAGTAAATATTAGTTAACATTCGGGCCTAACCACTAGCCTATTATCATGTGTGAATTAACAACTACTGTAGTAGGCCTAGGCCTGAAATTTAAATTTAGTTTAGAAACATTGATCGAACGTATCTAATGCTGAGTAGCCTATGCCTGTCATTACAAAGGTTAGGCTGTTATGCTCTAGTTTTTAATCCACAAACATTAATTTTGCGTCTTTCCAAACATTTTATTTTCACATGATTGTAGTTAATGCAGTTATTTTATGCGTGCAGTAGGCCTACTGTTTGATTAAGTTTGAGATTAATTAAACACAAGTAACGAAATGCTTATATAATAGCATTCGCCTGCAAATAAAAATGTTTCTTTTTAATGTAAACAATTGGAGACAATGACACGAAACTTAATTCAAATATACAAATAACCAAAACACGAGAAAATTAATGACAGATATGTCATAGTGGGGAGCTAAACAGCTAATATTGCAGACAAAATTGCATAACAGTGTTGCCAACATTGTTGCTTGCAAAGAAATCTAGGTTAAACCAGGGTTAAGCTAAACTTTCATGACAAAATAGTGGGGAAAGCCATCCTAAGTTTAACCCACCGATTAAAGTTAACCGAGATTAAGTTAAACTTGATTTGGGGAAAGCGGCCCTAAGTGTTTTACATTAAACTCAATTGATATTCTGAGACATAGTCGATTCTCCTAAAGACATATTATACATTTTTCCCATTAGATCATCGCACAGACCTGCGGCCGGTCAGACATCGCTGGGGATATCTGCTGGGCACTCTGACTAGAGCTGATCACTGGGGCGTTCTTGCTGTTGAGGTCTGCTTGCTGCCTCCTCTTGCTGGTTAGGTTCTCAATAAACCTGGAGGCAAAATGTAAAATGTACATCAGTGAACAAGATAAAATGTAAATTATGAAACATAACAATGTAAGAAATTGCTTTTTAACAGAAACCACTCTCTTTCTCTGAAGTCTGAGACACTAACAACAATGCTAACATTACTCAAATTAATTTAATTAATTAGAAAAAAATCTGTCAACCTAATGGGAGGGTCTCAGACTTTTGGAGCACACACACACACACACAAATTCGATGGGCTTAAATCACTTTCCCAATTGTTTGTGACTTCTTTATGGAAAATGTCAAAATAGTGTTATTTCCATAGATTTTCCAGTCTAAAGAGGAAGACCAAACCTAATACAATGCAATTAGTTTTAGTCTTGTACCTTCTTTACTTACTTCTCTGAACCCAGTAGCGCAACTCTCTTTAACCCTCCAAGTGTCCATAGTAATGGTATTGATGTCGGCCCATTTATTGCGCAATCGCAGGGTTTTATTAAAATGTATCTTAGAAACTTAAAAACACTTTAAAGTATACTGTTTTATATATAATTTTGTTTGGAAAAATATGGGCTTCAATTTAACATATAAAACATAAAAAAAATTTCATCAATTTTTGTGGGGTTAATATTTCTCAAAAGTTATAAAATAAATGAAAAAAAATTATGTTTGCGCTCAATAAATTGTTATAATTTATAGGTCTACAAATATTTTAAAATAGCCACTTTGTTCAAAATTTTATGAGGGTTCCAAAAATATAATAATATAAGGAAGTAGGTTTGCAAATAAATAAGTTATGAGTGAAAAACAGATGTCGTACATTTAGCGTAAGCTAAGAATGCATAGCCTAACCATAGCTAGGAATCTGGCGGATAATTTACATCAATATCACTACCTACTTCTTCAGGATCATCAACCAGCCCTTCAAAATCACTTAAATCTTCTTATAATGCACCATGTATATCACTACTTTTTATTTTTAACACTTAAACAATGATAAACATAATGAAACACATCAGTCATTGGTGCGAGGTTAACCAAGTTGTTTACAAATACGCACGTCATCTGTCTGCTACAATATTTTCGGAACTAAAATGAAAAGCGTCTAGAAACAGACATCAGGAGAAAGCTCGGAATCTGCCGAAAACAACGATACCTATCTCGATCCAGTTCAATCTGATTCAGTCAGTCCCAGAGCCTTCGCCGTAAATGATGTTTGTGTGTCGCAAAAGCCACGCATAACACCACAGCGGGTGTGTTGTGCGTCGATTACGCGACGCTTAACACTCGGAGGGTTAAACAAGTTTTGAACTTAAAATTGACCTGAGCACTATATAGTTAGTTCATAACCTCATAACCTGTAAATAGTGTAAATAAGCTATTAAAAAAAAATTGACAATTGAATTCTAGATAGGTGGCAACAGCCATTACAGCCACCAGTTTGCCCAACTCTCTTTATAAAATATTTTGTGTTTGCTGTGTCTACTATGGGTATTTTCTATAGATGCTAGCTACTAACTTATCCATTCATTCTAAAAATCACAACAGTCCACAGTACGACATGTTGTTCTTTCAGTTTAGCTTGATTAAAATTATAAATTAGGCGTATAAGACAGAAATCATCATTAGACATCAACTGTAGCCTACTATGGCACTGTAAAATTATGCTTGTGTTCTCTTAATACCTACTATGTATGGTCGCCATTTCATAAAAAAGTATTAAAGTATGAAAATGTATAGAATACTGTCTTTTGTCAACACACTTGGTCTGTGATGCAATTAAATGGGTTGTCTACTACTCCCCATAGCCAATGTTAGACACCATAAACCAATAGTAGATATGACACAAATTAACACTCAGTGTTATCTAGCTCACTTGTCGTAGTCCGCATGTTCACTTTGCTGGAACAGATCAAGTTCCTCAAGAGTCGCCTGAGTCTCAGCCTGGTTCCGCTCCAGCTGTCCGAGTAGCGTCTGTCGCTGAAGCTGTAGGAACGGCAGACAGAAGAACTTGTGCAGCAGCTTCAGCCCAAAGCCGTTGCTCATTGACGCCTCAGCGTAACGGATCTGAGCCGATCCCAGTGGTCTGTGAATGTTTATATTGAATGTAGAGCAATTTGATCATTTATTTTATAGAAAGGATTTTACCTGAAAGCAAAAAAATATGTCAAATAACACTTGTAGTTGTTACATAATTTTTACAAGTGTTATATATTTGACATATTTTTTGTGCTTTCAGGTAATTTAATAACACGTACGATGCTGATAAAGAATTTATTTAAAGGATTTTACAAATAGTTAAATTCAATAAGAATATAAAAAGGAACTTCTTTAATGTTGCAGCTTTTATTTTTCGCAGAAGACACTTTACTTTCTGTACACACACACAGTTTCCACCATTTATACTTTTCCTCTCAGTTGACACCTTTACAAGCTATAAATTGTTATTCTGACAAAAAGCTAATTGAAATCAAGCAAGAAAAATATTTTTGTTGATTTGGACCATTGGTGGTCCTGTAAATTTCCACAAATCTCGTTTGCATTATCAGTCTTATTCAGGCTAAGCGCAGGTGGGCCTAAAGCTTAAGTGTTGCTCTACAGATAAGTTGCCACTCAATACCAACAATCTTCGGTCCCAGTCTGGTAAAGAATGTTTGTATTTTGTGTTCATCTCCACCATTGCAAGAACAGTCCAAACTCTGGTCATGTTACCTTCTAACCTCAACCTCTGGTTAGATTCATGATAGCCCAATGACAAATGGCATCCAAGACTACAGTGACCTTCATCTTAAGGCGGTTGCCATAACCATTCGGCTACCCAGATAAATGTAATCCTTAGAGTTCTGTATGGTCGTTTCAACCATTTGCCTACCTCTGTATTGTGTCAATGTACGCAGCTGCTATATCAGCTGTGACAGTGCGATGGTGTGACATGTCGCAATGGTTACCCAGCACCAACACCGGGATGTGGGCTGGCACTTTGGCCAACTCCTTCTGTACATAGTCAAACGACCTGTAAACATTAATTTTGTTACTAACCTGATCACTGTATTACAATCAGACATATTTGCTTTATTTATATTTTTGTTTAAAAGAATTCAATGAAAAAAAAAACATACAAACAATACTTGATTACTGTAGATGTATCTATTCAATGCGGTTAGAAAATAAACATAGATAGTTCTCGTTATACATACATGCATTTCGGCAAAGTGCAGCACATTATGCATACTGCATAGATTGAGAACTACCCTCACACTGTAGATCGAAATTGTTTTTGCTATTCATTCTTAGAAAAACGAAGCTTTTCACTTGTGTTATTTTATGTAAAATAAACAACAATAGGCCTATTTGGCAAATTATTTCTTTTATTTTTTTTATTGTAGGCTACCGGTAGTAACATACAAATACCCCCGCCGCAGCAAACCTGCAGACTAAGCGAATTTCCATTTGACTGATTGGATTTACACTGAAATGTCTACTTAAAAATATAACATTTATTCCCGATTTAAATAGAATTAGTTTAACAAGTACTTAGGTTTGCTGCATCAGAGAGGGTAAAATTGTTTTTTTTTTTGTAAAATGTTAATAGTTAGTAAGAAATAAAAACATTTTCCAAATTTGATCAAAATATGTTCATAAACAAGCAAACTACAACCGTTTACTTATTCTCCATAAGAATAACATGGGAATTTTAAATTTACAATTTTTTTGAATTTTCTCCGTAACCGTTAGGCGCATAATAACGCTTCAATATACTAAATTATTTGTTTTTTTAAGCTCTACAAAATGGTTTGGAAATAAATTGCAAAATTTTAAGTTTTTTGGGTCAAAAATGGGAAAAACCTATTTTTACCCCATAAAACCCCCCGTAAACACCCGTTCCCATGGTCCGATCATGCTGGATCGCGAACTCGTTCGAATAAACGTAGGTTTACACGTTTGTACCAAATTTCATCAAAATCGGATCATTTTTGCTTGAGTTATCGTGCTGACGGACACATATATATATATATATCCAACAAAAAACCACTAAGTGGTAACACTTCCCCCGCCAAGTCAGCAACCCAAAAAAGACAATAAATCACCACTTTTCCGCCAAGTAAAACAATGTAATGTATGTAAGTTTGGCAACTTGGCGGCAGACTTTTGCTTGTTTTTTTTTCATTAAAGTTACGTTGGTGGATAATTTCACAAATCAACTTCTCTAATTAATTAGTCCAACTAAGTATAATAATTTCGAGGTAATCAGTAAATATAAAACCATCACTATTATGATTTTATGAAATGTGACACAAATAAGGTCAAATTTTGTAAAATAAGCTCTCATCTAGCAATGTACTATTGGGAGAGATACTTGCTCAATGAAACTAATTTTATGGTATTTTTTAAAGTGATCAAGCAAAAGTCTGCCGCCAAGTGGCCAAAGTTACATACATTACATTGTTTTACTTGGCGGAAAAGTGGTGATTTATTGTCTTTTTTGGGTTGCTGACTTGGCGGGGGAAGTGTTACCACTTAGTGGTTTTTTGTTAGATTGTATTTATTTTTGTAGAAAATTAACAGTTAAAATAAAAATCCTCTTTTCTCTTATATAGACCAGGGCACAACTACACATAAAATGCATTGGTGTTACATAAGTGTTCCGATAATTAAACCCGTATATCTAAAGACTAGTGTAAATTGAGCCCTTATTAGAGAAGTAAAAATGTAATCAAACAGATTAGGTTTGTTAGAAATAGCATAAGGCAAAACAAATATTGAAAAACTCATTTTTATCCTAAATTTACATATCACTTTTTACATTCACTTTTTTGCTTGTTTAACATACGTAGACGAATTTTCCCGATTGTTTTATTTGTTTTAGTGTATCAAAACATAAAACTAACCTTATTTAGTTAAATAAATTTTGGCAATATTATGAAGAAACAATGTTAAAACTAACCTTAGTACTAGTACTAAGTTTCAAGTTCCTAGGTTTCATATGTTTTGATAAGTAGTATTAAACTGTTAAAAATGACGAGCTGCTGTACCAGTGTACCATCGGTACACTGCATTTTTCAATGGAAAGTATCGGGGAATATCACTGCTCTAAGTAATTTTATATAGTAAGTAGCTCAAATCATTCGGTATACCTGAAAAAAATACTTTATAAAAGTTTTAAAATAATTTTTCAGCTGATCCTATGAATTTCTCTAACATTTTAAATTAATTGAGATTTAATCGCAGCTGATCCTTCTTTTGTTTTGATTTTAATCCCATGTTATTTAAATGGGCCAAAATCGTACTTTGAGGGCTTGCCAAGGGTTTATGGGTCAACGCACCGACTTGTGACCCTCAAAAGGCACATCTACACGCTAAGGGCTTTCAAACAACATAAAAAACATTAAAATTGAGCCAGTGGTTTGGGCTGTAGGTCCGTCAACATTTAAGGAGAACACGGAAAATTTGTGAATTTTCAAACTAGTTTTTCTTGGCTCAAACACAACCTTTTTTTAAATTCTTTTTTTTATTTTGCCAAGAATGATTGCCCCTATCCAGTGGATGAACAATTATTTTAATAGCTTTTGTTTCTTCAGAGCTATAGACGAGTAAAAAAGCCACTTTGTCACGTCATGTATATATACACTGCAGCAGCTGTGTACCGCTGGGGGACTTGGCGGGGCGGAACGCTGCCGCGTTCCTTAATATATAAATATATAAATATATAAATATATATATATATATATATATGAATTTGAACGGATGGTGTTTTTGGCCTCTAGGGACCTCAAAACGAAAAAAAAAAATCGGTCCCGAGTCCAGGTCTTACCATGAGTACTACGGTAATAGCTTATTCCCTATATGGGAAATTCGCTAAAATGATGATTCATGTATATACGAAATCGTGTAACCTTGGAAGACTGCGGATCACAGCTTTTACATTCTTTAACAATACCCATTAGGCCTACTGTGATTTTAGGTTATTTTTGTTATTTTTTTTCCTAAGCAATTCGGATAGTTGCAGTTTACTGTAAATTGTAGAGGCCACTCACCAACTCTTCGTAATATCCAAGACTAATATGACCCCGTTAGTTCCCTTGTATACATCTAAGAACTCTGCGTCTAGAGCTGGTGGGCTGGCGTCATTCTCACCCAGCTTGAGACCTTCCATCAAAACTCTCTTCTTACCCTTGTCTACGACATCCCACACTTCGACCTTCACTACATCGTCCGTAGCCTTGTAGTTCCACTGAATGCTAGCAACCTGGAATGTGGTGAAAGTGGACTGCTCAGTTAAAAGCGATGGAATAGATTCTCTGAGAGTTGCACCTCCAAACAGGCATTTTATTAACTTTCTACCTATGTAGATGTCAACTTGAAATGAGTTTTTAAGAAGCAGAATCTTTCTACAAATAAATACCCCCGTCGCAGCAAACCTGCATACTAAGCGAATTCCCATTTACCCGGCTTGATTTCTACTAAAATATTCCCTATAAATTTTCAGATTTATTTCCTATTTAAATAACATTAATTTTAGTGAGTAGTTAGGTTTGCTGCTACGGGGAAGATGTTGAGGTGTGTTTTTTCAATTGAAATATTGATAGCTTAGTATGAAATAAGCCAAATTGCCAAATTTGATTAAGATATATCCATAAACAAGCAAATTAGAACAGTTTATTTATTCTCCATTAGAATAACATGGGAATTTTAAATTTACAATTTTTTAATTTTCTCCGTAGTCAATGAACGTTCAAAAAAACTTCAATATACTAAATTATTTGTTTATTTAAGCTCTTCAAAATGATCTAGAGAGAAATTTAGAAATTTAAAGTTTTAGGGTCAAAAATGATAAAACCCCATTTTTACCCCATAAAACCCCCCATAAACCCCTGATCTCATGGTCCGATTATGCTGGTTCGCGAACTCGTTCGAATAAATGTAGGTTTACACGTTTGTACCAAATTTCATCAAAATCGGATCAATTTTGCTCGAGTTATCGCTCTAACGGACACATATATGAATATATATGTATACTAGCTGTAACCCACGGGCTTTGCCCCGTTTAACTTCTTAATTTTCAAGATTATCTCGTTCGCATGGCTCAATCACGTCCTTGTTGAAGTTTGTTCGCTACGCTCACTCACCTTTAGGTTGGAGCTCGTTCGCTACGCTCACTCACCTTTAGGTTGGAGCTCGTTCGCTGCGCTCACTTGCCTTCAGTTTAGATCGTTCGCTGCGCTCACTTGCCTTCAGTTTAGCTCGTTCGCTTCGCTAACTCGCCTCCAGGTTGAAGTTCGTTCGCTACGCTCACTCACCTTTTGGTTGCAAATTAGCTGTTGTCATAAATATGTAAAAGAAATAATAGTGCTGCACCCTGTTGGTAATCCTTGTAACTTTAATGCTATTGAACATCATAGAACAGGACCAAGTTGTTTAATTGAAACAGCTGTTAAGATTCAATAATTCCATTTCTCATTAGGTTAACATGGGAAACTCCAGAGCCACTGGGGCGGAGCCCGAAAGGATTTTTGAAATAAGAATATGCCTATATGTTAATCGGGAATGTCAGCTATCATCATGCCAAATTTCAGCCCAATCCGACCAGTATTTTTCGCGTTCACTTGTCACAAACATACATCCATACATCCATATATCCATACATCCAAACTTTCTCATTTATAATATTAGTAGGATATATATATATATATATATATATATATATATATATGAATTTGAACGGATGGTGTTTTTGGCCTCTGGGAACCTCAAAACGAAAAAGTAAATCGGTCCCGGGTCTAGGTCTTACCATGAGACCTACGGTAATAGCTTATTCCCTATATGGGAAATTCGCTAAAATGTGTTAGCGAATTTCCCATATAGGGAATGAGCTATTACCGTAGTACTCATTGTAAGACCTGGACCCGGGACCGATTTACTTTTTCCTTTTGAGGTCCCTAGAGACCAAAAACACCATCCGTTCAAATTAATATACAGGGTGTCCCGGAACTCTCTACCAATATTTTAGGGCATTGTTCCTGGGTAGTTAACATACCTAAATATCATATTCAAATTTTCCAGAAGTCCTTAGTTACTCACACAGCCGCCATTTTGTTTTTTTATGTTATTAATTTTTTTCTACGGAATGGTTAAACATACGAAATTGAAACTTTGCACAAACATTTATGACAACTAGACAAAGCTACCAAAAAATTATGGAGATTTTTAATATTCATAAAACAAAATGGCGGCTATTTTAGATTTTGTTTCTTAACGGTTTTCGAGTCATTTAAGAAACAAAATCTAAAATGGCCGCCATTTTGTTTTATGAATTTTAAATATCGTCATAATTTTTTGGTAGCTTTGTCTAGTTGTCATAAATGTTTGTGCAAAGTTTCAATTTCGTATGCTTAGAAAAAAATTAATAACTTAAAAAAACAAAATGGCGGCTGTGTGAGTAACTAAGGACTTCCGGACAATTTAAATATGATATTTAGGTATGTTAACTACCCAGGAACAATGCCCTAAAATATTGGTAAAGAGTTCCGGGACACCCTGTATATATATATATATATATTTTATCTTGATTAAATTAAATTAAGGAAACAGCTGTTGTAATGTAATGTAATGTAATAACCTAATTTTTTAAACAAATCTATGCATAACAAATGAGAGCTATCAAATAGGTTTCTATTCCATTTGTTTTTTACGAATATTTGTTGTCAAATCAAATGAAGGCAAGTGAGCGCAGCAAACGAGCTCCAACCTAAAGGTGAGTGAGCGTAGCGAACGAACTTCAACCAGGACGTGATTGAGCCATGCGAACGAGCTCATCTTGAAAATGAACGAGCATTGACATAAAACCACATTAGGACAGGACGACGTCTGTCGGGCCAGGTAGTAGGGAATAAATAGGCTATGTCTTATTTATGGAATTATTTTAGCAAAAAAGTAATCAGACAAGTTGAAATTCGCTTAGTCTGCAGGTTTGCTGCGGCGGGGGTATTTTTGTAAGTGTGATTTGTAAGGACTCAGATTGAAAAAATCTAAAGAGTTATTGTTTTGACTAGAGCAAACAAAATTACAAAATCATAACTTTTACCTGAATTTCTTCAGTTGGAGTGTACTCTTCAATAAACTTCTTGCCTTGTAGTCGATGAAACAAACAAGTCTTTCCAACATTTCTATCCCCTTTGATTATTATTTTCACTAGAAAATATAAAATCAAGCACAAATTGATTAATAAATTATAAAAAAACAACTTAATAAAATCAACAATGGAGCCTAATCAAGTCTAGACAACATAGGAAACTATTATGGATTGTTCACAAACTATCATATTAAACAATATATAGTATGATTTCAGTTACAAAAACTTATGCAGAAATTTATGTTTTCTATGTGGGAGTTCTATAAGACAAATTGGTAGAAACTCATCTTGATTATCTGTGGTAATGGAGGAGAGAAAGACAATAACCCAAACCCACCAATGTATAGTTGAGTTGAAAATACAAAATGTTTTTACCTATTTGATTGCTCTAAAAATATCTAGACATTACTTCCCTGATAACGTTGTACTGTTTACCTACCTGAAATACCTACGTTTTGTTAATTATGTCTTTGAAATGTTCATGTTTTTAATGAGCATACAAGAGTGACATTGTTGACAAACAAAGCAATAGGTCTTCTTGTACTGAGTCTAAAAAAGATTAAGGCCTACTAGTACTTGTTATACATAGTCCAGGCTAGTTGCACTTTAGCAATGGTTTTGAAATCAGGCTAGACAATCGAAAAAATTAAATTACCTGTGTCTGCCTATCAATCCTGTTGTATCCTTTACAGAAAATGCATTTTAGCGAATTGAATCACCATCATCAGTCCTAATATAAGCTCTTCAACTTCCCCATTACCTCGAGTTTGAAACCACATACACAAACATTACACATAAAAACGTTAACGAATAAAAACGGATAATGCATGGTAGGCCTACTTTCATTTAAACTAGGAACATGTATACGCACTTCGGTCGTGAGTCGAGGCTCGACTGGGATCAGACGTTACTAGCAGAATTGGTTTCAAATAAAATGTTGTATTGAAGTGTACTTTTATTATTCAGAAGGTTATGGGGGACGGTTTTAACTTAGCTGTTCTATAAATTTCATATTGTTCTAATGCTGTCATTCAATGTCATTAGCCCTGTGTTTTCAAACTTCAAGAGGCACCTGTAATGGGTAAGTTCAAGGGCTTATATTAGGACTGATGATGGTGATTTAATTCACCAAAATGCATCTCCTGTAAAGGATACAATACAACAGGATCAATCAGTGGACACAAGTAATTTAAACTTTTTTGATTGTCAATATTGATCCGGAACAAAAACAAACAAAAATTAGGCAACCTATATACATTTGTTAACCAAACTTACTGTTGTACTGAATTCCCTTTGCAAACTTTTTCTGGAGGTTTTGAGACATTGTATGATGGCCTGGAGGTCCTGATGAAGGTAATGACTCATTTTTGCTAGTCAGTCGCTTTAGTGCAGAAAACATTTTAACCTTAAACAAAAACATAATTTAAGCTAGGCTCATTTAATTTAGTATGTACATTGCAAAACATAATTAATTTACATGCTTAGGCATGTCACACGTGCCATTGCATCACCAATAAGTTAGGCCTAGATTGAAATTTGTTTATAAGTTACTTTTAATACTTTTCAATTAAATGGTGACCATACAAAGTAGGTATTTTAAGCCAAGTACAGATGGAGATGATTGTAGGATGAGTGGCGCGATCTTGTACAGTAGTCTTGTTAGTGACTAAGGCTGACTTAATCCTTATACACAGCTGTAAATTAATAGCCCATACAGCTAATGGCAACTAAGGGACCTACAGTTTATAGTGGCTTCCGAACCACATTTTTACCTTGGTATAAACGAATTGGTCTAATTTTCAGGATAGTAGGCCTATTGCAAATAGTCACTCACTCGTGCGGACGTTAATCGACACCAGGGAGTATCACATCCACAGTACATGCCTAAAAATACCCACAATTCGGTATGAGCTAAAACCAATCAACATAATTTACATGATATCCCACGGGTGAAGCAACACCCATAAGCATCTCTTCTGCTTTTGGTGACACCGAGATCATCTCCCCCGATATCATGAATACCCATCAAGAGCAACTTAGGTGATTTTGGCAACACCATGATTGTCTCCTGCTTTGCAACTTTCTTAATACACGATGACCCATACAACATTCAAAAATATTTTCTAAATAGACATTCAATACTAATAGAATAAATAAGTTGGCCTAACTTAACAACAAATTTTAAATAGGCTACTTTCACTTGCCAGCATCTCATAAAAGTTAATTTGTGACAACTCTACTAAGTGCACTGCATATCATTTAGCCTTATAGGATGGTTAAAAAATTGCAACAACAGCTTAAACTCTGAATAAAATAGGCAAATGATTTTGCTCCCCAAAAACAGCTCCAAAAGACATCTATTAAGTTGGTTTATTAGCCCTGGTAAAATTCTAGGTCAAATTAGTGTCATCTACTAAAATGTAAAAGCTATGCAAACAGAGTTTAGGCACCTACATATATTTGATAATTCTCAGTTAAATATTCCATTTACTGTAGCACTTTCATAGAGCCATAGACCCTTCTTTTGAGTTTTGACTTCCATATGGATGAAAAAAATAATGTTTCATACATTATAGGTAAAAAGAACATTATGGTTGGTATTTATTTAACAAAATGCCTTCACTGTATTAGCTATCTTTTTTATGAAATTCAAAGTTTGTGGGTATATTTGTACCAATATTGTTTTAACACTAAGTTGTGTCTATAATCTTGACTAGCCTAACTTGTGTCATAGTAGGTTTACCTTGTAAGTTTAAAAATTAGTGTACACTATTAAATCAATTTATGGAAGATGACACTCTACAAATAACAACACTTTTCCATATTATTGAAATATTCTTCAGCCATATCATTCAGTTGCATTAACATTACTTTATTATTTATACCGTCCTATTTGCTAGGTTTGCACACAACATAGCCTACCTAGTACCTACATACAAATTTGACAGTGACAGCTCAAGAAGAGTTATTTTCATGTTTTTCAGTACACAGCGTCGTCTGTTCACTTTCATTTATTTCGCAGGCAGCTCAATATTTATACCAATGAAGCTTTAAAACTGTGTTTAGTGAATTAAAGGTAGTCATATATCTAAAAAAGATTCATAGAGTTTTTTTTATTATCTTTGGATACTGCAAGTACACTCATCTTCTCTCTTATTTTTATTAACTATGTATCTCTTTTATATCAGGATAAAAATGTAAAAGGTACTTTGGTCTTTACATCTTCAATGGTGAAGAACACAATTGGCTGGATAGCTGAGTGGTTATAGAGCTCGCCTTCGATTCCAAGCGAAATTGTTACCAGACCCAGATACCATTGCTCATTGCCATTGGACATGGTTTCTAACAAACAACCATTCGATTCGACGTTAAATAGTAGAGCTCACGCCTTTACAAAAAATTTTAATAAAAAGTGCCACTTGCGTGGATGGACACAATTGTGATATAATTAAGATTTTGATCGAAACTCGATTAAAATACTTGCTCATAGCATTCACATGGTTTCTCAAATGTTGTTAACGTATATTAGCAATCCATTTCACATGTATTAACTATGATCAGTGCGTCGGAATTGATTTCGATCTGTACAAAAATGGAACAGAGAGTTATCATTGACTAACAATACAATACAAATAAATATCTTTATTCAACAGCTTCAAGCATATGGTGTCATACCATGGTGGTGTCATACGCTTTTTGAAACAAAAAAATAGCTCAACCTGGGCCGTAATAATGTTAATAGCTAATAGATTTGTTATGCTATTTATTTATTCGATGAAGTTTATAACCATATACACTAAGTACTGCCATAGATTAAACATACTCCCTTGGTTAGTCTATGGTACTGCGGTTTAATCAGACCGTAACCATAATGTTGCCAGCTGTATTTACATGTCAGTATCGTACTAATTTTGTTACTTATTCTATGTCTGTATACTCTATGCGAAACTGCCGTGACACAATTAAAAAATCTGTTATTCAAATAAATTCGAGGTTAGTTGGTTTGGTTGGTTACTTTTTGAAGTTTAAACTTGTACGAGAATTTATTTATATTCTGAATTAACTTGTCCGCCCGAGACCATTTATTTTATATTTAGAATAGGCTATTTAGATTATTCGGGAAATACAAAAATGTGATTAGGCCTATATGAAACCAGTTTTCATTCGGTTGGCATCAAAAATATATTTCGGTCGAAAGTAAAAAAATCATATTAATATTCAGGATCTGCCTTGAAAACCATCATAGGCATTTGGCATTAAGTTATAACATAACTCAAAAAGTGGCCAAAATGGGTGAGTATCTATTTTTGTTACATTTATTAACTTTTTATAATTTGCTAATTTAATAGGCCTAGGCCTATGCTAAAATATCTGCTAGGCCTATTAGCAAAGGGATTGTAATTAGGAGCTTGTATTCAGAATGATTTAAATTTACTTAAACTTAGGTCTAGGTCGTTAGAGCCATAGTTCCCATAGTTAGTAGGGATGTGCTTAATGAACTGTTTTTCGCGCTAAACCGTTTAGCTGTAAACAGTTGCCAGCGTTTAACTAGCTTAAACAGTTGTCAAACAACAGTTTAGCTGAAACCCTGTTACCCACCACCTGCCAGCCAACTGCTTATAGCCTAGTGAATCTGATATCGGTTATAGGCCTATGTTGCTAAAAACCGTTTTCAAATGCTTAGTATTGAGTATAGTTGTTATTCTGAATAATTTATTAGCCTACCTACCTCATTTCAAAGCGCTTTGACGGCCAGCATTGGTCTCGGCTAAGCTTGATCTCGGCTAACGCTCTATTTCTTGAACCCATTTTTTGGCCGTCGGTTAAAACTGGGCGAGATCAACGATAATCGCGGGCCACGAAACTCCTGGTAAATAGGCTATTTTAAACTATTCATTATGTTAGGTACTAAATATGGTATTTAATTAATGAACATGGTTTGTTATTGTTATTTTTTTATATTTGAGGTTTATCTATTTATTGCCTCTAAATGATTGAATCTTTTTCTTTCAGATCAATCAAATTTTCTCATTGACTTCAGTAGTCCAGCTCACAAGAATGATTTAGCTCTTCCCCTCATACCAATTCCGCCTCAAATGACTTTAGCTCCAAAAGCACTCGATGAACCATTTGCTGATCCCTTTGAAGTGCAAGAAGTTGCCGCACCTGACCCATTTGAGTGTGTGTTACAAGCCGCCGCGAATAATTCCATCAGTGAGCAAACAGCAGCAAAAGAGTCAGATGTTTCTCTTAACATCAAAGATGAACTAATCAAAAGTCCTAAAAATGGTGAAAATACCAACAGTGTAAAGTCCCCTGATGTCAAACATAATGAAAAACTAGTGGAACCAGTGTTTAGTTTCCTCCCCAATATTGAATTGAATAAAACCTCCATAGCCAATCATGAAGCAACCAGCAGGAATGAAATTCCTAATGATAATAAAGTTCCTGAAAGTATCCAGGGTAACAACGTAATTCCAAAGAGTGCTCAAGACTTGACGAAAGACTCTTCAAAATTGTCAGCTGCAATAGAAAGTGACAGCAAGTCTCATATATCAACTGATTTTTCCACGGAAGAAAGTTTGAAAGAGGTTATTGCTAAAAGAGTTAACAGATGTATTCAGGACACACTCAATGGCAGCGTAAAAAATTCAATGTTTAACAAACAACAAAACAAAAGATCACTGTCTTTCATTGGATTATCTTCTGCGCCTAACAAGGAGTTTGATAGGCTAAACAAAAGCTGTACAGATGCTATCAATACTACAAATTTGGATGACCTAAATATCGATGCATCAAGTGATAATTCCGGTTTTGGAATTTTAAGCCCAAACTCTACTGAAGTAAGTATTTTGTGTGATAAAGTAGAATAACGCTTACTAAGTTATTGGCTATCTTAGATGATCAACATTTTAAGTTTAAAAAATTTACATTGCTAAGCAATTGACGTGTTGTACTGTAAAATTCCAATACATTCATCTTATTCACAGTGGAGTGTTGGTTAATGTTTGCAGAGAGACAATGTAAAATCAAATGAACCAACCTGGTTTGCTCTGCCATATATTTGTGCTATAAAATATCTGTTAACAATTGATTGTTTTTCTTTTCAGCGAATTTCCCTAAATAAGCTATTACCATAGGTGGAAACTACAATACAATACTAGAAATACCTAGGCCCGGGACCTATTTACTTTTACATTTTTATGTTTCTAGAGGCCAAAAACACTATTTGTTCAAGTGTTTTGTTCATCGGTGTTTGTGTGTCTAGTCCATGAACAGGATTATTCGAGAAATTTTGGCTTGATTTTGATAAAATTTGTCATGAATGTGTTCTAGATAAAGGAACTTGATTGAGTTCGGGAACCAGCAAGATCGGGCATTAGGAATGGAGTGTTATGGGGTTTTAAAACTATTCAAAAGTTTTTTTCTTTAAATATAGATACCTATGCAAAATTTTTTACAGCCATTGTGTAGGCTGTAGGACTTAATTTTTTTTTTTTATGAGAATTATTGTACAAAATTAAAGGTAAAAGACAAACAAGAGAGAAAAACAATTATTGTTCCCTTCCTTGGGAACCTAAATAAGTACCGGTACGTGGTAAATCTAATTTTAATGTTAATACAAGGAACAAATATGAGTTGCTCAATGATATATTTTGGTAAATATCAATCAGATGAATTGAAATTCCCTTAATCTGCAGGTTTGATGCAGCAGGGGTGTTTGAAATAACTATTTCTGATTGTTGCTTGCAGGTATCGTTGGAATCAAATGTTGAAGACAAAGTGTTCAAAGAAGCTCATAAACTATCTCGCACATTCAGTAAACTTGCAGAAAGTTTTAGAAGAGACCAAGGTAAATAATTTTAAATTACGTAACCCTTTGCGGTCAAACGGTGAGCATAGGTCGCCGCCCGCCATTTTTCCAACTGCTCAAAAATGGCGACCTCTACTGAAAAAAAATCAAAAATTCAAAAATCAAAAAAGATTATTTTTGCAGTTGAATGGCGAGTGTAGGTTACCGGGCGCCATTTTCCCGACTGCTCTAATGGGAAAAAAATTCAACTTTAAAGGGTTATATTGTAAATTTTACCAAACTATAAGTGATGATCAGGGCTACAATTTACAAAAAAATAAATACTTCCACTTTCGGTTGACACATTAGTAATTGCAGAAACTGTAACAAAGGCCAATTATCAAGGCCATTAGTTTGTCAGGTTTACCGACCTTAACTTCTAGAGCGTCTACATTTAAAGGTGGGCTTGAAACCACCGTGAGCACTACAAGTGATTGACAATAACTGAACCAAAGTCATTAGGGAAGAAGTCCCTGGGCAAACCAACCCTTAAAGTGTTAGCAGTATGATCACACTTATTGTTGTAGCTATGCCTACATTTACTTTAGTTGTTCCCTTGACTATATGTTAGTTTTGTAAGTTGCTTAGTGAGCCATATTTGTGAAGAGCTTAATTTGTTATTTGCAAACAACCAGAATCAGACTCCGACAGTGAGGACCTGTTTTCTTGCAAGCCCCGGTGGTACGCTGATAGCAGCGAAGATGAAGAAGAAAAACTACGGAAGGACCCCACGCTGAACTTCCGCCGGCGCAGTGATGGAGTAACATGCAGTTCACCTGCGCCTGCGCCATGTACTAGAGTGTTGTCGGACTCACCGGCGCTTCTGGCATACAAGTCTCGGCGCTCACTTACTCACGTGCAGACTGAACTGGATTACACACAGGTATGAAACATTATGTTATTTGTTTTGAAATAACCCCTGTAATACTTAGCAATTGCTCGAATTTGAGCAACAAGTACACTAGTGCCACATCAATTAGCCTTTTCTATATACAGAGGCTTTGTATTAAATAGTGTTAGGTCCATTTAGCACATAGGGCCAAAAGATGTGCCTTTTGTCCCCAATAAAAGGGCAATGGGCTGGATTTTTATCTTAAATAAAAACTAGAAACTTAGTTCTTTAAAGTTTATTAAATGCAATGAATATAACTTTTACTGTAGAAGACTACTTGTGTAGTACTTGTGTAGACTATTTGTGTACTTGTGTATGATTTTAATTACTGTACTTCTATGAGACAAAAACGTATTGGCAATATCAAATGTGATGGTGCTAAAATCAATTGTTTGCTGGGTATGTTACAGGAAGAGGTTACAATGAAGAGGAGTGTTTCTATGGGATCTCACCTCAAAGAAGTCACAGTTATTCCTCCTCTTGTAGCGGCAGGTGAGTTCAACAAAAAACAAATTTTCTTCATAGAAAGTACTAAAATAATGAAAAGACTGCAAGTTAGTCAAGCTTGTCTTATATTAGCTTAATATTTACAGAGATGAAACATTTACTCTACTTATGTATGAATACTACTTAACATACAATTGTTTTAGGCCCGATCAACATCATGAAAAATGAAGCCCAGCCAATTAAACTGAGAAAGAAGTTTGGTGGAGATACAAAAAAAGGACCATTGAAAGCTGTGATGCCAGTTCAGAATATGACGAAGGAACCATTCACAATGTCTGGTGAGAATATAACAGAATTGCTTCCCAACATTGCTTGTGAGAATAGCAGGCTTACCTGAATAGGAAAGAGCCCAACGTGGTACATGAAACACTCAACTTTAGACCATACACAAAACATCAGAATATTTCACTTTAACTGTGGGTATTTTCAACTTAGGAAGCAATGAGTTGAAGAAAGCGTGTTCTTTAGACATGAAGTCATCTCTCTAAAACTCATTTCTTCCTTAGTTGAAAATGCTGTCATTAACAGTGAAATGCTCTTATGTTTCGTGTATGATGTAAAGTTTTGTTCCTTGTGCCATATTGGACTCTTTCCCACTCAGGTAGGCCTGTTATCTTTAAAAAAAATTATTAATACCTAGACCCTTGTGCTACATGCTACACCCTTGACCTCAGAATCAGGCCTACTATTAACAAAACCATTTTCACACTGAGGTGAATAAATAACTAACTATTGTATTTTAAAATGTAAAAGATGTATTATCGGTCGAAATTTAGCTGCGATTCGAAGTGTCAGACTATGAGTCCCTAGGCCAGTGATGGCCCGTTGATGGCTCTTCCTAATTGATTGTAGAATCTTCATAGTAGGAGCAATGCTGGGTTTTAACGGCTTACCAACTTGGATTATTATAAACAATTTTACAAAATGTTTGGCCTACCTATTTCGTATCATATCTGATTCTTTTAGACAGTCAATCGCCTTAATTAACTATCCAAACTTATGTTAACTAGGATTCGTGTGATGCCAAACACCGACCAAACTTTAAAATACATTGGTACATTCCAAGGTGTTGGAGATGTTTTAAGATAAAGAACATTTTTTAATGTTTGATTTTAGCAAATTTCCAATTGGGAATAAGCTATTACCGTAGGTTTCATTGTGACACTTGCCCCCAGGGACAGTTTATTTTTGTTTTGGTGTCCCCAGATGTCAAATACACCACATGGTTCAAACTCATATACGAGGGGTCCCGTCCATAAATTGTGCATTTTAATAGGGTTCAAAACTTTTTTGAGGCAAAACGAAATCCAATGCAATACCTTTTTACCTTTCAAAGATTATGTTTGTTTGAGACAGTTTCTTATGATTTGTGTTTCAGGAAAATTATCAAAGAAAGACAGCTCGCCCGAGACGAGAATGCCAAGATCATCAGCCCATGCTTTGCGTACTCCTGTTAAGGTAAAAAAATAAGACAGTTGGGAAACTTTGGAGAAACCGTAAAATACAAATATGTACAAATATCTAGTTCAAACTACATTGTGCACATTTTATTTCATAAAACCTAAAACACTAAACCATTTTCTAATCCAGTGAATAGAGGTCTGTTAACTTACAAACGGTCCAGTAGTTCTAAATTTTTTATATGTTGTCTAGGATGGTAAGTAGGTATTTAAAATGCAAAATGCACAATTCCCCCCCTCCGCACCCTCCGCCATAATTGAAAAATTAGAAAAAATTGGCACTTTCTTGAGATTTTCGCCTATATCTCAGTTTTGGTGCCTTATAGTGAAAATGAAGATATGGTCAATGTTGTACTTTTGTTTGTATTCTTTTAATTTTAAGATTTGAATATCAATTGGTAATTTGTAAAATAATTTTCTTAAAATTTCTTATTTTAATAAAGATCATTCTTACGTTACTTACATGTAACAGTACAATGCTCATGTTGCTGGTACTATATTCCCCTTAAAAATATTTACTACAATCCATGTTGTTCTTATGGATAACTAGCAGAGCTATATGTTAATTGGGAATGTAAGCTATCATCATGCCAAATTTCAGCCCAATCCGCCCAGTGGTTTATGCGTGATTGAACTTCAAACACACAAACAAACAAACACACAAACTTTCACATTTATAATATTAGTAAGATAAGATAATAAACTGTTGCAGTTGTTTGTTTATAGATATATTTTAATCAAATTTGGCAATTTTATTTTTTTTCATACTAAGCACTAATCTATAAACATTTCATTAAAAAACACAACTATAGCAGCAAACCTAAGTACTCATTAAAATTAATGTTATTTAATAAGGAAGTAAATCTGACAATTTGAAGGGAATGTTTTAATAGAAATCCATCCAGGTTAATGGAAATTTGCTTAGTCTGTATGTGTGCTGTGACGGGGGTATTTATTAACTAAAATTCAAGCCAAAACAACAACAAAATTTGAAGTGTTGAATTAAATGTGGAGTAATTAAAGCAAAATAACATGTTGTGCAAAATAACATTGTTTTAGACCCATTGTTTTAATTTGCTTTGTTTGTTTTTTTAATTTTTTTGCCCCCTTCAAACGGTTGGCAAATAAAAATAGAGTCATTTTGTAGGTAATTAAATTCTCTACAAATTTGATTGTGATGCCTGTTTTCCTAGAATAGGCCATTGCTCAATTACAGCGATCTAAAATAAATATTCTGGCAAACTTCGGAATGATTTTATTTTTCCCCCGTTTTATTAATGAACATCTTCTTAGCCTTAAGTCTTAAAAACAAAATATTAAACGTAATTATAGGAAATTTAATTGTCTACAACATTGACCATATCTTCATTTTCACTAAAAGGCACCAAAACTGAGATATAGGCGAAAATCTCAAGAAAGTGCCAATTTATTCTGATTTTACAATTTGTCGGCGGGCGCGGAGGGGGGAAAATTGTGCATTTTGCATTTTAAACACCTACTTACCATCCTAGACAACATATAACAAATTTAGAACTACCGGACCGTTTGTAAGTTAACCCCCCAATTTTTGTCTCTATTTACTGGACTATTTAAGTTTATAAAAATTCAACCAAATCCATAAATAAAAGTCCCCTATTCCCTTTGCAATTAAATTTCATTGATAACTAATTCTGTGTATTGACCTATTTTTTCACATTATCAGGACAACAGTCAGTTGAACATCACACCAATGGCGAGCTCGACTCCCAACAAAGCAGAAATCTTTGGGGAATCAAAGATAAACGACAGCTTGTCTACGGCAACTAACAAGCGGCACTCGCTGGAGGGCAGCTTTGCGTGAGTGTTGAAATACTGTTACTGGGTGCTAATGCACAGTAGGTTATAAGTTTAGAATTTGCACGAACCTACTTTAAAGTATCATAATCATTATTTTAAGACAGTGACACATACTTGGGTGTGTATTTTCATGTGAATTTGTGAATTTGGGTGGGTATGTGAATTTCATGAACCTAATGACTATTACCAGCTGGTTTTAACCAGATCACAAACATTTAAAAAGTGACTGATAGTGATATTGTGAATTGTTATTGCATCACCAGTTTCTTTAAAGAAATTAAATATCCCATGCTATAAATTTTGAAACATACCATGTTTGGCAGTTTCGTGGTGCAACTGATTTTGCTCAAAATGTTCATCCAATTGTGTACTAAATTACATTTATCTGTTTTGATATAAAATGCATTTAAGTAATTAAATAAAAGCTTAGAGTCTTGTCTTTCAGTTGGTATACAAATTATTCAATTTTACTATTGTTTTTAACCATTTATAAAAAAAAAAACTGTACGAAACGCGACTATTACAGTCTCTGTCACTACAAACACTAACTACCGTGACTCACTGCCAGTTGAAGGGTTAACAACAAAGTTGCTCATCTTTGTAATGTTTCACCCAGGAATCACAAGAGCCGAGGAGTGTTGCCCGAGGCAGGTGCAAGGCCGAGATCTAACTCCGCCAGCTCCAGCATTCCTCGTGTGATGCAGGTCAAGCCACTCAGAGGTCTGGCTCAGGCTCCCAAGTCTACCTCTAACCTCTCTAGCACTCAGGTAATTGTAACAGAAGGTAGAATTATGGGATCAAACTAGCTTATGGGCCATTCTGAAATTAAGCGATATTTCCGACCATGATTTTATTTTTTTATTTTTATGAAAGAATATTTATATTTAATATATTTTTTAAAGTATAATAACAAACTAAATACATATACACAATTTTTAGAGGTCAAGAAAGAAAATAATATAATAAAGCTGTATTTCATATAGTAATTATCCTTAGGAGTTACCCACGGCCACCTTTATTTTATATTTTTTGGTCTCTAAATGCTCCTACAAATAAATGATTTCTTTTGTGATATTGATCGTTTGAATCAGTTAAGTTCAAGATACTCTATTTCTCAATTTAAAAATGTAAATTGGATTATTCTCAGATATGGAATATTATTTTTGGTAGAAATAAAGGATTTCTTTTGTTATATTGATTGTTTGAATCAGTTAAGTTCAGGATACCCTGTTACTGTATTAAAAACATAAAGTTGATTATTTCTCGAATATGGAATATAATTTTAGATATATTTATTCAATTCTAACTACGTTATTCCTATATTATGTCTGAAGTGAAGTACCAGGTTTCATTTGATTTATTGATTATTAAAATCCGACGTACCTAAGATGCTGCTGATCACTAACAACCCAAATTCTCCAAAAATGGTCATTTAGCATCGGTAGTGATTTTGATTGAAACCTCAGCAGTAATTTAGTATTTAATATTAAAATTTTTTTGCTTTTTGTGGACTTTGTTCAGTGGAGCCAAAAAGAATTGTGCAAAGAATAAATTAACAAGTAATAATATATAGTTAGATGTAGCCAAATGCCTTTGGAAAATCTTAATCGTTACAAGTGAAGTACTGAAAACACAAGTTGTTCAAATATCAAGATTTGATGTTAATTTATTTATTTTACCATAGGCTACTAATAATTAAATAATAAACCCACCACAGAATACCTGCAGGCTAAGCAAATTTCAGTTTCCCTGATTTAATTTTTCCTAAATGAAATTTGCTTCGAAAAAGTAATATTTATTACTCATTTAAATAGCATTAGGTTATAAGGTACTTAGGTTTGCTTCTACAAGGAAGGTAATAATATGTGTTTTTTAAGAGAAACTTTATAACTTAGTATAAAATATATCAATACGTTGGCTCACGTCCTATGTACAGGAATCGAATAGTAAATAGGCCTATAAGAAATGCATTTTATAGATTGTTATTCTATGCTTAAGATAAACAATTTAAATATAAAATCACAATTTTAAAATACTCTTGCCTTCAGATGACTGCAAATAAAGTTCCCGAGAAGAAGAAAACATCACAACCCAAGTCTAGCATCAACAGTCGAGTTCTCGCTGATGTAAAGACTAAGTCTCCAAGACAGAGCAAAGTCAGAACTGCTGTTAACGTGAGTTGAAGTTTTACTAATAATAACTGCTACAGCTACTGCTGGTGTAGATACAGGAAAACCGCTGGTGTCCACCGACCTGAAAAACCGGGAATTATGCGTGAATTCCGTATTTTACCAGGAATTTTCAATTTGCCGTGATCGCACATGAAAATTACATTTCCGTGACCGCAGGAGACGACGATGACGTTTCCGAACCGTGGGTGAAGACAATGACGTTTCCGTGACCAGGGGAGAATATGATGACGTTTCCGTTACCGCGGGAGACGACGATGACGTTTCTGTGACCGCGAGAGACGATGATGATGTCCGAATGGCCGCTTGATTTGTTAGAAGAATTGATGATAACTGTTCTTTGACCGCGGGAGACTATTATTATGTTTCCGTTACCACTGTAAAATATTAGTATTTTACGACAATAATAGGTTTCATCAGCTTACATGTTTCGTTGCGAAGACAACATTTTCAAAGCTTTCAACTCGTCGAAAACACATTTTAAACACGGACAACACGAACACAAAAAACATTAAAATCGTACGAATACACAATAAATATTTAGATAGCGCTATCATGATACTGATTTGGTCCGGCACGGCGCGGGGTTGGTAGCATACTAGAGGTCTACATCACGTCGTCTCCCTGGCGGTGCAGAGAGGTGAACTTCTACCTCACCCAATTTCTGATGTCTCGCGGCTTTTTCCAGTCGCACCTGTTCAGGGTGGGCAAAGCCGTGTCACCCAATTGCATATACTGCCCAGGTATTCCCGATGACGTGGAACATACATTTTTACCACTGCCAGCAATGGGAAAGGCCCCACCTGGAGACTCGAACAGTTTGTAGGACTGCTGTCGGTGGACACGGTCATACCGATGATGACGGAGGGTGAGGAGAATTGGACCTGTGTGTCAAATTATATCCAGGGTATTCTCAGCGGCCAAAAAGCTCGACCTTGACTGGGATGCGGTGTAGGTCATAAATAATCTAAATGCCAGAAATGGCGCAAGCCCTGAGGGCTTAGGTCACATGTTGGCCGGACTTGATGTAATGTGACAAACAATTAATTCTAGGTCTGTGTCCAACAGAAGTGAGTAGTCTGATACTTTCAAGAGTCTCACACTACAGGCTGGCTACCTGTGTGCATTAAAAGCATTTTCCCTCCTGTCCCTCAAAAAAATAAAAAGGCCTATTACCTATAAATACATTTTAGTTTCAATACTTAGACCTTCCAATTATACCATAAATAGAAATTGGTTTATTTAAAATTAGCCTATAAAAAAAAAACAATCCTAAATTATCGGGCATTTATGAAAAATAGGCATTCATCAGGGTGTAAATACCCAGTTATTTTATGTCATGCATATCTAAATTGGACTACAATTATACTCGCAGAAAAATATATTTCGCTAAAGACTTCAATTATCTGATTTCTTACAAACATGGCTTGTTATGTTTATAAATAAATTTTGATAAGATTATTTTATTATAGACGAGCATTGAGACAATAAAATACGCGAATAATAATTGTTTTGGTTTAGCTTTCTTTCATGATCATCCTATTGTATAGAGGTGCCGGATTAAGTCAGAAGTAGTGGCTTTATATGTGTTTTCAGGCTGTTGTTATCAATGTCTCAACAAAAATTCCCTGCGAATCCCTGCCATCAGGCTCCGCTTTGATTTGTTCTCGACCAAAAATAAGCCCTGCTTTCACATCACTACGCTCTGTCTCGTGAACCCATTTTTTTGTCACCGCTTATATAGTCCGAGACCAACGTCTGGTCGGACTATGAGGTCCGGAGCGTACCGCCGCTTAGAGGTAGAGGCATTGTAAAAATTGATTATGTATTACATGTGGTATATTATTATTGTCTTGGGGGTTAAGTTGCTATTATTATTAGGCTAAACTTGTCAATCATATACTGAAATACATACCTCTTAGGGTAGTCAGTATTGATTAAATTTGTATTTAAGACATCACTAATTATTGTATCTGCTGTTTCAGACATTATCTAATTTAGTCAAGGGCAAGAAGACTGCAGTTCGAGACAAGGAGAACAGAGTACCACATTAGGAGTGTGTCATTAGCTGTATTTTGATATTTAACATGCATTGACTGTTCTTCAGTGCATTTACTACTTGTATTGCTCTCTCTATATGATTCTAGTGAATTTAAATATATATATATTTGTATTTCAGAGCTTTTCGCTCAATAAAATGTTGTTATAAAAAAATGTTTTTTCTTTGGTATCAACCTTTATGGTTCTTAGAGCAATAGCTCTATAGTTCGGCCGCTTAGAAAACGACCTGCGCGCTAATGCTAAACCAATGCTGGAGGAGGACGCTTTTTAAGCGGCCGACCTATAGTTGATTTATCTGTATTTTAAAAACTACAAGTGACCAAGCTGAATCATTGCTGGCCATAACAACTTAGGCAATATTGTGAACACCAGCCTAATGATGATGTTTACTGAGAAGTCAGCTGTTTACAACACCAGATATTGTGTACCAGGTCAGAGTGCTAAGTTTACGGGAACTAAGGCACAGGATTGTGGCTGCAGTTGAGAGGATAAAGCCAAACATGTGTGGCAGGGGACTGATAACTGATAATAACCGATTGGACCTCTTGAGAACGACTCATGTGGATCGCATTGAATTTTACTGAATAAGATATCAAGGTCGTATTTTTGACATGTTAGCGTAGTAATTTTAAAATAAAAATTACATTTTCCCACAGTTCCTTGACAAAGTGGGCTTTCTTGTACTGATCATAGCAAGCAAAGTATTACCAATTGCTGCATTTACTTTTGACACACTCCAGTATTCCAACCAAACACAAAACGCCAAAACACATGCTTTTTTTAAGCATGTAATATGTGTACACTTAGAAACACAAGACCAATAGATAGAGCACACCTATCCTATAAACAGTGGATTCTGTCTCAAAAGTGAAATGTTCTAAATATTTACAACATTTTACTTTATTTGAGTTACAAGAGGAGGTTCTGCCGTGCCATGCGCCAGCAGATTTTGCCTACAATCCCACTTTTGATACAAGTGTGGGAACCCAAGTTTGGAGCTACACAGAAAAGATTAAAAGTGAAATATGGGCCTTACATGCTCCATCTATTTGCCTTATGTTATTGCACCCACACAGTTTACAGTAAGCCCATCACACAACGGGGCAGTCACGCTTTCAATACAGTTTCATACAACTAAACCAATATGTTTGTTGCGGACATAATCAAAAAACACTGGCGATAAGGGATACCATAGTTGAAGAGACCTCTCCACTCTAAATGGATGGTAGGCGTCAAAATTATGGTAGCCCTTGATGACGGGAGGTTAAGCCGTCGCCTTGTCTAGGGGTGTCCACTCCCCATTGGCACACTTAATTTAATTACAGACAAATTAATCCTGTGTTATGTTACAGTGCTTAACTTGTACAATAAGTTAACACAGTCTAAAAACTAAATCACAAACTTTTGTTTATGTACTGAAGACAATGAGTAGGGCAAATGGGACAAAATCAATGAAAACAAACAGTTTAATAAAAACACACTTTATTAATTAATCACTGCTGAGACTCTGGCATTGACCTGATGATGTCGGAGTCACCAGGGTCTGTGATGGACAGTGTGCACACTCTGAAGTACTTTCCACAAGCAGTTCCCAGCTCAATGTTGTTACCAGAGTAGTGGTGGACGCCGGTCTTGGCCAACATGGCGTAGTACTCAATCTCGGATTTCCTACAAAGTAGTTATTTCATTCAGTATTTTACAGCAGTGTTATCTGAATAAAATTGTTGAGGTATCTAACCATTTGCTACAGAGGTACATATTATTACAACTGTAGTAAATAATGAAATTTGTATTTATTTTACTTCCGGCTAGGCTACTATACCTATTTATCTATGTTGTTGTATGGACCATAAACTAGTAAAATTGGTCCTCAAATTTCAATAGGATTTCATTTTCCTAACAAAACAGTATATTTAAAAGTCTTTCAGAAGAATTGTTTTGTCCTCAACTTAAACTGCATTATGCAATATAGCTTAATGTCCTATTACTATAGTCCATTCTTTTATATTTTTAACATTTGGTAAAATTCTAGACTTAAAACTTAGCTTCCTGATTTTATCAACGAATATTAACCTGAATTAACCACTAATTTTTTAATTTTTATTTATGTCACAAGTACAGTAACCTGAGAGCTTATAACCAAAACACAGGATTAAAATACTTGCTTATGATGTTGCGAGTTGAAAATTTGCTTCTGAACCTAACAGGATCAGAGCAGTGTGCTATTCTCGCGTATTACAGGATATCACAAAAGGAAGTCTAGAATTTGGTAATTTCATAATCAACTAACGCAACAAACAGGTGTAAAATAAAATGTAAAATGGTAATGTCTGTATTTTTAAGGTAATTGAATGATTAAAACAAATTTAAAAAGTCTTAACCCTTACCACTCTCGTGTCGGCCATGAGTTGACATCAACCGTTTGCAATCGTATCACATGTCGGCTTCCAACAAAATTTCAAAATTTGTTTTTCAATTTAATTTTTTATTATTATTGTAATTATTGGAAGTTAAAATACTGGTAGGCGCAATGACCTGCATAATAAATTAGAACCAAGGGCATAGGGCCTTAATGAGAGTGGTAAGGGTTAATAATAGGAAAACTAGCTTATAGCCTACTCTACTGATAGCCCTAGTTAAAATAAAAATACAATATGATCAGTTAAAGCTGGTTTACAGATACATATTATGTAGGTAGGTTTACATGTTAAAATTTAAATTCATAAGCCAAAGAGTTTTTACAATTTCAGAATTTCAAACCAACTAAGTTATCTGCAAACAATTCAACACATACTACAGTAATCTTTTTATTAAGTCTACAGAGACAGCTACTGATTTTACAAGGATATTAGGATATTTTACAAGAAAAACTGTATCAAGCATAATAAACTGGGCACCTAAACTCGGTGCACAGGAATAGGTGCTTGAGTTGTTGTAGCGAGTCTCAAATTGGACCAACCTTAGCTAGGCTGACACAGAGTGCTATACTCGCAAATTTCCAAAATAAATGTTAGCCTCTATTTTAAATTTTTGGTATTAATATTTTTCTAACTGATAAACCAAGTAAATCACCAGCGTGTAAATTACACCAATAAAAAAGTGATAGTTCAAGTTTTTGCCGTGAATGTTTACATGCAACTACAAAAACTCCCAACTATCCGAGTCCCGGTTATCCAAGGTTGGTCTAAATATTTATTTGATTTTCAGTAGGTAAGCAATAATTACTTTATTGTAACATGTTTCTATTAAAAGAAATGTAAATATAGCAATTAATTTGTGATTTATTGCAACAAATACAACACTTGGAATAACCATTAATTTAAGTATTATTTTAACGTTAAAACGAACTGCAATAACCTTAAAAATTAAAATCACATGGAACTTTTTTTTTAAAAAGAGGTTGGCGGCCTCTTTTAACCTTAATTGTAAAGAACTAGGTTGGCCGGCTAACAAGAGTCTGTCAGTCTTCTCTTCTTCATTACGGTACTATGTTTTGATGTAGACATGTGATTGTGTCTAAGTTATAGATAAGGTCAAACTTAAAAACACCTAGTGTTTTGTTTTAAACAATATATAGTGTGTATTGGTTCATCATAATTCTAATTATAGGCTACTGTGTTTAAAGTCTTTCAAGACGATTGAAAATCTGTTGAATATGTTTGCTGGGTTATTTTGTTTCTTTAAGAATACTACGCTATTTGGAAGAAAAGTTACATCAAAATTACATTATTATTATCTTTTATTCGCGATGTGTTTTGAAGATATTTTACAAGTATTTGACTTCAAGGTACCATAACCCTAACCTCAAAATCTATGTTGACATCCGTGTTATCTGAAATTCTCGGTAACCGAGGTAGTCACGGTCCCAACAACCTATTGTTCAACAAAAAATTAACCTCTTTGCTTGACACTACAGATTTCTACTAACACTAGGCCTACCAGATGAAGGGGCCTGAGACTCCATAGGCATAGCCTACTTCTCAGTCTCACCTGAGCGGAGGTGTGTTGTTGCCGATGATCACCAGCTTGGCCTTGCCTTGCCGCAGAGTCTTGAGCGTCTGCTTCAGGCCAAGCACGTACTTGCCAGACTTCATCACCAACGCCAGCCGAGAGTTGATGCTCTCCATGGCCTTTTTCTACACACACACAGATCATGTATATACACTAAATGAAAATACATAAATGGAATTTAAAAAATGTCTAAGATTCTGTCTCGAAGTTCTTGTGTAAAAAAGCCAAAATATTTAGTGACATAATAAAAGCCTTGTGAAGAGTGTAAATAAGTGTTTTGCAATATCATCATTAAGTAGGTAAATAAAAACAGCCATGCTTCACATTATAGGAAGTTTTGCCACATATTATTTCATGTTGGGATTTGGATCCATGACATAGCCTACAGTAGAATTGGATGCCATAAAATCTAGCACAAGAAAAGTGTATCCATTGATTCAAATTACTTGGGTAGCCTATACAAAAATTAAACTATGTAGGCCTAACTAGGGCATATTTGAGAAATTATTAAAAACAACTTAAATTCAATGCTGTGCTTGTGTTGCTGCAGTGCTGTACGGTAGATAATAAGAAATCTAATTTATGGAAAATAAGAACTATATCAAGCATAATAAACTGGGCACTTAAACTCGGTGCACAGGAATAGGTGCTTGAGTTGTTGTAGCGAGTCTCAAATTGGACCAACCTTATCTAGGCTGACACAGAGTGCTATACTCGCTTTTTTAAGTAGTCCTATAAATTATTTCTGACAACTAACAAAAAGAATTTCAGTACAAGTGTGTTTCACGACAACGTTAACAGTATTTTATATTTAATTTTTTACAGTATTTTTAGGGAGTCGGTGGCTCAGTCGGTAGCGTCACGGACTTCGGGCCCAAGGCAGTAGTGCCGTGGGTTCGGATCCTGGTCACTGCCGATAACATTTTATCAGTACAGTTCACCTTTGTACTGTACCGGCTCACTCCTTGCTTTGCTGCAAACGATCCACGCACGGGCGCTTAGTCTATGTGGACGGGCAAATGCAAGGTTAAAAGAGGCCGCCAACCTCTTTAAAAAAAAAAAGATATATACTCAGCATAATTATATAGGCATCAATATTTTTATAATAAACATGGTTACAATGTTTATTATTTTTTTAAATTTTTAAGTTTTAAGAAGTAAAGTTAATGTTAACTCTTTTTTGTTTGTTTGTTTTGTCAACGTTCATGAAACATATTTTGTTTTTGGTCGAATATTGGTAGTTTTATTTAATTCAATGTTTTTTAATTTATAATTTATTAAACATGAATAAGAAGATTTAAAGATCATAACTCACTTTCAATGTTTATATTGGTAAACAACTTTAGACGCAACACATCGACTGAATCAAAACCACTAGGTACCGGTATTGGCTTCTCTATAGAACTGTATCCCAAATAAATCCTATGCCACTTCAATAAGTTAACAGGATCATATCACCAATAAATAAATCAATAGTCCTTAAGTTAATGGATACTGTACTGGCTCTCAAACCATTGAATTAAGTTACTAAGCTAAGTAGGCCTAACTAACATTATTAACATTGTTTCTTCATAATATTGCCAAACGGCTTAATCATTTTCAAAATAAACTTATCACACACTTTTATAGAAATTTCTATATTTCGGCATTAGCCTTCTTCAGGAACAAACACAATAACAAATAGAAGTGTTTACCACTCTGAATCATATGGTTTTAGCAAAAATCCAAAATACATATAATTTATGAAGAAGTAAAAAAGAAAATGTTTTGATAGAAAGAAAGAAAAAATTTTATATATATATATATATATATATATATATGTATATATATACTATCTCAAATTTAGACCGGAAGGTGTTTTAGATTTAAGTATTAATTGATGAGCTTGCTCAAGCTGTCTTAATTTCAAGTCTGGTGCGTCTTTTACCAATTTTCTTATTCCTTTTAATGAATAACATTGTTCAAAATTTTGAGAATGCTCTCTCGCATGAATAGCCACAGGTTTTTGTTTATCAGGATGGTTTACATCATATCTGTGGCCATTCATACGAACTCTTAGAGCATTGGTGGTTTTGCCAATGTAGTCTTTAGGACAATTTTTGCATGAAATTTGGTAAATTACATTAGTAGACTCACAGGTGATGTTACTATTTATGTTATAACATCTTTTTGTTTGCCTGCTTGTGAAAGTTTTTGATGGGATGATTAATTTGCAAGTGGCACATCGTGGTTTGTTGCATTGATTACAGCCCGAAGGTTTTGCTGAGGGTTGGGAAGTGGGAGGTAGTTTGGGTTTTGAAAGAATGTCTTTTAAGTTAGGAGCTTTTTTGTATAAAAAAAAAAAAAAAAAAAAAAAAAATAACATTATTAACAAGCATTTTTGAAAATGTTATTTATTATGTTTCCTAAATAATGGTGTAAATACCTGCATCTATGTGATCAATGTGTTGCTAAAATGCAACCGGTTTCGACTCACAAAGGAGTCATCGTCGGGCCAGTACTGATGTCTTCTTGCTTCATTTGAAGGTCGTCAATTCGTAATAAATAAATACATTTAACACGCACACGTACACGAACATAGAAACGAACATTTAAGGTTAAAAAGGAAAGATAATACTATAGCGGTAACGAGACACGACGTGATCGGGCGGGGGTTAGACATATGTCTAGACATAACCCCCGCCCGATCACGTCGTGTCTCGTTACCGCTATAGTATTATCTTTTGTTTTTAACCTTAAATGTTCGTTTCTATGTTCGTGTATGTGTGCGTGTTAAATGTATTTATTTATTACGAATTGACGACCTTCAAATGAAGCAAGAAGACATCTGTACTGGCCCGACGATGACTCCTTTGTGAGTCGAAACCGGTTGCATTTTAGCAACACATTGATCACATAGATGCAGGTATTTACACCATTATTTAGTATTTAAATGTGGTCAGGAGGCTAAAACTCAATATAATGATATTATGTTTCATTGACATTGTGCAAAAACAGTCTGGAGTCTACAGCGCCTGTCACACGGAGCTGGTTTTTTTTATTGCTAGTAACAAGCAGATAGAACCAGCATTTAACCAGCATAGTGTGATTGATTCTCCAGCTGCTAGAAACACTCGCATGAGCTGGTATCTCTAGCTGCTGAAGGGTATTAACAGTTTAATATTAAAAGCGCTTGAAGAGTCACTAGCAGGTCATGTGACCACCCAGCTTTGGTCTCTAGCGCAATTCCAGCTTTGTCTGACAGTATCGTGCTAGTTCTCGCAATAGGAAAAATGAATTTAAATTAATTTAATACAAAAAACTAATCCCTCTAATCCCTACTATACTATACTCCCGCTCTACTCTTGTAGTGTAGGCCTACTGTTGAGGCAGTGGTAGTCACAGACACATAATAAATTGAACAACCCTAAGTGACTAATAATAGTAGCACCCATCTGAAATATACATAACAGGGTGTCCACCGACCGGGAAATACGGGAATTAAGTTAAGCGTGAGTTTTTAAAAACCGGGAATTATGAGTGAATTTTTTATTTCTATCTGGAATTTTCAATTTACTGCAATTGAGCAAGACAACAGTGACGTTTCCGTGACCGCGGGAGATGATAATGTGTCCAAACACGGCCACGAGGGATGAAAGCGCAAGAATGTGATATCTACAGAGCCACGAGGGATGATCAGAATAATGCCACGATCACTGAAGACAATGATAATGTCCACACGGCCGCGGGAAAGTAAGAAATTTGCCGCGATTGCAGGCGACATTGATGATCTCCACACGACTGCGGAATATGATTAACATTTTGCCACAATCATGGGAGACAATTGCGATGTCTACAGGACCGCGAAAGATACAATAATGATGTCTACCCAAACAAAATGATATAAGTTATAAAACAGTATACTTTGTATTGTTTTCAAGTTTCTAAAATACATACATTTTAATAAAACCCTGTGATTACGCAATAAATGGGCGAACATTAAGACCAAAACGGTAAAACTGAACTTATACTAGGCTACTTATGTTATATTGAACTTTTTTTGCCTTATCTACCTAAATTAGACTATTTTAAGCACTTTTTACCGTTGGCACTTTTGGGGGAAACGCCTATTTCACCCTGAAAATCACGTTTGAAAATCAAGAAAAATGCTAGAAATCAATGATTTTTGGGGCTTGATAATTTTCTTTTTAACTTAGGGTGGTTTTTTTTAATTATTAGTCCATTTTAAACACTTTTTTGGCAAATGCCGTTTTTACCCAGGAAACCAAGTTTGAAAAATCGTAGAAAATAGTAAAGTACCAAAAATTACCCCATTTTTGGGTAAACCAAATTAAATATATAATAAACTAACTTAACCTAACCTAACCTAACCCAACCCAACCTAACACATGCTTAGGTTAACAATGTGCCAAAATGACCGATTTTTGGTAAAGCCTGGTTAGGCTATGCTAGGTTAGATAAGTATTAAGTTATTGACACGTAATAAAAAGAAGTTGGGTACCTACCTACAGTTTCTTAACTTAGCTATGATAATACCGATAATTAGTAAACCTTCATTCGATGTTTTCACATCAGCAAGTTTGGTTGGTTAGGTTAGGTTAGCTTATGATAGTTTAATTTTATAACTAATATAGCTGGTAAATATATTGATTATTAAACAATATTTTAAATTTGATTGTTTCAATAGATAAAGTTAGTCCAGTTAAGAAATTGTACCCAAAAAGTTTTACATGCGTCTAAAATCATTGATTTCTAGCATTTTTCTTGATTTTGAAACACGATTTTCAGGGTGAAATAGGCGTTTCCCCCAAAAGTGCCTATGGTAAAAAGTGCTTAAAATAGTCTAATTTAGGTAGATAAGGCAAAAAAAGTTCAATAGGCTATATCATAAGTAGTATAAGTTCAGTTTTACCACCAAAACTATGGACACTTGGAGGGTTAATTTAGAATTTTTAAGTTTATCCTGAGAGGGAAACGCCCTCTGGTAGCCTAAGTTTAGTTCAATTCTGACTAAATATATTTTTACAGTTGGTGGCTCTTCTGCGCAGTCATAGATGGAGGGTCAAACAACACAGCCATATCTTGAAAGTTGTTGACAAGAGATCCTGGCCCAGACCCTAGTGTCCAAAATGATTGTAGCCTACCATGTGGTGTAAGACTGTGTGTTACATAGGCCTACCACTGTGAAGAAATATAAAGTGAATTTGAGCCACATAATCAAGTCAAACTAAAAATGTTCAAGACATTTATTCCCTTTCAAAAGATTTAACCGAAAATTAAGATTGAGTAGCTTGTAGAAGCTTAGGACTAATTCTTTTAAGGTTAAATTAACACGTGTTGAAAAGTTAAGCCTACCTGTTTCTTTGGTGCAACCATGGTGACAATTACAAAGCCCTGCAACAAAACAAATGTATAAATTAATGAAGTTAATCTAAAAGTTTTTATTTTAGTTGGAAATTAACATTGTAAATTTGGCTGGAAGTTATAAAACTTACCTTTAAAAATGGACGAAGGCGAAGCCGAAGCGATGAGGAGAAGAGTTGAAGAGTTTGAGTTTCCGACTCCGACTTCCGACTCCGTCCGCCCGATGAAAGAAAGAAAAGAAAACTTTAGATGGCGGTGGCGGTTCCACGTTGGACTGTGGCAGAAAACCGGTGGGGCACACGGAAGATTTCTCAGGTGCCGTTTGACGTCACTAACTGACTAACTGCTGACGCCACTAACTGCTGCGTCTGAAGAAACAGACAATTTTATAATTTGTCTATTATTAAATTAAACTGTCATAACCTAACCAAACGTGCTGATAGTGAAAAAATCGAATGAAGGTTTACTAATCTAAAAAATAGTTTTGTTAATAAACTAAAATTATAAATGCCAACATTCAATTTTTTTTTTTTTCAATTATAAAATTAAACTGTCATAACCTAACCAAACCAACCAAACTTGCTGTATGAAAAAAATTGTTGACAAAAAGTTAGTGCCACCAGCGGGATCCGAACACGGTACATTAAAGGATTATCAGCCCGACACGCTATCCACTACACCACCGAGGCCGATGGCTCAAAACCGTATCGTTGCGGTAATGGTGTTCCCTCAAAGTGACGTCAGCTGCAGTTATTGACGACAAACGGCACCTGAGAAATCTTCCGTGTGCCGTTTTGGGCAGCGAACCAAGAATGGACTGTTCCTTCTTTTAAAAGCAAATTTTAGGTGACATGAAGCCAGTGTCCTGGATCTATGATCATTTGCAACTTTATAATATACAAATGTATACACACCTATTTTACAAATTGAAATTTAATAATCTTACTTCTTACTAAGCTGACATATTCCTCAGACACTGCTGTTAATTAATAGCCCATACAGTCAATGGTAACTAAGGGACCTACAGTTTATAGTGAAATCCGAACCACATTGTTGCCTTTGGTATATACGAATTGGTCTAATTATCAGGATAGTACTGCGGATAGTCGTAGTACTCACCCGTGTGGACGTTAATCCACACCAGGGAGTATCGCATCAACAGTGCATGCCATGCCTATAAATATCCACAATTCGTAACTTCCTTTTTTTATAACAATTTTATTAACCGATCAGCATTACATTGCTATCCAGGTTAGGTATAATATAAGAAAGAAGAAAATAACATTTTTAATTACATTAATTAACATAGGTAGAGGTCAGCTATGGCTAGCCCCTCAGGCACTTATTGTCACTGTTTTAGCGGGCCGGACTGTAAAAGGCACTGTCCACCAATGAAACACAAATGAAAAAAAATTGGTTATAATAAAACATCTTGAGGCAATCTGGGTTTTAGTCGGAGTCTCTGGATTTCAGAAGGCTGGCCTGTGTTATAAAATCCAATGCTGCTGGTTAATGGAAGTTTTGTAAATAATTTTGATGTAACTTTCTTGATGAAATATTCGATAGGTTTTATTCCCAGTTCTAAATGTATTTGACGAAAATACCAGGGACATTTTAGAATTATCCTTAAAACTTTAATTTGAAATGTTTGCAGTTTACGAATCGAACTTCGATGAAGCCAGTTCCCCATACTGGGCAGGCGTATAACAATAGTGGACGTAGAAGTGTTTTGTATAAAAGGGTTCCATTCTTAATAGACATACATGATTTTTTTTATTAAAGGAAACAATTTTGATAATCTGTCATAAGCCAAATTTAATTTTTTATTAATATGAAATTTCCAATTTAACTTTCGGTCGAAGTATACACCTAAATATTTTATTGCTTGGTCAGGAGGGTTCCATTCAATCTGTTCACCTAGAATTTCTAAATTTGGAAGATCTAACGGTTTTCGGAGGGTAAAAATCTTCGCTTCAATCTTCATCGGATTTATGGCTATTCTCCATTTTGTGAACCATTCCATCAAATCGTTTAAGGAAACTTGAATTTTATTGGCCACAACTTCGATGTTATATAGTGTGTAGAGTAGAGTAGGGTGTCATCAGCAAACACGGCTGTTTGGACATGGTTTGACAATGGCAAATGAGAAGTGTAAATGTTATATAATAGAGGTGAAAGAATTGCGCCCTGTGGGACTCCGGCTTGAATTGGTCTGGCAGTTGATAGGGAGCCATCAATATTAACTGAAAACGTTCTATCTTCAAGGAAGCTTTCAATAATTCTCTGTAGGTAGTAGAACAAACCATCAAGCCAAACACGGCCAAAGGCCTGACTTACATCAAGAAAAACTGCAGCAGTATGACATTTTCTTTCAAATCCTTCCTTGTAGATGGATTACAGGACGACGGGTGGACGACACCACCCGTCATATCTTATTTTTCACACCTATACATGCCTATACCATACAATAGTAGTGACAATTCAAACAGAAGGCACTGCCTTTCAATGCAATAACTTGTCTTTCTTAAATCAGAATGTATGTGCAATTATATGCATTTATCAGAAATATAAATAAATCATCTTAGTTATAATAATCCTGTACATAGATGGCCTTGACATAGTCTATATAACTTGTAAACCATATTTCGCTTGTGTTATCATGTAAAAATATGTTGAAGATGCTCTACGGTTAATTTGTAAAATAAAACATATTTACATAAAATAAACACATAATTTGATTTTATATAGTGCACTTTATAAAGACAAAATATAATTATTATGGTTTCAGCTGACTTTATTGTATTCGACTTGTGTTGTGACGTATTCTCGGCGCATGCGTGGACGACGATCAGCGGAGTTCGGAGTTAGGTCAGTCGCCATTGACTTAGATTATATGTTGTTTTTGTGCACTGGGACTAAGATATAGCCGGTGAAAAGTGTAGTTTTCAATACTAACTTTGAGTAGACAAACCAGGTTATTTGTGGTTCAGTGAAGTGCTTAGTTCAGCTAAAATTTAAAACAGTGGTGGAAATAGGTAATGTCAGCAGGCGTGTCAGATCAGGTAGGAAGTTTTGTCTTTGGGCGTAAAATATGCTACACATAGGCCTAGGTAGCTTACGACTTACATGTTGTTGCTCTGAAATTTGTATTTGATTTCTAACATATTTTGTTCTTTTCCATGTCATTATCTCCGCCCTTTGACACACCAGCGGATGAAAGGACAAGGGAATCAAGGTATGTTTATACTTAGGCCTAAAGTTATTAGACCCACAGGTCTAGGTATAACAAATATTTAACATAGATCTTGTAGGCTAGAGTAGTTGGCCTTCTTACTTAATTAATTTAAGGCTAAAAGTGAGGCCTTATCCTCTCATCGTCAGATTTTCTTTGTGAAAAATTGGAAATCATGGGCCTCTAACTAACTTCAAGGCCTTACCAAAACTCTACTTAGCTAAATCATAGACAAAGATAATTAAATATAGACTGTCAGCCGTGCTGCGGTTACCATAGGTTCTGGCGCACTCCGCTGGGAGCGCCGTGTAGTTACATAGTTCGTAAGTTAGGCCTACTCCATAACTACATGGCGCTCCCAGCGGTGTGCGCCAAAACCCATGGTAAGTTTAACCGCAGCACATTTGATGGTCTATATTTATTAGCCTACTTAGGGTCTATGGCTAAAGGTACCACAACTTAATTTTTAACACGTTCGCTACTGAGAGTCGCATATATGCGACGCCGCGGTCATTGCCACAGACCGAGGTATACATTTGAATCTTACACACAGACCGGCTATCACTTGGATAACAGTACACACAGACCACGGACGAAAACCTGTAAAACAGTGATCATTTACACTGTAATACACTACAAACGTGTTTGTAAATAATTTATTCTTGTTTTTTATATTTTTTATAACCTTTTGTAATGTCACATATTTGCGACACCCGGTCTACAGCGAAGACAATAGGCTAGTGAAAATTATCATAGTTTTATTGAAATAGACCAAACGTTGCATATATGCGACAGTTCATTTTTGTCTGTGTTTTGAGGTGAAAGTAAGTAAAAAAAAACAGATTATTCAAGAACACTTTATAACTGAACAAATATAAAAGCTACATAGGATAATGCAGCATACATACAACCAGTGATGCAGAAAAGTAAAGACCAGTTTTTCCAACTATCATATATGACGTCACCAATCATCATATACACAGACCAAGCGACGCAGTTGTGCGTCAGACATCTCTGTAGACCACTGCAGGGAATTCAGTGCCTTCAAATATACCGTTACAAAGATATTAGAGTATTTTGATAACATTAAATAAATAAATAAATAAATAAGGTTTTTATTCATGAGCGAATTTCAGTTACAAAACTGTTTTACAAATTGACTCAAGTCAGGACTTAAACTAAATAAAACCTCTTATAACTACGAAACAAAATAAGATTAGTTACAAACTCTTTAGGCGATTCTTAAAACTGTTGTAAGACAGTGCTTTTAGCTTGCAAGGAAGTGCATTGTACTGAGCCGGCCCGAAGTAAGAAAACCCCCTTCTCCCAGCATCAAGAACAACCCTTAGTATGTCAAGCAACAAGTCCTGTCTAGTTCTGCGCTCTCTCACGGCTGACCTCGCTTTCAGTTTTTCCTTCAAGTACTGTGGTGCCTGAGTGACCAGTGTTTTGTGGACGATACATGCAACCTGCTTATCACAGCTCTCTCGGATGGACATTGTATTTGAGATCCTACGGTGACTTGTTATATGGTCATATTTTTTAAGTTTGTATACGAACCTTAGGGAGCAATTCTGTAGCCTGTGAAGTATTGTGATCTGTTCCTGTGTTAAGCTGTATCCAAAAACAGGTAGGCAGTAATTTAAAGTAGGGAAAATCAGGGATTTGACCAACCTCAACTTGATGTTTGCTGGGAGCAATGTTCTAAACCTATTAAGCACTTTTAATTTTCCAACAACACGTTTGCTTATCTGTTTTACATGGCTAGAGAATGTCAGCTGTGAGTCAATTGTCACACCAAGAATCTTAATGCTTTTGGAAGTTGAAAGCTCTGAGTTATCAACTGTAACTTTTATGCTATTTTTTTCCAGCTGCTCATAGATTGCTGTATTGGCAAAGTGTATGGCGGAACATTTTTCAGGGTTAAGCTTTAATCCATGATCCTTAGACCATTCACAAACCTTTGAAAGGTCACTACTCATATGCTGAACATTAGAACCCCTGATGCAAGTATGCGACGGTAGTCTATTTTAATGTGACTAGCCGTTGCATATATGCGACGGCAATCAATGGGTAGAAACCGGCCGTCGCATATGTGCGTCGCTGTTCCATGTGAATGAAAAATTTCATACTATTGCAGTAGCGAACGTGTTAAAAGAATAACTTAGCCTAGGCCAATAAATTTTTTTAAATGATTTCCTTTTGCAATTATTAAGTTAACTTACTTAATTTAACAACTGATAGGTGCCTTCAAACGAATTTTTAATTTTGATGTCTAACTTTGTAGCTTTTTAGGCCTTCCTCATGAATCCAAATATAAGTTAGGCCTACCATTATTTTTCACAGCAAATCAAGATCTTAGCTGTAAAAATGTAGGCCTAAGTTACAATGTTTAAATAAACAAGGCTTAAGTCAAACGGCATTTACAAGTGGAATCAAATTAAAAAAGTTAATCATCATAGGAAATTTGTTAAAATGGGATTAGGCCTACATAACTTAACTCGAAGGCTATGCAGTAAAATTGGGCTGTTCTAACATAATCTAACTGAACCAAACTTCTAAAACGTCAGCAAACTTCTTTGATGTCAGTAACATAAAGGCATGTCAGGGTGGTTGGTCTGGCTCTAAGCGAATTTTTGACTTGAGTCCTTTGAAGGTAGGTTGGATTCTAGGTAAGTTTTAGGGTAGACTTCCGTATCTGTTGGCACAATCAACCGAATGAAAATATTCATTATTTGATTGTTTCATTTGATATATTGTTTGGTTAGTTAGGTTAGGTAACTAACCAAGGTACTTTCCTGTTAAAGGAAACATTCATTATTATCGACGATTTCTTCGATATATAGGGGCCTATAATATCGATATTTTTGTTTTCTATCCAATATATTGATAGTTTAACAAAATTGAAACATATCTTACAACTACGATAAGATGTAAATAAATATTGTTTGGTATCAACAAACAATAAAAAAATATATTGAAATGAAACTGTTCATAACTAACCTAACCAACCAAACTTGCTGTAACACTTCAAAATTCCGTATGATAGCCTATTCCCCATGCATTTTTTGTTATCAATCAGAATTTTGAAACGATAACTTAGCCTACAGCAAGTTTGGTTAGTTAGTTATGTTAGCTTAGCTTAGAATAGTTTAATTCCCTAATCCAATATAAAGGCTATTATTTTTGCCTAAACAAGGTTAGTTCTTATAATTTAAATGCGTTGGAAGATATTAAAACAGAAGGAATACCGATCGTGAAGTAAAACAAAAAATATCAATATATCGAAAAGAAATCATTGATAATAATGAATGTTCCCTTTAACAGGAAAATAACCTAACCAATCGATATTTTCATTTGGATGTTTGTGACAACAGATGGAAGTCACAGTTTAGGGTAAATTTTAGATTATAATTTCTGTTTGTTTATGTAAAGTTACCTGATAAATGATAAATGATAAATGATTTATTCAGCCATTCAGTATTTACAAATATACAATAGGCATTGTCAAAAAACAGCCAAAATAGACAATACAGAAAGCTGCAATAAACTAAAAACTATAAAATCAGCAAAACCATGCAGGTGCACAAGCAAGCAAAATCAATAAATATAGTACATATACCTTTCAGATTCCTATTCTAAGGTACAATAAATAAATGGGCCATGCTTCATAGCAACAAAAAATTCTTCTGTCTTATAAAAAGGGTTTGCCAATAGCCACTTCTTCAGAATGATTTTAAATTTTGAATTTGGAAGTGATTTCACTTGATCTGGTAGAGAGTTGAAGAGATTGATACCTGTAACAGGGAAGCATTGTTGGGTTTTACTTAGTCTATTATAACTTATGTGAATATTGTTACAGAATCTAGTGTTATACTGGTGTACATCTGAATTTCGAGCAAGTGTGTTTTCTGATTCTTTAATGGCCATGAGACACTGAAAAATATAAACGTTGATAACAGTCATGATCTGCAACTCACAAAACAAAGGTTTACAATGAGCTTGATACTCAGTCCTACAGATTACCCTGACTGCTTTCTTCTGTAGCAACAGAATCTTCTGAGCTACCTAAAGACTTTTCGCCCAATTTAATTAAAACCCTTATAAAAACACTATATAAACCACATAAAAAAATGTGCATAAAAGTACAAAAAGCATTTGTTAACTAGTAAGCTTAAGTTATTTGTTTTTTAATGTTTTAGTTAGCCTTCAAAAACAGTTTTTAGATAGGCCTAACTTAACTTAAACTAACAGCTCAATTCATTATAAGCCTAACCTAAACTTTAAATAAATTTATCTTCCTAATCTAACCTAACTTCAAAACACTTACGGTAGTACAGGCCCAAATTCGTATAAGCCTAAAGCTCGACCCACCACCCTGAAATGCATAAATAAGAACAAAATGAGTTTAAGTTACATGCAATTAGTGTCAGTTCATTCCTCTTGTAAATATCATCCTTGCTACCTTGTTTATTCAAAAGTTGTATACGGTATTTAAACAGCGATATTGTCAGTAACATTCATTTGCTGTGAAAAATAATGGTACATTTGGATTCAGGAGGTAATAAACTATAAAGTAAGATAATCAAAATTAAAAATCTGTTTGGAGGCACCTATAGGCTACTAAATAATTACCAAAATCACAATACGTTTAAGTAAGGCATCCCTAAAATTAAACGAATCAAATAAAAATCTAATTAATACCATTTAGGCTATTTTAATAAAATAAATAAATGGATAGTCCCAACATAAACTTAGGCAAAGCCTGTGCGTGAGGAACGAGTTTCTAAAATCTAAACATCATTATACTAGTTACTCTACTGTACATACTAATACACATTTACAAAAGGAGATAACCAATTGCACTAAGCAGGAAGCCACGCAGCAGATCCTAAATGTTTTGAAAATTGCTAAAAGGTGTAAAGAAAAAGAAAAATCAGATAGGCCTAAAAAAGAAATTATTACCGGTACGTAAATAATGAATAAATATATAATAAAAATCAAGTTAAGAAAGGATTTAATAGTACTGTCAAAACCACCGGGACTTGGAAACTATTCATACAACTTCTACACACATGGCATGCACAACACATACACAATAACACCCATGCAATGACTCACTACAAGGCCTGAGCAGGCGGCTGGTTTTAGTTAGTGTAGTATGTTTTAGGCGGCTGGACCAATGTGCCCTCAAAGCTCAGTCCATGAAGGTCAGCGGCGAGCCGCCTTTTTTTAATTACAAAGAAAACATCTGATACAGTCCCCAGCTGATTCTTCTTGACCAAGGCTCATACAACACTCATATAACTTTAGTAGGCTAATTTTAGCGAATTTCCCTATAGGGAAGTAGTGCTAATACCATAGGTGATTTTAGTATGATATATCGTTGACGCCTGATATATCGTTCCTAAGCACTTTGAGGTGAACAAATTTTTTCTTGCACGCTAAAAAAAAAAGTCGGTCCTTGTAGCAAGTCTAGCACTTTTAGGACGAAATACGCCAAAGTGAACTCAAGCATTTTTTCGTAAAATTAAAAATTAACAAATCTAGCATCGAAAAGGTTAATGATTTCCACAAACCTTAAAACATGTAAAAATATGTTTTGTAAATTGTTTTACTGATATATTGACCTAAATATAGAAGTTCAAAAATTTAATTTAAACGTTACCCTTTGAACACTTTACACTGGTACCGCCATGGAACAGTGTTATTCCTTTCATAATAATTTGCCATACTACTTAAAGGGTTAAAAGTTAAATCAAAGTTTCAGCTCAATACAATTGAGAAAAAAAAATTAGTCAGGAAAAAAATTGTTGAATAAAGTTAGCAAAGCATGAACCAATAAATAGGTATTTATTTAATGATAAAGCGATTGACTACTAAATTCACCAGTGTAAATTTAGCTTCAACGAATAAAAATGGCATGCACTGCAGACTGACTACTTGGTTCTTATCTAATCTCAAGTGTCAATAAAAATGATTAAGTTAGTTCCTAAACAGGGATGTTGACAATGGATTCACTGTGTTCTCTATGTGGATTGAGAACTATATTTGAAGCTATAGGCCTACTGTCCTAATTCTTTTATTTGTGGACTATTTATTTAAATTAAATTTGTAGACAGGCCTTAGTAACTTGTTGATAATATTTATTATTTAAGACAATAACCATATTGTTTTTGTTACATGTAGCAAATGGCCCTAAGGACCACGTGAATGAACATGAGGATTTTGATTCATGGCGATCTCAGCATCATCAGGTAAGCTGTTTTGATTTTACGTCACATTAGCAAAAAAACTTTATTTTATCTTAAATTTAGGCCTATGTAACTAGTTCAGTAAATCAATTTTCCAAATAAATCCAAACATACAGAAGGGCTATAGCCTAGTTGATCATCTTGAAATTTGGTACAGTGTCTAAACATAAATAAGAATAGGTAAATGTGTAACAATCATAACATTTTCAGACCATGTGTAGGCCTATAATTTTAAGGATTTTCTGACGAGCTTTACCGTTAAATCTATAAATTTTAACTTTAAGTGTAATAATTTGATTACGACTAGCTTACTCGCTCAGTCACTTTTTATCTTGTAAAAAATCTAAAATTTAATAAATAATTGTCAGAACACATAACCTGAATTTGATTATTACTGTTATAGTTTAATGCTAGTCCAGGGCAATTCAAGGTTGTTCAAGATGGCAACGTACAAGATAGCCTAAGTTAATAGTTAACAGATACAATAGCTTAATACAATAGGAATCAAATAGTTCCCAATATATTTTCCCCAATTTAAATTTAAATCACTGAGATATAAAAACGAAAATACAACTAGGATAGTCAAATATTTTACTATCATTAGACAATGTCTTCATAGGCCATTTTTCATACATTTTATTTGGGTCTCTCTGTTACATTTCACTTTAACACCTAAGATCGTGACAAAAGTTCCTTTTATGCTATCAACACCATAGTTTCTTATCAGGTGACCTATTTAATCAAATAAAGTCCCTCAGTTTATATACCCAATATATCTATTCAAGAATAGAAACAAATCTTAGATTCCCTTTTAACTTTTGCTTTAGATCATTCTAAACCTATCTTAATATTCACACTTGATATTAATCAATAATACATTAGTTGAGATAATTAATACTGTAGTTAAAAAAATGCTTCTATTAGAGAGTTTTATAGGAGATTATATTTTATGCAGCATATTTTTTTGGTAAAGATAAGTTAATTTGTTTGATAAAAAATACACAAGCACACTATACAGTAAAATTTTAAATAATCTCCAAACATAAACAAAATCTAGAAGGTAATTTTATTTAAATGATTGGCAAAGTAAATTTCATTTACCTAAAAGTAGGGATGGACGAGATTGGATTTTTAGTTTCAAGACGAGACGAGACGAGATTTTTTATTTCTCATAAAATTTCGAGACGAGATCGAGACGGGATTTCCCTTCTCATACACAACGAGAAATGCACGTTCGGAATTGTTACCTGATTTTGTAACATTATTAGATGACTATTTAAATACAAAAATAATGATAATAGGCAAGAATATTTACAATCTTTTATTAAAAAACATCAGCATAACATTTTTTTATTAATCACGCCTAAATTAAAAATGCCTACGATTAGGAAACATAGTGATATCAGTTAGGATAGAGTTCAACTTATCCTAAAATAAAATAAATCATAAAATAAAATATTAGTTTTTATAAAATAGTTAGCCTACTTGTTTTGACTTTTTTTATAGTAATAAAACATCCTCACACTGCTAACACTTAACAAAACTTCTCAAATGTTATTAAAATAATTAAAGTAATATTTACATTTGAAGAATTAATTAAATAAGAACGCCTTCGCAAAGGAAACGCAACTACAACACGCTCCTGTATTGCATTGCATTGACTTTCTGCAGGCGTTTTGAATTTTTTTTTTTTTTTTTTTTTTTTTATTCTTGTCTCGATAAAAATCTCGGCCAAAAATAAATCTCGTCTCGTGTAACGAGATTTAAAATTTCCCGAAAATTTCCCGAAATTTCGAGACTTGACCATCCCTACCTAAAAGCCTTTCTGTTTATTTCATTTATTTGACGGACAAACCATTTCATACAGGATACAATTTGTGTTACAACTATTGAATTAAATTGAATTGAATTGATGAGTGATGACTAACAAACATGTATAGATTAGCCTTTGTTAAACCAATAATGTATACATAATATAATTGGTTTGTTTTGTTGGAATTATAGGGCTACAGTACCCCAATCTCAACGTCGATGGCTTCAGACCCGTACACAATGTCCAACTACTACGGGACGTCGTTCCCCTACCAAACATTCGGCGTGGGAGATGGAACATGGTCCAATGGCGGAGACCCAATGACATTCCTCGGCGGGTATGGAGGACAAATGGGGCATGACTCATACGGCATGGAGGGAATGTTCGGAGGTGGTGGTGGGGGCTTCGGAGGAGCCTTCGCACAGCCGACTGCACCAGCAGCAGGCTTCAACTACTTTCACGGGAACGGAGACTACTCGACATGGGGCAGCTCAGCAGCCATGTCTCGCAAGCCTCACTACGAGGACTACTACAGGGGAAGTGACGGGGGGGTGTACAGTGCTGTGGACACGCTCAAGGGTGTAGAACAGGGCATGCAGGCCCTCGGACTGTCAGATCCTAATGTGAAAGTCATGGACGGTAAAGTTGACGGAAAAGGTGATATGAACATGCAGCAAAGTCAGTCAGCACCTAAGAAGATGACTTGGGCTTCGATTGCAAGCCAGCCGGCAAAACCAACTCCTCAAGTGGGATCGGGAGGGATGAAGAAGAAGGGACCGGGGATGCCTCCTCCACCTATGGTGCCGGGAAAGCATAATATGGACATTGGAACTTGGGAAGGTAAAAACGGAGGTGGTGCTACAATCGGGGTAAAACCTGTTGGACCTCCTCCCCCTCAGGTGAGGCCAGCGTGGGGTGGTCCTATCCGTGGGGCTGGACCTCGAGCTGCTGGACCCAATGGCTTCCCTCCAGGTCCTGCACCCCCTCATCACCATCCTCACCAAGTGGCTATTCTAGCCCCCCCTCATCACCACCACCCTCCTCAAGGTCCTATGATGGCAGGGCCTCCTCCTCACCAGATAGCTCAAGTTCCTCCTCCTCCCATGCTCCCTCCTCATCAACCGGGACCTCCCCCCTCCCATCCCGTTCTTGACGAGTTGCGTGGAAAGAACAATTACAATCCTGTTGAATTTGACCTTACTGCTAAAGGTGCGAGGTTTTTTGTCATCAAGTCGTATTCGGAGGACGACATCCATCGTTCCATTAAGTACGAGATTTGGTGTTCGACGGAGCACGGCAATAAGAGACTGGATCAAGCGTATCGAGAGCGTGAGGGAAAGGGCATGGTGTATTTATTTTTCTCTGTAAACGGTTCCGGTCACTTTTGTGGGATGGCAAAAATGACATCTCCCGTGGACTATCACGCTTCAAGCTCCGTTTGGTCGCAGGATAAGTGGAAAGGACAGTTCAAAGTGAGGTGGATCTATGTCAAAGACGTGCCTAATGTTCAGCTTCGTCATATCAGACTGGAAAATAATGAGAATAAGCCAGTAACAAATTCACGTGATACACAAGAAGTTCCTTTTGAGAAAGGGAAACAAGTGCTTAAGACGATGCATACGTTTAGGCATTCAACATCGATTTTTGATGATTTTGTGCATTACGAGAAGCGTCAAGAAGAAGAAGATTCAAGGAAGGAGCAGCCTCAGCCACAGTCTACACAGCAACAACATAGCCCACTGCAGAATGAGCGACCACCACAGAACCCTCAGCACCACCATAAGGTAATAAACATAGTGTAAGTTACTTATAAACATTACAAAATGTAAGCTATAGGCCTAGTGTTTTAAAACTTAAAAATAGTTGAAACAGTTGAGGGTACAATTAGATAATTTTTTTTTGGTTAGTTGAAGACCTCAGTCAGATATTTGTATGGTTTATATTGATTGGGACGGGTGGCGTCGTCCTGCAATCCAGCTACTATGAGGTCACGAATTGTGGATATTTATAGGCATGCACTGTGGATGCGATACTCCCTGGTGTGGAGTAACGTCCGCACGAGTGAGTACTACAACTATGCGCAGTGCTATCCTGATATAATTAGACCAATTCTTATATACCAAGGAAAAAATGTGGTTTGGATTCCACTATAAACTGTAGGTCCCTTAGTTGCCATTGTATGAGTTATTAATTAACAGCTGTGTCTAAGGAATATGTCGGCTCACGGCTACACTCATCTCCATTCATATTTGACTTTTGTATGGTCGCCATTTCATTAAAAAGTATTAGGTATTAAACCTACCATTTCTAAATGGTATTAGACTAAAGCCAAAGTTTTAACCCACAGGGAACTTAATAATGTGTTTTCTTTAGTAGATTTAGTAGATTCTTTAGTAGATTTAGTAGAAGTTCGCAATGCAACCTTGATTTATAACAAATCAGGAGACTAAAGTTGGGACCACCTAAGTTTGCAGTTGGTGGCAGCCAATCACAAGACAAGGCTATTGCGACGTTGCCACATCGCCCGTTGACAACACGACAATACTAATTAAAATATACTAAGCAATATTTTCAAATCAGCTGGTATTATTAGATTTGGCAACACCGAACGGTTCGCATTGGTTTATGGGCCATTCTTCAGAAAAGAACAGATTTAAATTTTATATTTTTTTTTTTTTTTAATTTTTTTATGTATTTTAATGTATTGTTCTTAATATTTACCCATTGCAATGGTCACACTAAATAAAAATCACTTTCCCAGATTTTTAGTATTTAAAAACTAGCATGTCCACGGAAGTGACTATCGCAACTGAAAATTTTACAAATAAATTTAAAAAACAAACATAGATTCTAGCAAATAGGTTAGGGAAAACTTTTGCTCTTATTTTTGTAGAGAAACACATAAACTACTGTAAATTAGTGTATTAGGTGTAATTGCCATTTAAAATAATAGTTGTTAAGAAAGCGCAGCAACGCGCGCCGGGTAACTGCTAGGTGTCCACAGAAGTGATGATTTAGCATTTTATGCCTATAGAGTCTAGCAAATAGGTTAGGAACAATGTTTGCTCTAGAGAATCACATAAACTACTGTAAATTAGTGTATTAGGTTTAATTGTCATTTAAAATAACAGTTGTTAAGCGCAGCAACGCGCGCCGGGTAACTGCTAGTGTCCACAGAAGTGATGATTTAGCATTTTATGCCTATAGAGTCTAGCAAATAGGTTAGGAACAATGTTTGCTCTTATTTTTGTAGAGAAACACATAAACTACTGTAAATTAGTGTATTAGGTTTAATTGACATGCATAATTACCTTTAAAATGTGGTAACAGAAGTGACTATGTTAGCTTGACGATCAATTAAAACTCTAGTTTCACATGATATAAACAACTAATAACTGAACAGAACACAACCAAACTGATTCTATGTTCAAGATGGTTACTTCTTCTCTGTGAAATAAATAGTGAAAGTTGGCCAGTGCTGCCTGGTGGTTTTTTTTTTTTGGAACTACATATGCCTGTCCACAGGAGTGATGCAGGCTTTGGTGACCGAGTTTCTTTGTTTTTTTTACCTTTAATAGAATGGAAAAAGTAAAATAAACAAAAAAATTATTAATACTCAATGTCTAGATAGCCAACAGCAATTGGGTTTAATAATTTTTATTTCAAATTTGTAAGTAAAATCAGCTATCTTAAGCTAAACCTAGAGGGACCCTATTGGCTACCGGAAGCACCGGCCAATACATTTTTATAAGTACAACTGGAATCAAAATGTATTTGTTCATTAATCAACTTATTTCTATCTTTACATTTTTTCTTATAAATATACAATTCTTCCCAAGCATTCATTACATATCCTTTCTTACAATTCTTTAACCCATTTCTGCCCACCGTCGACATTTGTCTACGTAATATTTGGGAATTTTTAAGTAAGGCTCAGATAGACATAGACATCAAAGGATATTTTTTTGTATTTGGTTGGTATCCCTGGTACACAACGACAACGTTCCGCGCCATTTCGTAGCAAACTTGTGAGTGTGTCATTTGAGGTTATGTTCACTTACACGGCACAACATGTCATACTTTGATTCGTAAGTTTTTTTACTATTATATTTCTGATTTATCCTTGTAGTTACATTTGTTTAGTGTCATTTATGATTCATTCTATCATATGCATGCGTTAGCTTATTAAAAATTTAACAATAAACACTCTAGCGGCACATCGTGGAACCTTCCTTTGTCAGTCTATATTTAATTCTTTTGTCTGTAGTACCGTACAATACCTGAAAAATATTTCAGCCCAATCTGAGCAATCAAGGTTCAAATTCAAAACATTTATTGATTTTATTTTTTTAAGTATTTAAAAGAGAATTCTCATCACTGTTATTGTTGTCACCAACATAGATAATAGAGAACTATAACTACTGATTGTCAGAAGGATTTAAATGTTCACAACAGTGTATGATAAGCGATAGGCTAGTATATACAAATATGTCACTATCACAGCTTTTGTGGACAGGATACCCAGTCGATATCCTGCAGAACATTTTCTAGGGATCCAAATGTCCTTGGCTGGCTGCCTCCATGAGCTGGTATTCATTCTTTGACGCTATCATCAAGGTCTTCATCTTGGTTTTCTCAAAGAGCTTGGCTACTCTTGCTCAGGGTATGACGGCTTGTGATTTTAAATTCTTTCAATTTCACTGCACATAAAGGAATGCAATTTTTGAGAACTTTTGATATCCCCTTCTTAGACACTATTTTACATGCCAGGAACACATTGTAACATTTACATGTGTTTGCGTCTGTGTAGGAACGGGAAGGTGGAGGTGGAAGTGGAGGCGGTCGCGGTGGACGTGGAGGTGGCAGAGGAGGTGGCGGAGCTCGCAATAACTGAACCTCCGTTCTTCAATCTTTAGATATATATTATATTCTGAATAAAAGTTATCATTATTATTTCTAACATTAATTGTAACCTGTCAGGAGAAGGAAAGCCTAGGTTTTAGAAATGCTTGTTCTTTCTCAAATGAGGATGGCCAATGTCAATTATTGTTAAATACTTTTAGCCATATTTTTTTTAGTTTGAGATTTTACAAAATATAAGTTTTAATTCATGTTAGCCGTTCAAATGTTTCAGTGATTATTTTTGATGAGTTTTTTTGTTTTTTTAGTGTCAAGATGAAAAGTATTTTTTGAAAAATGTTTATTTGAATAAGTTAAGTATGACTTACTGTCACTGAGCTGTATGTTTAAATTACTGTTCTTGAAATTCACCATATATTCACATATTGTGTGTTAGAGTACTAACTGAGAGTGGGAATAGAGCTGTAGCCTGTATTATTGTCAATGAAAATGGTACAGTACTCATAATCTATAGTTTCTGTGCAATTGTTGTTTAGGGTACCAAACAAAATTAAACTATAGACTGGTTAAACTCCCTAAGTTATGTAATTTGCTGTGAATTTATCTTACTGAACTATAACAAATAATTAAGTTACTCCGAATGCATGTAAACTATCTTGCATGATTTCCTCATCTTGTAATTTATAACATATTAGATAACATATTAAATGTTCTTTAAAACGTTGTTAACTTTATTTTATTGTAGGTTGCAATTAGTTTAATTGCAGCCTGCGCTGTTAACAGCTGATTTAAATTATGCTATGTGCTCAGCACTCTAACTTTAAAGACAGTAAACAGACGAGTTATATAACTCTCATGTACCTAACTATGTGCCATGATCCGTGTGTTTATTAATCTTTGTTGCATGAAATTTTGTATATCCAAGTGTGAAAACACTATAAAAATAACATGAGTGATGTAGCTGACTTTATTCGTTATGATCAAACTATTTTATTTGTAATTTTTTGCATAAGACATTTCCACTTTTAGAATATTTTTACTTAAGTTTTTTGTTTTGTTGAAAGGCCATCCTCTTTACTCAGTGTTGCACTTTTGATGTTTCACTGGAGTGTCATATGATTACATTAAACAGCTGTTTCTATATTGTTGGGTTTTGTTGTTGTGTAGTCTTGCACATGTCTACAAAATATACGCAGTAGTTCGACTGATTCGTGTATTCATAGTCTTTAAAATCTTATTCAACTCCTTTTGCAGCTAAGCACATTTTTTTATGAGTAAATCCAAAAATAATACCGGTAATTTTTCAAACGTGGATATATGTTTCTTTATAAAACAATAGGTAGGTAATCTGACATTTTGTAGACACTGCTCTTTATATCTGTGATATAACTTACTATTGATTTTTCTTGCCAACCTAATTTTCTTTCCTCCCAGTTGATAAAGGTTAACTGATGTGTTCTAAAACTTGTGGTATTATGTTTTCCTGTAGGTTAAATTTATATATACTCAGACAAGCAAATTGGAACACTGCTAAATGTATCCAAATCAATTTATTGAAATGAGTTAACCTAGTAAAATTATGTGTGAATGTAGGAAGTTGGGACTATAGTTCGGCCGCTTAGAAAACGACCTGCGCGCTAATGCTAAACCAATGCTGGAGGAGGTCGTTTTCTAAGCGGCCGACCTATAGTTAATAAGTTGGTAGTAATTAAACTCGCATGTGATCGTGCCTGATTAAGGGAAACTTCTTTGATTGCAATCAAAGCTCAAAATTCAAATTCAAATGAAGCAATTGATCATAATATAATCTTTAACTCTACTTTCATCTCCAGCTGATTGTATTCACACATTTTGCTGCAAAAGGACTGTCACCTCTGCTTTGTTAAGTTTACCTGTTTGGCTATATTTAATTCTGTTGAACATTATATCATACTTGGCATAGCATTGTCTATAATTGGTTTATTGGTATTAGTTGGTTTGTGTTAAAAAATGATTAAATATGTAACTAGCAAATTGTGAACTCTAGGTCCGCAATGTAGCCGGATCCACATTTGAGAGTGGGTAGCATTGCTATTAATTACGTTTTGTTTGTTTGTTTAACATTTCTGGTTTTAGTAGAGAACGTTTCAAAAGAATTGATATTTTTGCTCTTGAGCGCAGTATGTCACCTACTCTCAATGTGTCTGGCATAGTCGTCTGATTTTGTGTGGCGTGAAGTGAGTGACTCCAGTAAAGGACTTAAACCAAAGTGAAACTGTTACTTTTATTCAATTGATTTCATAGGACAGTGTGAATAATTGGAACCTCAAAAACAAATTCGGCATCTTACGGACAGTGACCGAAATAATCAGTGATGTGATTCTTTTGAACTTGAACTTTTCTATCGAAGCGCATCGTTAAACCATTTGAACTCTTTTCGGTAAGTGTAAGTGGACTAATTATATAAAATGTTAAACATAAGACTGCTGTAACGATACGAAATAAACATTTGAAATTTAATCTTCGTCGAGAAAGATCTGGACTTCCTCAATCAAGCTGAGCGCTTCGGTGAGAACGATTTTGAAAATCACAGTTCAAGATGATTCTACGGTTTGATCGACTCCCAAAACGTTTAGTTGTAAAAGAACGTTTTGTGGCCTGTAAAATAAACACTTTAATTATTTTTACTAGTATGATTTGTACTTAGTGAGAAGAATTATTTCAGTTAAATTTTATAAATGAATTGACAGTTTATTTATAAAGCGTGATGTCAATTTGGTGTGTGAACTATAATACTGAGATCTATATATAGCCTACCTTCGAGTGTAAATATGTTTAAATATAATAATATATTTTGTTAATTATAAAATATTCAATTATTATTGATTAATACAATGTTAATGACTTTCAAATGAAAACAACTTAGTCCAGTCTATGACATTGAGCATGTTACCTCATTTAATAGGTCTTAAACAGACCTAGGTACCTACATTAAATTGTTTACATAATGTACATTTTGAGTTCTATTATGAAAGACAAAACCCCATTCATGGTTTTTATTCCAGAGTCATTAAAGGTAACAAACTTGGATGTAACAAAATGTATTCAGTTGTGTCTAGAATTGTTCTCTGCAAATTGGTGCTCTATTGTGGTTTAATTAAAACAAAATTAGGTAAATTAATCATATAGGTAACGAGTTGTTTTGGCAAATGCATGTACAGTAATAGAAACCCATGTACTGGTTTTCTTTGAACCAATAATGTTCTTTTATCAAAATAGGATGTATATTTGGAGAAAGCATGTGTGTTACATTTATGTTAAGCCAATTTAATTGGGAATTGCATGTAACAAAATGATCTATTATTAAATTTAAAACACCTCTTTATTTTGTAAAATTATTTAGCATAGACTGGTCTCATTTTTGACAATTTAGTTTTGTAGAACCAACATTGAGAATTTAAGTTCTATAAATTGTACCTTGCTTTAAATAAACTATTAACTGTGATGATATTTTAATTGCATCTTGTTGTGCACATTGCTGTTGCACAGTGTATCTAAAGCTGTAAAACTTGTTAAATAAATTATTTAAATAATTATCATTAGTAATCACGTGACTGGATGTTAATGCTATTTAAGTGGCAATTTTAACTTGATTGTATGTTATAAATGACTGAATACAGTTTAGCATCAAATTGATGTCCGCTGCACATAGATTGCTCGGTTTGATGATGCAGGACTTGTTGATAATGAGAATTAAAGATCGTAATACCAATACATGCCATGTTGTTATTATCCCAAGTCGTTTTCTTGGTTTGTCTTATTACTACATTATTGGCTTCCATAAACCATAAATTCGTTGTTTCTATTTAAAAGTCACAGTAATCTACACCCTGTTGCTGTGTGTAAACTTAAAGGTACTTTTTAAATAACTTGTTGTTACCTAGATTGATTTTAAATTGAAAGTTGATGTTTAAAGGTATGCTAGTGCATTACATGTTCATTTATGTGTCGTATTACTTCAAATAACTTTAGGGTTGAGTAAATTTAAAAGTTTTAGTGGATTTTAGACCTCAATCAGAAACCCTTCAGATAACTTACTGTTTACCATCAATTTATCTTTGCTCAAGATTTTTGGGATACGTTAAGGGGAGGGTTTTACTTTGAAATATTACATATCAAATACTTGCACTTGTAAAAAGTATGTGACCAAAAAATTTTAGAGGCCAAAATAACTATGAATTATACACAAATACAGTAACTCTTTTATAAAACCCTGTTTTACTAAGTATAAATGTCTCGCTATACCAACTATCTATTCTGTGTTAAGGTATCAATTCAATGTAAGGTACTGTAGTCACTGAAGGCGTCTAAAAGAAGACAAAATCTTGCTGTGATCATTGATCGATCAGTGATTGAGTAATCTCCCTGTCCTACATAGGGACTGAGGTCTGACTGATCACCCTCCTGCCAGTTGTTTTATCAATTCAATGTAAGGTACTGTAGTCACTGATAAAAAGTTTAGGCGTCTAAAAGTAGACAAAACCTTGCTGTGATCATTGATCGATCAGTGATTGAGTAATCTCCCTGTCCTACATAGGGACTGAGGTCTGACTGATCACCCTCCTGCCAGTTGTTTTATCAATTCAATGTAAGGTACTGTAGTCACTGATAAAAAGTTTAGGCGTCTAAAAGTAGACAAAACCTTGCTGTGATCATTGATCGATCAGTGATTGAGTAATCTCCCTGTCCTACATAGGGACTGAGGTCTGACTGATCACCCTCCTGCCAGTTGTTTTAAACTATGTTTCAGAAGTCCAAAACTTGTTAGAGGGAGGCTATTGAAGCACAACACGTTTGGATTATTAATTCTAGAGCATCTACATATTCTACAATCATATAATGATCATGGTACTTGCTACTTTATGAAAAATAAGTTTTTCGATTTTTTTATTATCATGGAAATGCCCAATTTTTATTACAGCCATCATATATAGTTAAAAAAAAATATTTTTTGCACTGAAGCTGAAGCATGTTTGTACAGTCAAAGGCCACGGAGAAAAGGAGAACTGTTGTAACTTAGATTGCTTAATTATAGATTTAATTTGATTAAATTTTGCAAATTAATTTCATTCCGTACCTATTAATATTTTATCAAAAACTTCTCCCTTCCCCATAGCAGCAAATCTTGGTAGTCCTTAAATATAAATAGTTTAAGTTAAATGTGGTATAAATATGTAAATTGCATATGGAAACATTTAGTCGGAACCCGGCTATCAGAGGAATTGGAATTTACCTAGTCTGCAGGTTTGCTGCAGCGGGAGGGGTTGTGTATTACAAGTGAGTAGGCTTCTCTTAGGTAAACAAAAATATGAAAATTAAAAAGTTATATGTAATACCAAGCTTTGGAGATACAGTAGGTACAGTATAAACTTATCCAGGGCTAGGACTTGAGTAGTTTTCATGCAATTGGGGAAGCTGCATAGTGACCTGAGTGACCACCTGATGAGGTCTATAAACAATAACTCATGTTCCCTGGAATAGTTACCACAGCTAATGACGTTTTTGGAGTGACACTGTTTTAGCATATTTAGCACAATTAAATTAAATCTTCGCTGTGCTCTCTTATTTGATCAAGGTATACTGACTTACGTACGTATATGTTTAGCCCATGCTGTTAGAGTCACGGCCACCTATAAGGTGGCTGTGGTTAGAGTACACCCACTCAAGTTCGTATAGTTGCAGGAGAGCACATGTAATTCATAATGCAGCTAATTTTAACTACCTTAATTTGGCGATAAGAAATGGATCTGACTCAATTGAACCCTACAGCAAACCATGCGGGAATCTTATATACTCGTATATTGATTGTAGTGAGAAGGAGAAGCCCTGAGGTAGAGTATACAACTTTTCTAAAGACGCAGGTTGGTATACTGTCAATTTTACTGGAACAGTTCCATCTTGTTAAGTGGCAATAAAAGTGAAGAGATGGGCGAAGCTCAAGCTATTATTACTATTGTTTTGGCTAGTTAGTAAGCAAGTGGTTAATGCTCGCCTGAATCAACATGTGCTTTTTTCATGGTTCGAAACTGTAAGCAGCAGCTGTTCCTAATCGAGTGTAATAAATTAAAATAAATGGTCAGGCTAGAGAAACAGAGCTGATAAGATAATAGTAACAAAAGTTTAAACCACTCCATTCTACAAACACCTTTCAATTCATATTCAGCTTAAAATACGCACCTTTGGTGTACGTTACTGTCTTGGTATAATGATAATTGTTAAATGTTAATAGGCTAGTTGTTGGTTTATTTCAAAATAATTTCAACGTCCGTCCGTCGTCACGGTGTGGTTCCCTCTAAGAATACTACCTAACTTATAGGTCACTTATAGATGGGTGTTTAATTTAAACTAAATGGACCTGCTCTCAAGAATAAACCTCCGCGGAGAGGTAAAGTCTGTAGTACAGATTAGAACGTCGAAAAATTAGGGAATCTGTGACCCCTTAGTCCAAAAAGATTGAAAATAAAACTATTACTTTATTTTGTTCTGTTACTTTAGGTGTTTGTAGAACCAGTTTAGGCCTACATCTTATTTTACATGACGATTTGAATTTACATCCCCTTAATCTGGTTGTTGCACAAAAGCTCAATAAAATTAAGGTGGCTCTAGATTACGTCTTGTATTATTATGTCAAAGACTCTTTCAGCTGATTGAAGGCAAAAACCTTCAGGGGTGCCTTATAATGTCATGTCACTACTAATTAAAATAGTCTTTAATGCAAAAGGCACGGTGTTGTACTGTCTGTCCAACCAAGGCCCCAATAGAAAAAAAGTTTTTTCTAGTGGGGCCTTGGTCCAACGAACCATGATTACTCAAATGGCATGCCATTTTGTTGTTTAGAACAACGACAATTCTACAGTAGTAACAACAGCTGATTGACATATGTTATGTTTAAAAATGATCCGTTATTTTTATTTATGGACCACCCTTTTCATTTCTATGCTGAACGCTTGGAATGAGTCTGTTAGCTCAGAAAAAGTAACCATGTTATAGGTTTTGTAAATTATCATTATACGTATTTTAAATCCATTCCATTGGTCATGTAATCTAGCCACTCTACGTATGTGACGTTTCACAGCCTTCTGCCACGCCGCCTTCTTGTCGTGTTGCTGTTTTCTGTTGGGCATCAATGTCGAATTTTGTGTTTATTTTATGGAGTTGAAGTAGCTTATTAGGTATAGGCTATTTTACCGGCGTATACATTGTGCGGTATTACAGTAAGTAAGTGTTCTCAATTTATAATTTACTTTAATATGGCTATTTTGACAACTGTTTCGTATTCAAAATGTTTACTACGGTTAAAAATTTAACTTATTCTGAAGTCTATAATATTTAAGGCGGTACCTATTCATAACCTCCTAAGTAAGTTAATGGTCAACAACCGAAGCCCAAGTTTGTTCAGCTAAGTTATTATTACCAGTTATTATAAATCATCAAATATATTTTATTTTAGAATTAAATTGAACCACACCAAAATTTGTTCGTTGGTAGTCTTAGGTTTTAGCAGTTAGGCTAAGCCAACTGATTAAGTCCTTCATTCAAAAATGATTGGCTCAAAGGCTTGAGTACCAAACATTCAAATATCAACTTAATGATAAAATAGCTTATTCCCTATATGGGAAATTCGCTAAAACTAGCCCAAAAACAACTAACATCAACATTGAATACATAAATTGTAGCAACGTTATAGGCTTACAGTTTTCATCACATTATTTTTCATTCTGTGATTATGATCTACAAATTCTTTTTAAATTCAATTCATTTATTTCCACAGTAACTTAACACCATTTTACTAAAAGGTAGGCTACAGGGTCAATCCATATCAAGTGATCCAGAAATAAAATAATTGGTTGCTTGACCATTTTTTAAATAAACAATATTTTTATACTAGACACCTAGGCCTATATCAATTCTGGGTTCAAAAGTGATTTAAATTTTTTTGTTATCTCTTTTGTTACTTCTACGGCGGCCATTTTTGTTTTGAGGAACACGCAAATTTTTGCTCATGTAAGGGTTTGCGTTAACTTCCTTGACTCGGTAACCATGAACACTAGAGTGATGAAACAAAAAGCATATTAATCTGGAAGAAACAGCCTAAGTATTATGTTCAGTACATATTTATTGAAATGTGTATCAAAAACAGTTTCAAACCCATCTCAACATTTCATAAGAAAACGGAAAAATTTCAACTTTTGAAGGCGTATTACCATTGGAACGAATAAAATCTCAGACTTGATTTTTTTGTGTGTGTAGCAACTCAGTTGAACTGTTTGTGTAGACGCCCCCTTTCACCAATTCCTCTAATAAAAGTCTTTGGGCTTTGCCCCACAGGTCATCAAAATCCTAATGTAGGTATTTCTTGAGAAGAAAAAGATATTGTTACCGGTAACTTAAACAGACAAATAATTTGTATTAGGCCTAATTGCATACTGACACAGCTGTTCATAGTAAACACATGATACACACAAGAGTGTTCGTTTTCAGATTCAATAAAGCTGGAGTTGAGTGATTGATGTAATTTACATTATCTTTGAGTTGACTCTTTTTAAGTCATCGGAAAGTATGGCTGTTATTAGTTTTTAAATAACGCATGTAATACTTTCCAATTGCTCGAATTTGAGCAACGGGTGCACTAATTGAGCGGAGCGAGCGAAGCTCTTTGAGATCGGACCTTATGCAAACTATGTAATCAATTAACTCAATAACGGCTGAACATATTGAATCCAAACTTACCAGGGGTATTTCGACAAATATTTTTGATGTTTCGAAACAATCAAATTTCAATTTGATGATACCTGTACAATTTAAGGCTGACATAAAATTTGCAATGTTTAACATGAGTCTTATGAGTTGCCATGATGGTTACGAGATAACAACGTAGATGTAAACAAAGAATCGTAGCGTATGCGACTCGACATTCTGTACCCACGGGCACCTCAGCTTGCACATGCACATATGGCCTATTTACAAAAGACAGTACAAAAGAAAAGGAGTCCGATGAATACCATTAAGCGTTGATTAACAATACACCGATTCGCATAATTTCTGGCGGCCTTACTGAATTATTCCAAGCAGATTATTTCTTTTAATTGTTGTTATTAGTTTTGTGGTAAATATTAGTCCGGAGTGTGGTAACTGTTTATGACGATTAGATTAAGGTATTTGTTATCCTAAAATGATATGGGGAGGGAGGGAAACAGGTCCGTGACGTAGGAAGTCGTGAAGGAAGCAGTAAAGGTAAGCGGTCCGGAGTGTGGGAACTGTTTAGTGTTTATGACGATTAGATTAAGGTATCTACAATCCTAAAATGCTATGGGAAGGGAGGAAAACAGGTCCGCGACGTAGAAAATGGTGAAGGAAGTAGTAAAGGTGAGTAGTCCGGAGTCTGGGAAATGTTTATGACGATTAGATTAAGGTATCTACAATCCTAAAATGCTATGGGAAGGGAGGAAAACAGGTCCGCGGCGTAGGAAGTGGCGAAGGAAGTAGTAAAGGCGAGTAGTCCGGAGTATGGGAACTATTGATGACGATTAGATTAAGGTATCTGTTATCCTAAAATGCTATGGGAAGGGAGGGAAACAGGTCCACGACGTAGGAAGTCGTGGAGGAAGCAGTAAAGGTGAGTGGTCCGGACTGTGGGAACTGTTTATGACGATTAGATTAAGGTATCCACAATCTTAAAATGCTATGGGAAGGGAGGGAAACAGGTCCGCGACGTAGGAAGTGGTGAAGGAAGTAGTAAAGGTGAGTAGTCCGGAGTTTGGGAACTATTTATGACGATTAGATTAAGGTATCTACAATCCTAAAATGCTATGGGAAGGGAGGGAAACATGGTCCGCGACGTAGGAAGTCGTGAAGGAAGCAGTAAAAGGTAAGCGGTCCGGAGTGTGGGAACTGTTAAGTGTTTATGACGATTAGATTAAGGTATCTACAATCCTAAAATGCTATGGGAAGGGAGGAAAACAGGTCCGCGACGTAGGAAATGGTGAAGGAAGTAGTAAAGGTGAGTAGTCCGGAGTGTGGGAAATGTTTATGACGATTAGATTAAGGTATCTACAATCTTAAAATGCTATGGGAAGGGAGGAAAACAGGTCCGTGACGTAGGAAGTCGTGATGGAAGCAGTAAAGGTGAGCGGTCCGGAGTGTGGGAACTGTTTATGACGATTAGATTAAGGTATCCACAATCTTAAAATGCTATGGGAAGGGAGGGAAATAGATCCGCGGCGTAGGAAGTGGTGAAGGAAGTAGTAAAGGCGAGTAGTCCGGAGTGTGGGAACTGTTTATGACGATTAGATTAAGGTATTTACAATTCTAAAATGCTATGGGAAGGGAGGGAAACAGGTCCGTGGCGTAGGAAGTGGTGAAGGAAGTAGTAAAGGCGAGTAGTCTGGAGTGTGGGAACTGGAAACCAATTGTAACAGTTCGATTTCTTTATCTGAAATTGAAATACTGAAATGCTATGAGATATGGGATGGAAAGATGTCCAAGACATAGGAAATGGTTAAAGAATTAGTAAATGCTAGCCGTGCGGAGTGTGGGAAATGTTGTTGGCAGTTAGATTAATGTATTTAAAATACTAAAATGCAATGGAAAGAGATGACAAAAATGTTCACGACGTAGGAAGTAGTAAAGTTTAGCATCGCAGAGTGTAGGAACCGTTTGAGGCAGTTAGATTAATGTATCTGTAATACTTAAATGCCATGAGAAGGGAAGGAAACAATGACGTATGAAATGGTGAAGGAAGTAGTAAAGGCTGGCATCGCAGAGTGGGGGTCTCCAGGTACTTAGTTTATAAACAGTTAAAGAGAGTATTCAAATTGAAAGCTATAGAAACTGTATTTCCGAAGCAGGAATTCAGTACTTTCAAATATTATTAACGGTAGCCTATCCTAAATAAATACAGTGATTTGCTGGGCTTGCACACTAAAGTCCAGTTGCGACTACAATAAATAAATAATTACCTAGGATTTTATAGAAGTCCACTAAGGCGTGTAAATAATTGGTTAGGCTTGTTCAGTTACGATTACGATGCGTAGGCCTAATTCCTAGATTGCTAGGCCTATACAGTAGTTCAGTTATAGCTATTTATTATAATTAAATATTTAACTAAACTTGTTAACTTGTGTTGTCCAATTTATAACTTATAAGTGTGGAAATAATTTTCTCTGTGCAGATATACAGACACAGTTACAATTACACATGCCAATGTTGTAAATATATGTTCAGTAATTTATGTCTGTTTGTTTAAATGTATATATTTTTTATTTGAAAGTCTGACGCCATCACTAATTTTGGGTAAAAGATGAAGATAATAAGGTAATAATTACAAAAAGTAGAGCCTAGACTGCTTGGCCTGTACGGGAGTCCAGTTACAAAATAAGCGTGATATAATATTCTTATTTTTTCCGTATTACTATAAGATGAATTATTACAGCTGACAGAACAGCATGTTGGCATTTTTATGTCAGGTTGAAAATTTAGTACAACCCAATAAATAGGCTTTACATCAACACAGTGCAGATTCTCAAATTAAATTGCCATAGCCTAATATAAAAACGTCTTTTATATTTGATTTTAATACTTACTTGAATACTTACTTACTTACTTGCTAATTATTATAATTACTGTGGTATTGCTATATATAGTCACCTTCTTCTGTCATTCTGTTCGCTGAGCAAAGTTTACTAATTGGCTAAATATTTTAGTTGGAGAAAATGAGAAGGAAGCCTATAGGCCTATTACATAAATGGGAGCTAAACAAACATTAGGATATTGACAAAATAATACTTATCTTTATGTTATTACAAACACACAGTTTTACTATTACTCATATATACAAGTAAAAATCAATGACCTAATAGAAACAGCTGACTTGATTCATATTTCCTTCAACTCTTCCAACCAACCACGAGAATTCAATTGGATTGTTGTTATGGTGACGTCATCATGTATTCAATTTGAATCATGAAAACAAATTAAAGTTATTTGTTTATATCAAAGCTTGCTTACTCCGCTCAATTGGCGGACCTGAGGCCGCATGCCTAGTAAAATTAAACTGTCATAGCCTAACCTAACTAACCAAACTTGCTGATAATATAAAAAAAAGATATGCCTAAGATAAAAATTGAATTTAAAGGTTTACTAATCAAAAAAATAGTTCTGTTTATAAAATAAAATTATAAATGCCTCAAATTCTAACAAAAGATGCACAGTTAAGAATTATCTGCATCAAATTTACTTAGCACAATCACAGTAACCAACCATGGAAAGGTATAAACCTGAAATGGTACAAATCGAACCACAGGGCTTTTCTCTACGTGAATTTAAACTTTTGGAAATTTAACATAGGCCTCACGGATTAATTGGTTGCCATGACATTATTTGCGAGAACAATAAAAAGGTTAACAGGAGTCACAACATATGTTAGTCATCAAATCATCTTAATACAGTAGCACAAATCACAAATACTCTACAGAGGAAAAGGGAAGAACAATCGGATTAATATCATTGAGCATAATTTATGTACTACAAAATGAATAACCAATAATTACGGTTGCCGGAATAAGGCTGATGCACCATTGACTTTAAATAATCAAAACAGCCATTCCACTTATGTGAACCAGATGTGAAAGCGAAAAGGGACCTCTTGTAAGCGATGCAAAATTTTCAGTACGGCCGATTAATTAAGGTAGAAAATATTGAAATTCGGGTTTTATCGATTGTTATACATTTAACATAGAACAGGACAGTATCGGTTATAATATCGAATTGAAGAAGTAAAAGGTGCAAATAAATCATTTTCTTAGCCTCTGCACGGCCTGAGAAAAGGTACCTCTTGTCTCTCAATTTTATTTCGCCATACCTAGTGACAAGAGGTCCCATTTACAATATTAACTTTATAAACAGATGTTAGTTCAAAAAATGAATTGTAGCCTACTGCATTCTAGTGGAAATTTAGAGAACTAGAACAAAGTTCAGTTTAAGGAGAGCAAAATATCTCGTACAAATTTTGCGGTCACGACAAGAGGTCCCTTTTCTGAAATACTACCATGAGTTAAGACGAAAATTGGTATTGCCTCCAAAGAGGACGTTAAGCTTTCTTTTGATATCAAAATCGTTTCTTATAGCCTAAAAAAAACTTTATGCGTATTTAAAATTTTTAAAATAGTTTTTCTCAAAATGACCCTTTTCCATAACAAAATTTCAAAGTCCTATAAGTTAACTTAAACTAAAAAAAAATCGTAGATGCATGGAAGTTGCACTAAGTGATTCGGAATTTTATAAATAAGAAATTCAAATATATATACAGGGTGTTTTTTTTTTTTAAACTTGCATCTTTATTTATGTAAAAACCGCAATAGATAGAAATATTCAGTTTGCGGGAATCATCTATTGACGTAGGGGGCACAATTTTTTTGAAGTCAACGTTACATTCACATTCCCCCCCTTCCCCCCCTGCCCACAACTTATTTTTTTTTAAATAGCAAGGTACCCCTTGTGACATATCAAATAAAAGAGCATGAAAAAAGAAAATGTTTGATGAAAAAAAAATTAAAATCGGTTCATAAACTTGGTAGGACTAGATATTTCCGACCCCCCTCCCCAGAACTTAATTTTTTTTTATCGCAAGGTACCCCTTGTGACATATCAAATGAAAGAGCATGAAAAAAGAAAATGTTTGGTGAAAAAAAATTGAAAATCGGCTCATGAATTTGTGAGATAATCCCCCCCTTTTTCCCCTACCCATAACTTTTTTTTTTAATAGCAAGGTACCCCCCTTTGTGACATATCAAATGAAAAATAAATTTCACCAAACATTTTCTTTTTTCATGCTCTTTTAATAGATATGTCACAAGGGGTACCTTGCTACTTAAAAAAATTAAGTTGGGGGAAAGGGGGGGGTATGTGAATGTAACGTTGAATTCAAAACAATTGGGCCCCCTACGTCAATAGATGATTCCCGCAAACTGAATATTTCTATCTATTGCGGTTTTTACATAAATAAAGATGCAAGCTTTTAAAAAAACACCCTGTATATATCTCAAAATCGGGATTTCCTGACAATAGGTCCCTTTTCGCTTTCTACATTACAAATATAGGCCTACAATTGAGTTTGGATACTGCAAAATGTAGGCTTTCCATTTATGTGAACTGTACCATTCAATAATGCAGACTTTGAATAGGTACTACAATTAGGAATTCCATTACCTGTAATGTGAACCAAAGTTACCACTGAGTTTGGATACTGCAAGTAGACATTCCATTGACGTGAACCAGACGTACCATTGGATTTGGACTGCAAATAGGCACTCCCTTTATGTGAATCAAATGAACCATTGCTTTGGATCCTCAAATTGAAATAGTTTATTGCCATTAAGTACATGTCATACAATAGACCAGGTCAACGGAGATAATAGGCTACAATTCATAGTACAATGTACAGAGTCAAGTGTAAATTCATCCTGCAAAATAATCCTGCAAGTAGACAATTCATTTGTGAACCAAATGTACCATAGAGTTTGGATTACAAGTAAACAATTCGTTTTAAGTGAACCCGACGTATCATTGACTTTTAATGCTGGAAATAGACATACCCTACCATTTAAGTGAACCAGGCATACCATTGACTGGATACTGCAAATAAGCATTTTATTGTGAACCAAATGTATCATTGACATTGGTTACTGCAAGTGGACATTTAATATATTAAAACCAGATGAAACATAGACTTTGATTCCTGCAAGTAGACAATTCATTTACGTGAACCAGACTTATAATTGACTTTGAATACTGCAAATAGACATTCCATTTATGTCACCAAATATAAATCATAAATCATAAATCTTTATTGGTCATTAAATAACATATGTTACAATAGACCTCGTTAACAAAAAAAGGGCCATAGATTCTAGATAGTATAACATGGTCTATAACATGGAATCTTCTACCATTGACATAGGATACTGCAAGTATTTAATCTCATTTACGAGGACCAAAATTGTAGCATTGACTTTAGAATAGTATATAGGATAAATATGCTAGCTCCGCTCAATATTGCAAGCAGACATTGTACACATAGTTCTAAATCGTTTTAAATGTGGTTTACGTTTCTTGTGATTTAGGTGGAACCATGACATTGTTGAAGCCCCGAGGTATGCGCATGTCGCCGGAAAAGCAAGAAACACTTCTCAAGTTGAGCGTTCTTTCTTTGGCAGCAATTTTGTGTAAGTAGGCCTACTAAAATCCTAAGTATATGGATTACTCTTTGTTCTAATCAAATGTAGTAGGTACTGATTAAGTAAAACTACGGTATCTATCTATACTCTTACAGTGTCCTAACTATACTCGAAGACAACTTATAATAATATTTTTCATCATAAATGTTTGTATTATCTATAAGACATTATAAAAACTAACTTAACACAATGACTTATTTTTTTCAGCATTTGCAACCCGATTATTCTCAGTATTGAGGTTTGAAAGTGTCATCCATGAATTTGATCCATATTTCAACTATCGCACAACCAGGTTCCTTGCAGAAGAAGGATTTTACAAGTTTCACAATTGGTTTGATGACAGAGCTTGGTATCCTCTGGGCAGAATTATTGGTGGTAAGTTAATCACAACTTTGCTTTTTGGTTCCTAATCATGCTTAGGCTATAGGAATGTGTGAGTAGTAAATTTATTAGTCTAGTCGAGCTAAAAAATCACCAAGCTTTAAGCTTTTTCGAGTCGAGTATTTTTATAGTGGAAGTGATGCATGATTGCTTCAAAATAAACTTCCTTAAACGTTAAAATAGGTACTTTACGGTAGCTATGTAAAAATCTATTCTAAACAAGGCTTGCCATTTTTGTTAGTTTCAAATACATGCACACACTCGACTTCTAGGGCTGATGTGTGCTTTTAGTGTGAACTAGTTTTACAGACCCTGAAGGAATAATACTGTATACATGGTGTGCTCTTCGGTGCATGGGTTTTCCTTTTACAAAATTTATTATAGCGTGAATTAAATTAGATTAAATTAAAGAATTTAATGTAATAACCAGTTTTTGACCAGTAAACACAACTTAAAAAAATCTTATATAATATTAATAATTTTTATTATTAATATACCACTGATTATTATTAGTAGGTGATGCCTGATTCTACTCTTGTCCCTTAACCTGTCTGCCATATTCACTCAAATACTGTATCAAATTTTGCGATATTCTACAGATGGACAAAAAACAGGGATTTTTGTTCATCATAACTAACCTATTTGCCTTTTGCTGTAAAAGGAACTTTGTTAACTGTACAAAACGGCACACGGAAGATTTCTCAGGTGCCGTTTGACGTCACTAACTGCTGACGTCACTTTAAGGGAACACCATTACCGCAACGATACGATTTTGAGCCATCGGCCCCGGTGGTGTGGTGGATAGCGTGTCGGGCTGATAATCCGAATGTACCGGGTTCGAATTCCGCTGGTAGCACTAACTTTTTGTCAACAATTTTTTTCATATCAGCAAGTTTGGTTGGTTTGGTTAGGTTATGACTGTTTAATGCCTATGAATTTTAGGCATTTATAATTTTATTTTATGAACAAAACTATTTTTTAGATTAGTAAACCTTCATTAGACATTTTCACTATCAGCACGTTTGGTTAGTTTGGTTAGGTTATGACAGTTTAATTTAATAACAGAAAAATTATAAAATTGTCTGTTTCTTCAGACGCAGCAGTTAGTGACGTCAAACGGCACCTGAGAAATTTTCCGTGTACCCCACCGGTTAACTATAAGCTACTGTTTAGTTAAACAAAATGGCTTCATGTGTTTTTTGTTTTGTTTTAGAAAGATGTTTATAACTTATGATGTTACTTTGTTTTACTTTGGCAAGGGGAAATGTATGCAATCGTGTGAGACGATTATCGGTGTTGCCGAAACCGCGAGATATTCTCACGGGTATTGCCGCGATCGTGGGAGACGATTATCGGTGTTGCCGAAACCGCTGGATATGCTCACGGGTATTGCCGCGATCGCGGGAGACGATCATCGGTGTCGCCGAAACCGCAAGATATTCTCACGGGTATTGCCGCGATCGTGGGAGACGATTTTCGGTGTCGCCGAAACCGCAAGATATGGTCACGGGTATTGCCGCGATCGCGGAAGACGATTATCGGTGTCGCCGAAACCGCGAGATATTCTCACGGGTATTGCCGCGATCGTGGGAGACGATTATCGGTGTTGCCGAAACCGCTGGATATGCTCACGGGTATTGCCGCGATCGTGGGAGACGATCATCGGTGTCGCCGAAACCGCAAGATATTCTCACGGGTTTTGCCGCGATCGCGGGAGACGATTATCGGTGTCACGGAAACCGCGAGATATGGTCATGGGTATTGCCGCGATCGCGGAAGACGATTATCGGTGTCGCCGAAACCGCAGGATATGCTCACGGGTATTGCCGTGATCGCGGGAGACAATTATCGGTGTTGCCGAAACCGTAGGATATGCTTACGGGTATTGCCGCGATCGCGGGAGACGATTATCGGTGTTGCCGAAACCGTAGGATATGCTTACGGGTATTGCCGCGATCGCGGGAGACAATTATCAGTGTTGCCGAAACCGCAGGATATGCTTACGGGTATTGCCGCGATCGCGGGAGACGATTATCGGTGTTGCCGAAACCGTAGGATATGCTTACGGGTATTGCCGCGATCGCGGGAGACGATTATCGGTGTCGCTGAAATCATAGAATATGCGAACCTGTTTTGCCGCGATGGGTTGCCTGTGTTGACGAAACTGCAAGATATGCTCACCGGCATTCCCACGATCGCAGGAGATGATAGCTGGTGTCGCCTTACCTACTAGTTATACTGTTTTTATTTTTCTTTGGAAAAGTTTTGTTTTAAATTAAAATAATCATTAATAGTAAAAATAAATTATTATTAGCGGGTTGCGATTAGTTGAACGGGTTCAGATAGTAGTTCTTAAAATTTAGGAATTTGTCTTGATTTCTCTTGGAAAACTCCTTGAATTTTCAAACCAGGTTTAGTAGACACCATGATCCAGAAAATCATTAAATAGGCCGACTCTTAAGAGTTTTCTTAAAATCCTGGGTTGAAATGAGTATGCTATAATAAGTTAATAATGGTTAAAAACGTACCTTGTCAGACAATCCTTGACATGTTTTATAGTGTCGAAAATAAACTTGCTACATGTTTCGGTGGTTATTAAATTCCACCATCGTCAGGCACACAAAAGGATCCACTTCTTGAGGTGTCGTCAGAGTTGTTACATACATTTAACACGAACACAAAACACGAAACGATTAAATACACGGTAACAGATAGGCCTATCAACTTATGCACGTACATTGCCGCGGGCAGGACTGGAAGCAGACTGAACCAGGTTATTAAGGACCGACGTGGACTCTGGGTTGTCGTCTGCGTTATCAACAGCTGATATAGGACTACTGTAGTGACGGAGTAGAGTGTTGAAAATATAATGGGATTCATAATTGAGTTTTTCATTCAAAATTTGTGTGCTGTCCCTGGTTTTTAGGTCCTTATATATTTCAAACTCCTCCAAGGTATTTAGTAAGTTTCCTTTCCCACAGTAATGTAGAATGTCGAGACCGTCGTTTATATCCAGCATATCATGGTTATTGTCAATAATGTGCTGAGCGAATTTGGATTTCTGCAATTTAAGTGTAGGGGCTGGTCGATGCTCTTTGTATCTTATTTTGAAAGCTCTCCCACTTTGTCCTACATAAGTGCTCGGGCAATCAGCACATTTTATGCGGTACACACCTGTCTTTTCGTATTTATCAACATGTGGGCGCTTGCCTTTAGATATGTTCTGCAGCCGATTTGTAGTTTTAAACGCTAGTTTAACACCATGTTTATTGAGATCTTTCTTCAAATAGTTGTTTATTTGGTGGTTGTATTCAACACAGCAATACACTACTTTGTTATTATCATTATTTGCTGGCATGCGGCATGTATTTTCCTTTTTCTTTGCAACGATTTTGTCTACGATCTCAGATTTGTATCCATTAGCCACGGCAATGTGTTTTATTATATTAAGCTCTTTATTGTAGTTTTCTGGACTTAGTGGGACATTTAGTAGTCTGTAGACCATTGAGTTATAGGCTGCCAGTTTTTGAGAATATGGATGGTAAGATGTGCTATGGATGGTTTGGTCGGATGTCGTGGGTTTACGGTATATGCTATACTCCAATGTATTGTTGCGTTTTTCAAGAGTGAGGTCCAGAAAATTTATTTTGTTGTCTACTTCCTTTTCCACAGTAAATTTTAGGTTCGGCGACACAGAGTTTAAATATTGGTGTAGTAAATCAAGTTGACGGTTGTTGCCGTTAAATATTATAATAGTGTCGTCTACATATCTAAAGTATTTCACTATTCTATTTACATGTTTGTTTTTATCAGAAAAAATGAATTCATTTTCTATGTTATTTAAATAGATTTCTGACAGGATTCCCGAGAGAGGGGAGCCCATGGCAAGACCTTCATTTTGCTTGTAGAATTTTCCATTGAACGAAAAATAATTTTGGCCTAATATTTCCTTTAAGAGACATATTATTTCTTCTATGGCTTCAGGTAGGAGGCTTGAATTTTCTTGTAAGTTTTTAAAAACTAATTCAACAGTTTTGTCTATTGGAACGTTGGTATATAGGTTTGTAATGTCAAACGATGCTAAAATATGGTGTTGTTGAATGTTGATACTTTTAGTTTTTTCAATGAAATTATATGAATTTTTTAAGCTATAGTCATTTTTTAGGACAATTTGTGTCCTAAGAATTTTCTCTAGGCGTTTAGCAAGTTTATAAGTTGGGGCAGTGGTGTAATTGACAAGAGGCCTGATAGGAACATTATCTTTGTGGATCTTAGGTAGTCCACTGAGTTTTGGAGCAGCAGGATTTATAGCTCTTAATTGTGAAATGTCATTATCAGTAAACAACACTTTACTCTGGTTCATTAGCTTCTTGATACGCCTCTGATAAGCAGCTGTAGGATCCTTAGATAGCGAGGAAATATTGTTGTTAGTAATGAACTCTTCTACTTTATCATTATATTGAGCCTCATACATTACTATCGTTGTGTTTCCTTTATCAGCCTTACACAGGATTGCATTATTAGCTTTAAGTTTATTGTTTAGGCTTTTTAGAGCAACAATATCTTTCTTTTGAGACAAACTTAGTTTTGGTGTACATTGGTTATTTTTATTTAATTTTTCAGACATATTAAACCTAACGACATTCCTATCCTCCTCTTTGGCAATCATTTTTATAGCGCACTCAGCGTTTAATAAGACGTTAAAAAATGCATTTCTGTTACGGTTAGGTAAGTTGTGTTTAAGGCCCTTATCAAGCAACTGCATTTCATCGTTAGTGAACGATATCGTTGTTTTATTTATTGTTCTTGGGTAGAATTCAAAATCAAAGAGGATGGCATCTTCTTTAGTTTTTTGGTTGTTGATGAGATGAGTTAACTTTTTCTTTTGGTTGGATTTTTTATGTCTAATGATTCTAGAGATTGACAAATCAACTTTATTAATGAGTGGCTGAACTAGGGCAGGGTGAACGTTGTTAGTGAACTCTAAGTATTTATTCAGTAACAATTTGTTTGTTGTCAGTAACAGCCATAAACAAATTGTTACTGAATAAATACTTAGAGTTCACTAACAACGTTCACCCTGCCCTAGTTCAGCCACTCATTAATAAAGTTGATTTGTCAATCTCTAGAATCATTAGACATAAAAAATCCAACCAAAAGAAAAAGTTAACTCATCTCATCAACAACCAAAAAACTAAAGAAGATGCCATCCTCTTTGATTTTGAATTCTACCCAAGAACAATAAATAAAACAACGATATCGTTCACTAACGATGAAATGCAGTTGCTTGATAAGGGCCTTAAACACAACTTACCTAACCGTAACAGAAATGCATTTTTTAACGTCTTATTAAACGCTGAGTGCGCTATAAAAATGATTGCCAAAGAGGAGGATAGGAATGTCGTTAGGTTTAATATGTCTGAAAAATTAAATAAAAATAACCAATGTACACCAAAACTAAGTTTGTCTCAAAAGAAAGATATTGTTGCTCTAAAAAGCCTAAACAATAAACTTAAAGCTAATAATGCAATCCTGTGTAAGGCTGATAAAGGAAACACAACGATAGTAATGTATGAGGCTCAATATAATGATAAAGTAGAAGAGTTCATTACTAACAACAATATTTCCTCGCTATCTAAGGATCCTACAGCTGCTTATCAGAGGCGTATCAAGAAGCTAATGAACCAGAGTAAAGTGTTGTTTACTGATAATGACATTTCACAATTAAGAGCTATAAATCCTGCTGCTCCAAAACTCAGTGGACTACCTAAGATCCACAAAGATAATGTTCCTATCAGGCCTCTTGTCAATTACACCACTGCCCCAACTTATAAACTTGCTAAACGCCTAGAGAAAATTCTTAGGACACAAATTGTCCTAAAAAATGACTATAGCTTAAAAAATTCATATAATTTCATTGAAAAAACTAAAAGTATCAACATTCAACAACACCATATTTTAGCATCGTTTGACATTACAAACCTATATACCAACGTTCCAATAGACAAAACTGTTGAATTAGTTTTTAAAAACTTACAAGAAAATTCAAGCCTCCTACCTGAAGCCATAGAAGAAATAATATGTCTCTTAAAGGAAATATTAGGCCAAAATTATTTTTCGTTCAATGGAAAATTCTACAAGCAAAATGAAGGTCTTGCCATGGGCTCCCCTCTCTCGGGAATCCTGTCAGAAATCTATTTAAATAACATAGAAAATGAATTCATTTTTTCTGATAAAAACAAACATGTAAATAGAATAGTGAAATACTTTAGATATGTAGACGACACTATTATAATATTTAACGGCAACAACCGTCAACTTGATTTACTACACCAATATTTAAACTCTGTGTCGCCGAACCTAAAATTTACTGTGGAAAAGGAAGTAGACAACAAAATAAATTTTCTGGACCTCACTCTTGAAAAACGCAACAATACATTGGAGTATAGCATATACCGTAAACCCACGACATCCGACCAAACCATCCATAGCACATCTTACCATCCATATTCTCAAAAACTGGCAGCCTATAACTCAATGGTCTACAGACTACTAAATGTCCCACTAAGTCCAGAAAACTACAATAAAGAGCTTAATATAATAAAACACATTGCCGTGGCTAATGGATACAAATCTGAGATCGTAGACAAAATCGTTGCAAAGAAAAAGGAAAATACATGCCGCATGCCAGCAAATAATGATAATAACAAAGTAGTGTATTGCTGCGTTGAATACAACCACCAAATAAACAACTATTTGAAGAAAGATCTCAATAAACATGGTGTTAAACTAGCGTTTAAAACTACAAATCGGCTGCAGAACATATCTAAAGGCAAGCGCCCACATGTTGATAAATACGAAAAGACAGGTGTGTACCGCATAAAATGTGCTGATTGCCCGAGCACTTATGTAGGACAAAGTGGGAGAGCTTTCAAAATAAGATACAAAGAGCATCGACCAGCCCCTACACTTAAATTGCAGAAATCCAAATTCGCTCAGCACATTATTGACAATAACCATGATATGCTGGATATAAACGACGGTCTCGACATTCTACATTACTGTGGGAAAGGAAACTTACTAAATACCTTGGAGGAGTTTGAAATATATAAGGACCTAAAAACCAGGGACAGCACACAAATTTTGAATGAAAAACTCAATTATGAATCCCATTATATTTTCAACACTCTACTCCGTCACTACAGTAGTCCTATATCAGCTGTTGATAATGCAGACGACAACCCAGAGTCCACGTCGGTCCTTAATAACCTGGTTCAGTCTGCTTCCAGTCCTGCCCGCGGCAATGTACGTGCATAAGTTGATAGGCCTATCTGTTACCGTGTATTTAATCGTTTCGTGTTTTGTGTTCGTGTTAAATGTATGTAACAACTCTGACGACACCTCAAGAAGTGGATCCTTTTGTGTGCCTGACGATGGTGGAATTTAATAACCACCGAAACATGTAGCAAGTTTATTTTCGACACTATAAAACATGTCAAGGATTGTCTGACAAGGTACGTTTTTAACCATTATTAGTCATATTACGCAATCCTGGGGCTATAAAAATGAATTTTAATAATAAGTTAATCGCTCAAAATAACTCGACTATTAGAGTACTCACTCACACTCACACACACAATCATTATACATGCCTAACACCTTGTACTGTACATAGTGAAGAGAATATGCAATGTGAAACTTATTCAACAACTAAAATGGAGTGCTGTGTATAGAATAAGATTTCTACTGATTTTACTCAATGAAAACTGTATTTGGTGTGATATACTGTGTGATATATATTTTAAAAAGCTTTAAGGTCCACATTCCAAATTTATTGACAAAAAGAACCAAAAGAAAAAGGGATTAAATGCAAAAAATAATTGTCAAGCTTTGACTTTTTTTGATTGTGTTTTTCTGGAACTGTAGTTTTTTACTTGAAACCACTTGCTACCTGATCCTTCTAAAATGTTCAGGCACTATATACCCTGGTCTGATGGTGACATCAGCTGTTCTGTACCATGTTATGTGGATGATCAATATCACCATAGACATCCGCAACGTTTGTGTCTTCCTTGCTCCATTCTTCTCCAGTCTGACTACCATAATCACCTTCTTGCTTACTAAGGAAGTCAAGGTAACAGAATCAGTTTAACGTATTTTACTTTCACTTTAAAATTTTATGAATGTAATGTAATATAGTTTCGTCAACATGTTGATATCTCCGAGCATCCATTTGCATTTTGAAAACAATTATTTAGTAAATAAATAAAAAGGACTTTATTTGAACGTTTACACCAGAGAGGTTGATTTGCAAAGCAATACAAGTCATACACATAGTTTCTCAAATTAAAACTATAGTAAATGCAGATACAGTAACAAATAAAAGAAAACATCAGTAGCACTCACTATCTCTTGTGAATAGTAGTCCACCTTATTTAAAGATTTACTAATCGGATTGATTTGTAACACAGGATACAGGGGCTGGACTGGTTGCTGCGGCTACCATTGCTATTGTACCTGGATACATCTCTAGATCTGTGGCTGGCTCCTACGACAATGAAGGTACTAAACAAGTCAAATTACATTTTTTTCATACAGTTTTGTTCTCTGAATGGTGCCACACACCACACCACTAATCTATCCTAAAAGAATCCCAAACATTTTCCCTATCTGGTTTGGAAATCATTGGTAGGCTTTGTAAAAATAATATAAATTAGCCACTATTAAACACAAAACTTAAAATCCAAAAAAATATTCCTAGATATTATTTGTTTTATATTGCTCTCAAATATGTGGCACTCAAAACTTAAAACCCAAAAAAATTCCTAGAAATAATTTGTTTTATATTGCTCTCAAAATATGTGGCCAGCTAATTGTTCGACATTATCAAATGCTTGTTTCACTATGCTGTTTTATTTTTTTCAGCCATTGCCATATTCTGTATGCTCCTAACTTACTACATGTGGATCAAAGCAGTCAAGACTGGCAGTATTCTATGGGCCACCTGTACCGCGCTTGCCTACTTCTACATGGTTTGTTATATGTTAGCTTTGCCTATACCAACCAAACTGTGCTTTATTTGACCTAAAGTGGTTTTATATTACTAATATTGCTTATTAGATGTAGTTATGCCTTAAACTATAGGTTACCAGGTTACAAATCCCATCTATCTGGACTAGCTCTACTGTATAGGGAGATTTTTAAAATAGTTGAATGAGCCATTCACAGAGTCAGTTTTGTTTAAGGAAAGGCTCTAGGCCAGGATTTTAAATGGTAGAAAAAGGAGGATAGCAGCTAGCTTACCTTGAAAGTGTGGGTAGGCCATAGAACAAGTAGAAAAATATTTTGCACACAATATTTCGTCCCCTAAGGGACTTTGTCAAGTGTAGAGAGAGTTTATAAATTACAAGATGGCTGCTGTCATGGCTGATGGCTGTTGTCAACTATGCAGGGTTGCCACATCTCATTAGACATAGTTGTAAATAGACTAATGAGATGTGGCAACCCTGCATAGTTGACAACAGCCATCAGCCATGACAGCAGCCATCTTGTAATTTATAAACTCTCTCTACACTTGACAAACTCCCTTAGGGGACGAAATATTGTGTGCAAAATATTTTTCTACTTGTTCTATGGCCTACCCACACTTTCAAGGTAAGCTAGCTGCTATCCTCCTTTTTCTACCATTCACAGAGTCAGTTGCTTTTGGTATTGTATTTCCTCTCTGTTAGTTTTATGGTATAGTGTAATTTTTACTAGCCTAATGATAATAAAAGAGGCCATAGTTTTAAACACATAGTTGGTAAAGTTAGTAGAAAATTCTAACTATTTAGAAGTTATTAGTTAGTCCCGTGAAAAGTAACTGATAGAAGTTATTAGTTAGTTTAAAAACTAACGAATAAGATATAAGTTAGCCAAAAAAGTATTTGTTAAAATTTCTATTCCTTATTCCCAAGTGTGATAGTTTGCAATGCTTATACTTCTTTTACTTTATACTTTTATCTGAAATGGCAACCATACAAAGATAAGTATTTTAAGCAAAGTATGACTGGAGATGAGTGTACATGATGAGTGCCGCAATCTTTTAGTCATGTTTCTGACTGAGGCCAACATGACCCTTAGACAGGACTGTTAATTAATAGCTCATACAGCCAATGGCAAATAAGGGACCTACAGCTTATAGTAGAATCCGAACTACATTTTTGCCTTGTAATTTACAAATTGAAACTGGTCTAATTATCAGAATAGTATACTAACAGTACAAACCCCACTGAGTCAGTGACTTGGGTGTTAAACAGTTGGCCTATAATAAGTTGACCTATCAGTTTAACTTGGTTAACAAGTCCATGTAAACGGCTGAAATCAGCAACTGCCAAGTGCACAATCTGTGTGGCTGTATTCAACTATGTTCATCCTCATTCTAAAACTGCTTAAATGGGAATTTTATGTATACTTCCCTCTATTGAAGGTTATACACAACAGAAGAGTTAAAAAAGTAACAAAAGGGCAAAGAAAAACTTTCTATATGTTGCAGGTATCTTCTTGGGGAGGTTATGTGTTCCTAATCAACTTGATCCCTATCCACGTGTTAGTGTTGATGGCCACAGGCAGGTTCTCTCACCGTATCTACGTAGCCTACAGCACACTCTACTGTGTAGGCACGATACTATCTATGCAAATATCCTTCGTGGGCTTTCAGCCAGTGCAGAGCTCTGAGCACATGGTGGTACGTTTTCCATACTTTAATCACACTCCTTACGCATTTATCATGGTTATGGATCAGCTGAAGACATTTTTAATGTTTTCTAGTTTTGTCCGGTGTTTGTTGAATGTTGTTTGATGTTTACTATTTGTTTCTTGATAAAAAGTTTTAAACTAAAAATCAATCTATTTAAGATCCATTGCTTGTCTTATGGTGAAGGGTAGCACAAAAAGAACGCATAGATTTGATTTTAGTAATGCAAGTAGTGGAAATAAAACGTGTATTTAAAAAGGTTTTATTTTAAACAAGAAAATATGTGTTTTGTGTTTATGACAAAATGTTAAATGTTGAATTTAAAGATTTTTAAGTTTTATGTCCTCTAAAATACCCATTTATCACTTCAAATTATTTAATCTGTTACCAACAATAGTCTTATTGTTCTTAATGAACTAAGCTGAATAAGTTACATAAAAAAAGTTTAAGGAACGCTATACTAAACTAACTTACCTTGGGAATACCGGGAACACCTGGCAAATCATACAAACAATGCTCAAAACACATTAAACTTCACATCTCCATGGGAAATTCTGTGGAAAAATCTTTCCTGAAAGGTTTCTATCTTAGAAAAAAACATTTTTCATTTTTTTAGGCACTGGGAGTGTTTGGCCTGTGTCAACTTCATTGTTTTGTAGACTACCTTCGTAGCAAGATGTCGCCCGAGGACTTCCAAGTACTGTTCAAGGCAGTTGTCATGGCTTCGGTTGGTCTGACCACTGTTGTCGGCGGAGTACTTACTGTTACAGGTACTTACAGAATTTATTTTTCAGTTTGAATAATACACATGTTTCTCAGTTATTTTAGTAAGTCTAAAGTTTGTTTTGTAAAGAGATAAAAAATCTTTAATTTCAGAGTTGTTCAAAATTTTGAAACTAAATAATTCTTTTGAAATTTTGCTTGTGGAAAATCTGCCTTGGATAGTATCACCAAAGACATGGTCATCAGAATCCCTCTAGTTTGTACCTTGGTAATCTGAATGCCCGGCTCAGCCGAATCACCTGTTGATGAAAAAGGTTTCTGTATTTAAAAATTAAAAAGCTATTTGTACTGGGATACTAACCTGGGTGACCAGCTGACCAGGAAACTATGACAATTGACAATTTATACATTTTTTAATTATTAATTTTGTTGACTGGGAAAAAAGTATGTAAACTTGTATGAAACTGGAAAATTTTGAATAATCTTCAATAGCCTAAGGCACCTCAATAATACCTTGGATGATGTTCATTCAATTGAGGTTGTTCCGTTGGTTCTCTGTAGTTAGAAGAATGTAATTGTGGGAGGTAAACGTGGGTATTGCTGCGACCATAGTCAATAATCATGGATATTTTGATGATTGGGGAAGACGATTACAGTGTTGCCATGGTTATGGGAAAGATAATAATATTTTTTTAACTGCGGGAGTCGATCATAATTTTTTCTCGGGAAAAGAGGCTCTTACCTCCCCTACAGCGCTTGATAGCTCTTGGCCCAATCTGTAGTGTCGACTGATACAGCATGAAAATGTTGCTGCAGTTTTAGCTACACAAACATTGTTCTTATGTTGCAGGCAAGATTGCCCCATGGACTGGCAGGTTCTACACTCTACTGGACCCATCCTACGCCAAGAACCACATCCCCATCATTGCCTCTGTGTCGGAACATCAGCCTACGTCCTGGTCCAGCTTCTACTTTGATTTACAGATCCTCGTCTTCCTGTTCCCGGCTGGGTTGTATTTCTGCTTCTCTAAACTGACTGATGCCAACATCTTCCTCATCCTGTATGGTGTTACCAGTATCTACTTTGCTGTGAGTTTTTTTCTTTTCTTGATTCTTGATTGCCAAGTGAGTAAATTGAAGGTAGGCTTCCATTTTTACTGTTTGTAATCTTTGTAGAACCTACTTTCATTGACACTATAAGAGATCCTTTAACACAACAGTTTCCAAACTTTTTGTCTTGAGCCCTTCCTACATCATGGATATTATTCTGTGACTCGCCTATTATTAATAATTATTACTTCTTCTATTTTTGTTTCATGATGGATGACGTCTGGATCTCATGAATAAAATAATAAAGGTTTAACTTGCTTGCCTGTCATAACGTTTAACTACAGTTTCGTACTGTTGGAAATGGAGTGCATAGGAGATTTACATTAGACGAAAAACATACTTTAATACTTTTCAATGAAACGGCGACCATACAAAGTAGGTATTTTAAGCCAAGTATGTATGGAGATGAGTGTAGGATGAGTGGCTCGATCTTGTAGTCTTCTTATTGACTAAGGCCGGCATGTTCCTTAGACACAGCTGTTAGTTAATAGTCCAAACAGCTATCTTTGGCAACTAAGGGACCTACAGTTTATAGTGGAATTCGAACCACATTTTTGCCTTAGTATTTACGAATTGGTCTAATTATCAGGATAGTACTGCGGATAGTCGTAGTACTCACTAGTTCGGACGTTAATCCACACCAGTGATTATCGCATCCACAGTGTATGCCTATAAATATCAACAATTCATGACCTCCTAGCAGCTGGGTTACAGGACGACGCCACCGTCCCAGTCCATATGGCTCAATAAACTTGCACAAAACAAATCTTTATTAAAATTGGTCGTACAGATGCTCATTTAACACAAGACAGTATTTATGGTAAAATGTACAATTTATTTAAAAACTATGAAGAACACGGTAGATGATCTAAGTACTCTGTATTTTGAGGTAGTAGTGTATAATGTCGTTTCTGTGATACCTAGCTGTGCTAGACTTTACGACAGTGTCTGTGTGTGTTGATGACAGGGAGTGATGGTGCGTCTGATGCTTGTCTTGGCTCCAGTCATGTGTATACTGTCCGGAGTGGCGGTCAGCTCCATGTTGACCATCTACATGAAGCAGGTCGACCCTGCCAAGACCGTCGACAAGAAGACCAAGAAACTAGAGTCCAACTTCGTTATGAAGAGCGAGGTTAGAGAATGCTCTTATAACTAGCATGATGGGATCTTATGTTCAAATTTTAATATGGAATACTGATAAAGGCCCAATGACTTTGACTTTAAACTCCATAAAAATTTAAACTACAGATTAAGTTTAAGAAATTACCTTGTGACCCTTTGGCACTTTTGAAAAAATTTAATTATTGATTTGGTTTTTTTACCCTTAGATAATCCTAAATCTTTCGTACTTACTTATGGGACACCCTGTATGATTCATATGTTTTCCCTCTTATCCTCCTCGGTACTGAAACCAGTCCGGATAGCAGTTTTCCCGGTTAAACCGACGTTCCCAAAAAATCGTTAAAACGCATACTTTATACAGTATTTGACTTACATTTAGTAGAGCATTGTATTTAGACACAAGATCACTGGTCTCAAATCTTTCCCACGAGAACAGTGTTTCTGTACCGCCCACTTCCTGCCAATCTAGTCCGGTTAAACCAATGTGCTAATGAAAATTGTCTGGTTAAAGAGTGTTTTTTTTGCCGAGTGTAGTCCGGTTAAACCGATGTCCTGTTAAAAGGTGTCCGGATAAGAGAGAGTCTACTGTATGATGGTAAGATGCAATCACCGAAATCTAATCTAGTTATCAATTAGGGTAAACAACAATTTGGTCACAAGACGCAAGGCAAGTAGAGTCCTTCCAAAATGAAAACTTAGCTATTTTGCTGTAATTCCCCTGCTTAACTAAAAGTGGTGTGAAAGAGTTTTATAAATGTCCTGATACAGTATACAGTGGTACAAAGCAGATTAGTTACGCCTTGCCATAATAATAACTTCAATGCAATTGAATAAGAATAAGAATGCTTTATTGCCGTTCTACTGGTTTACATGCATGGCACAGTCAAGGAAATTTCTTAGAACTAAGGTTTTAACTAAGATTAAATTTAACATAATTTATGAAGTCTATTTCAACAAGTTGCTGTACCTAAGAATGACTCCTGTATCCAGATAGCCACAGTGTTTGTTGGCCTGATGACATTCCTGTTGATCTCATACACATTCCACTGTACTTGGGTGACATCTGAGGCCTACAGCTCTCCCTCCATTGTTCTGTCTGCTCGCACTCACGACGGCTCACAGATCATCTTTGACGACTTCCGAGAGGCCTACTACTGGCTGCGTATGAACACCCCTGAGGTAAGAAATATTACTAACAAAGGAAGAAGTGAAGTTTTATGATAGATTTTTAGTAACTAAGCCACTTTTAGAATGACGACAACATTGCTGAAACTAAATATATTTATTTGATCAAAAATACATCTAAATGCAAATGCTTTAACTTATTTCCTTTGGTAGCTTAATGTAAATTGTGCAGCTAGTGCCCAGGGGTTAGTATACGGGACTTCTGTCCTAAAAGTACATTAGAAATCCCTGCAAATTCCATTATATAATTATGGATTTTAGCTTTGTGATATTACATGTGAATCGAATGTTCATAGCCAACTTTAGCTGTTGCTAGGCCTACACTTATCTCGAAAAAAAAAAACAAAAAACTATAGGTCTCTTCGGGAAGAAAAATTCTAGTTGGAAAACTTATTCCGGTAAAGCCATATATAACAATATACATCCAAACTTTCTCATTTATAATATTAGTAGGATTCCTCCAATACTAAGATTCCTATTTTGCATTACCAACAAATTGATCGTGATTTATTGTGGACCAAATTTGTAAATTTAATTGAATAGGCCATTCAATTAAATTTACAAATCAGCATGTATTGGTCCACAATAAATCACGATCAATTTGTTGGTAATGCAAAATAGGAATCTTAGTATTGAAGGAAATTGTTATGATATGTCATTTATCTTGTCATAACAGGAAAATTTTAGGTAGCTCTAAAGTTGACCTCTTTGTTAGACATTAGAACTTCACAGCTTAAATCTGCAGTCTGTGCCTGTATGTGTCACTTTACCTAAGCAAGCTCAGATCCAGAGTTTCAAATATAAATATTTAAGAGTGTCAAGAGATAAACTATGACAACATATGCTTATTTATCCATTTAACACAATTTTTCACAAAGGATGCTCGAGTGATGTCATGGTGGGATTACGGCTACCAGATAACTGCCATGGCCAACCGCACCATCCTGGTAGACAACAACACATGGAACAACACGCACATCTCCCGTGTGGGCCAGGCCATGGCTAGCCCAGAGGACAAGGCCTATGAGATAATGAGAGAGCTTGATGTTGACTATGTGCTTGTCATATTTGGTGGGGTTGTCGGATACTCATCAGATGGTAAGTTTTTTTGCATTTTTTGTGTTTAAGCTGTTTACATTTTTCACATTATTTTGAAGGGAATGGTTCACACCCTGGTCTTGTTACAAATTGATAGCCCAATGATAAATGGTATCTAGGTTAAAACGATCTAGAATAAATCGATCCAGCGACCTTCAAATCCTTGTTTCACTAAACATAAATAGTAAAAATAAATTTGTACAATAGTTATTTGTGCAACTAGTGAGAAAAGTGAGCAATTGACTCACTCGAGAGAAATCCTTACTCACGAGCCGTAGGCGAGTGAGGAATGGTTTCTCGAGTGAGGCAATTGTACTTTGAACTCGAGTTGCACATTATACTTTTCCTACAGTTACCATAAAACAAATAAATTTGTGAAGAAACATAACCTATTTTTATACAGAAGTGAACTTTTAATATACAATTTAATGTGAAGAGACAAAATACAACAGTACAACAGCTGACCAGCTGATTTACAGCCAGTGCTGCCAACGTATTTCGCGCGCATACAACGTTGCCTGCATGTTACGCGCTCACTATTTCGTGCCTTCACGTTGCAAATCTGGAGTGAGACAAAGTAATTAGAGTGAGACAATGTTAACATTGTCTCACTGATGAGCGAATTGGCCACTTTGCTTTCTCAAATCAGTGAGAGAACATGTACATTGTTAGGTAACTGTAGGAAAATGTTTTTTTTTGCAGACATCAATAAGTTCCTTTGGATGGTGCGTATCGGAGGGTCGACACCGCGAGGAGCTCACATCAAGGAGAGTGACTATTACTCTCCGTCGGGTGAGTTCCGGGTGGACAAGGAGGGTTCACCCACTCTACTCAACTGTCTCATGTACAAGATGTGCTACTACCGCTTTGGACAAGTCTACTCTGAGGCTGGTGAGTGTACTGCTTTACAGCTAAAATGTTTGGATTCCTCGTGGTCTAAAATATAAAAGTAAACCTTAACCTGAAAATATGTATTTTGTTAGCCTAGTTGCTCTCTTTGCTTTTATTAGTGCAAAATAAAGTAGTCACCTATTCTAAGAAATAGAAAATAGTTCAGTGTGTAGGTAATTTTGTAACTTGTTATGTGTGACTATGTGTATGACGAGTGTATCAGTTTTTCGTTCAGGCTTATTTTTTTTGTAATTCTAGGACTTGCTTGTAAATTACCCTTTAGTCTTTGGCAATTTTAGATGTAGGGATAATTGTTGACAAGGAGGGCTCAATTGTATTATTTTTCATTCATTAGCTAACTGATTTACCTTTATTCTAACAAGCACAATCATGGCATAAAGCCTTTCATATACAAAACTAACCTTTATAGTCTGATCTTGTTGGTTTCTTCTTGTAGAGGTTCAGATTATGTTTAAAGAGAGAAAACAAATACAATAAATAAATAAATAAATAAAAGTTGATATGTAGTATTTCTAGTGACATCATCATCATCATCATCATCTTCTTCTTCTTCTTCTTGATCCCATAAAATGTACATTTTGGTACATGAAATAGTGTCTAGTTGTCTTATCTAAACTGCTTAAAACTAGTGATTGATACAATACAGTATAACAGTAGTCCAAAAAAAACATGTCAATGTAATTTAAAAGTACAATAAAAATGTCTTAAATGGAGTAAAATGCTGATCCAATTAAAAACCTTTTTAATGATTTAAAAAACTTATTTGGATTTTTTTCTAATTTTAGCGAATTTTCCATGTAGGGAATATTAGCGAATTTCCCATATAGGGAATAAGCTATTACCGTAGTACTCATGGTAAGACCTGGACCCGGGACCGATTTACTTTTTCGTTTTGAGGTCCCTAGATGCCAAAAACACCATCCGTTCAAATTCATATATATATATTATTTTCTTGCATGTTTATTGCTACTAATATAATAAAAATCAAAAACATAGTTAACAAAGTACCCTTTTATTTAAATAATTATTTTATTTTATTTTATATATATGTGTCCGTTAGCGCGAAACTCGAGCAAAAATGATCAGGTTTTGATGAAATTTGGTACAAACGTGTAAACCTACATTTATTCGAACGAGTTCGCGAACCAGCATGATCGGAATCAGGAAAGTGGAAATTCACTAAGACTGCAGGTTTGCTGCGGCGGGGGTATTAAAGTTTCTGGAAGGTGGTGTTAGTGCAGCCCTCTCGTTGCTTGCCTAGTGGCTAGATATTGCATGGAGGATTATTTTACAAATGTTGAGTAATGCGATAGAGATTGATAAGGTCTTTGAAGATATATCAGCTGCTTTGCTGTTTTCTAAGATCTGCTGAGGCATTGTTATGTCCAGTATTTTCTCCAAGTTGGAATGTACCACACAAGTCTACAGCTGAGGTGGCATTCAAAGAGGAGTTGTGTGTTTTCTGCCTGCAGGAATTTAAAATGTATACTAATGATTGTTCTAAATGGAGTTTGGGAGTCCTTGAAGCCCTATTTACAAACTACCCTTAAATTGTTACTAAAACAGTTAAATAGGCCTAATTAATCCCCAAAGTGATAAAAATAATAATTTATATAATAAAGAAATATAGGAATGAAAAACATGAAGAACAGCAATAAAACCTATCATTTAACATTGTTCTTTAGAATATTAGAGTAGACTAAATGAAAGTGAAAATGGAAACCAATTTTTAAAACTGTCATAAAGATAAAAATGTTGAAATTGAATGTTTGCAGGCAAGCCGCCAGGGTATGACAGAGTGAGAGGAGCGGAGATTGGCAACAAAGACTTTGAACTGGACGTGTTGGAGGAAGCGTACACTACGGAACATTGGCTGGTGCGGATATACAAGGTGAAGGGGCTGCGAAACAGAGGCAACTGATCTGGGACTGGGTACCTCTCGTAACTTGCGCTCTCACAGTGATTTCCTTACATTACTGTCAAGAAACATTCAGTAACACTTGACAAATTATGTAACTGTTTAAACTAAAAAGTTGCTATTAAATTAGATTTAAAATTATATACTTTAGGACCCTACGTTAGGTTTCACTTGAACTTTACTATTTTTTCAGGAAAATCATTAGGAAATATCACAATTGGTATTCAAAAGTAACCAGTTTTGGCGAAGGTATTTCTACAAAATTATTTAGTTTCATTAATTGAAAAGTACAAAAATTTGGTATTTTATGCCTTAACATCTTCTGCATTATAGCTATTTTAATCAATGAAAATAGACATAGACATTTGAACTCAATCTTGGTGATAAAACTTGATAGATTACAGTGTTTTCAATGATTCAGCACAACCTTTTTTCTAATAAAACATTTACAAGGAAAATAAAATGTAAAAAAAAATGCTGCAACATTTTAAAGTTAGTTTTTGTTTTAACGTTTGTAAGGAAATCACTGACAACTGGGAAAGGGTCTTTTTTGCAGACCTTTTGATTTCATAAACTAACTAGCCTATCGAAAAAAATAATTAAAAAAGAAACTAAAAAGGCATCTGTTTGTTCTGGTTATAGATTTTCTATTCTATTTGTAAAATTTCAAATGTATGTTTATTATATTCTGTTAGTGTGAATAGTTGTTTCATCTTTTGTGTTTGGGCATAAAAGAGATTATATGTAACTTATTTCTTGTAAAGTAAAATGGTTATAAATTCCTTTTTCAATTGGTTTGTTCAGCAACCCATTGTAGTTTTATAACTTTTTGCACTGTATTAATATTTTTTTCTGAAAAAACTTAATTTTTTAGTATTTTTTATAGCAGTTAAATGGTATGGATCTTCAGTGTGATTAAAACTGCCATATTTTTACCTAATGTTATAATGTATTTTGAGTATTTTCAAGTTAACATCACAATGTCATGAGTTGTGTTGTGTAATAAATATCTTCTACTGTACTCTGACATAGTAAGACGATTAATTAAAAAAAAATGTCTACCCTATAAGTGTATTGTTTTGAGTATTGAAATGAGTAGTAAATTGTATTAATAAAAATATGTAAAAAATAATTTGTAATTTTTTGCTTGATCGTCAAATAAGTTATGTGGGTAAAGATGGACGTTAGAACTATTATGAAAAATAACTTTTTACATTAAACTCACAGAGTTTTTCACTAACTTTGAAGTCAATTGAATATATTTTTATAAGAATCACTAGAGGATAAACTAAATGTCTTTAAAAATTAGTACCAGAGTCAGAAAGAAAGTGACCTTTGTAAAATTTCAAGTTGAGCTTTAAATAAGTGTTGAAATTGTTGTTGGGTTGGAGATCTAAGGTCTAAAATAGTGAACCTCTGAAGTGATGCATGATATGTAGTTGCATGTCAACAAAACCAGTGCTGCAATAGTAGTTCAAGCTTTGAAGACTGATAACATTTTCAATTATCCATAAACTAAATTTAACTTAACGAATTAAATAAAAATAACTTTTACCTAGTAATTTTACAACGTTATTGATATGTCATGTAAAAAACAGCAAATGCATTTATACTTTATAGTCACAGTCACTATGTAAATAATAGTCATGTAAGTTAATAAAATGTTTAGTAAATATATTATTTTTATTTTAACACCCTATTTGTTATAGTTAAATACCCCCTTATTAAATATAGCATTTATTATTAAAAGAGGCTGTGTAGCTAAGTGGTTATAATGCTTGTCTAGTAATCAAAATGGCTCACGGAAATTAAACTATCAATTTTTAATTTTACGTTTGTTATAAAATCTGGTAACACTTTTGACTTCAGCTCAAAATGCTTAGTAAAATTATACCAAACAATATATATTTTGCTTACAAAGTGTAAAAGCTACGAATATTTTAACACGTTTTTATTAGCTAGCTACTTGTCATAATCATTTCGTGTTTGGACTCATTTTTCATTGAATTAAACAACAAATTTAATATTTATTAACACTAACCATTTTACTGTATATCAAACATCAAATGAATTGCAATTTTGAGGTATCATACAACTGATGTTATATTTCTACTTAGTGAATAGGGGATCGGGGCTTTCAGGCAATTAGGACGGTGGTGAGTGTGCGTGCGTGAGTCGGGTCCCTCGCAGGTAGGGCTGAGCTCCAGCCGCACTCCGGTAAAAATTAGACTATAAGGAGTTTACCAATTTATCTACTTCCTCACATGAAATAGGCTCACATCGAAATATTGGTTTAGTTTTTACACAAATTGTTTTACTGGCTGGTGATCAGTTAAGTACTTTTTAGAGTTTACAAAACACAAAATATGAATTTAGTATATTAGACCCCCCCCCCTTAGATTTGTGCCCTGGGATCTGCAATAGTTGTTCCTTTGTGCACAAGGGTAATTTCATTCACTAAATTATTTATGTACCTTGTTACCTACTTCTTTGTTCATAATTTCCAGGTTATTTTTCTAACATCACCTTAGTTAATTATTTTTTTATTTTAGTACCGTACAACCCGTTGGTTTTTTGCTGATTTTTTATTGGTTTTCATTTTTGTTTTACAGAGGTTATACAATTCTTTGTCTTTTAATACTCTAGCTAACTTTGAAGATTCCACGATTTAGAGGTGAACTAAACCATTCTTGTTTAGTAGTTTAGAATTTTGCATAGATTATTTTTATATGGGACCTAATTTGAGCTAAAATGCATGGTTTCTGAGGTATTTAATAAAAACAAAATGTGCCATTTTTCCAACTTTTACCCCCCCTCCCCAAACACGACGGTCAAATGGAGTAACTTTTTACTGAACATTATGTGGACAAATGGGAGTCAAAAGAATGCTTTCACTTTGGATGTCCGGGTTAAGGTATAATTGCACCTTACTAACTATGCTTCTTAATCGCATAAAATATGCTGAAAATAATATGTTGTTTGGATCAGTCAAAATGCTTTAGAATTTGATACAAATAACTAATTGATATTAGCACTATCTATCGCCTCATTTCAACTAGCCTATATTCACTTTTAGGCTAAACATTACTTCGGCTTTAATACAGAAATGAGATGAATACTTCTATCAATTAAGGTAATACTGTTTTCCATCACTTTTAAATGACTTATCTTTTATAGTTTCAAAAGGTCATACCCTTTTGCAACATTGCAACGCTACTAAATAAAACAACTCTAACTTGCTAGGATGTTTATTTATAGAAAAAGGCCGGTAACATAATTGTACAAGGTGAGGAGAGGCAAGAGTCGGTGAGCCAAGCGTTTACGCAGCAGCAGACTTGTCCTCGGTAAGTGTGGTCGCTCCAGAGGCGACGGACGCTCCATCGCTGGACACTGGCTCGGGCACTCCACACACCAGGCTGGGGAACTTCTTGTTGAGTGCAGCCCGGTATTTGGGGTGGCTGAAAGTAAAAAATATCATTGTTCCTTGTGGATTTGAAGTTTGGTCTCACACTAATTAGGCAACTAAATCAATTCGCATTGCCTTGAAGAATAAAATAAGTTTTGTTTGTGATGAAAAATTTTGCTCCAACCTAAAGGTGAGTGAGCGTAGCGAACAAACTTCAACCAGGACGTGATTGAGCCATGCGAACGAGATAATCTTGAAAATTAAGAAGTTAAACGGGGCAAAGCCCGCGGGTTACAGCTAGTGGAATCATAATTATAAATACCAGCAGTTTTTTGTTTTTAAATAGCCAAATCAATCTTCACCTAACAATCATTGATTATTGATGGTGTTGGATTAAGTTTTACTCTGTACTCTCTACACTCACTGGTAACAGAAGAAGTAAAAAGTTATATTTTACTAAGTTTTTTTTTATAAACTATGAAAAATTAAAAGGGTAACTGATGTTTTTAATGTCTTCGTGGTCTTAAATACCAACTGAAACCCAACGTTTTTTTTAAGCTGAATGTGGGACTATTTGGGACTAAGCGAAAAACCATTCTTTCAGATGTGCGGCACATTTTAGTTATATCATACAGGTCAGGTACTAGACTGGTTTATAATTTGAATTCACTTTCACTCATTTACTATTTTAAAAGTACCCGTTTTATTTTCTATACCCTGGAAAAATACATGAAGCTGTAGTTTGTTGAAATACACTATATGTGATCAACAGTGTGTCAGTGCATTAAGGCTTTCTTTTCTTACCTGATGGCATACACGATTGGGTTGTAGCAAGCGTTGGCCTTAGCGAAGACGCTTCCCCAGATGGTGAAGATGGGGCTGATGGTCAGCGCCTGGAAGATTCCGGCGTAGTTGATCACCAGGTATGGAGTCCATGCCATGAACCACAGAGAGATGGTCATTAGAGCCACCTGTTGACATTGAATAAATTAATAAAGCTGCCTGAGATTGTCTGGATCAGAAAGGTGAAACATGGTATGACGATCCCAGTATAAAACCATTGGCTAAGTACTCTTTGTGTGTGCACTACCTTAGCGAGTTTATGCTCAGCGCTGGTGTTTAGCATAAACTACTTAAGCGAAAGAAGCTATGCTGATCAAAATAAAAAGAAAAGATTGAGTAAGTTCTCTACCTTGGCGAGCTTGTGCTCAGCGCTGGTGCTAGCGTCCTGGGAAGACCTCAGGGAGGCGACGTTCATCTTCTTGGCCTGCTCCCTCATGCTCTTCTCGTGGGCTGAGACAGCCTGGACATAATCAATCATCAGTCACAATGTTAAGAATATACAACAGAAAATAAAAAAAAAAGATAAAGGACAAAACGTTTTTTTAACCTTACCCTGTTAAACCAAAACTTGGGTTATTGAAACAATTAATATTCAAATCAATCGGAAAGTTAGCTAGACAAGAAGAACTGCCCAACATGTCTCTGGTAGTTAGCCTGACTTAGCCAATTGAATTAAATAGTGGAGAGGACACGGATCCCATACCGCAGTGAAGAAAAATTCAGAAAACAATTGTTGATTCAAAAATAAAATACAATTACACTTATTAACATTATACATTTAAAATAACGTAAAACGCATCAGCTGTTGTAGATAATTTTGAACTGAAAAAGTTTTAATTCCAACCAAAGGTTTAATATCAGGTTACCTATCCATTTTAGGTTATTTTGTTGAAATCTACTTCTAAGTCAATGCTGAATGATGCAAACTTGATATTATGTTTTCGCTCATGTGGCTAATACTATTTCTTTTATTATACCTAAACCTTTGTCAGCATATCTGCATATTAGCGTACCTGCACGATGAACCAGTAGGAGTAGATGATCAAGAAGAGAGGCATGAAGTAGCAGAAGAGTGAGTACACGAGGATGTAGCTCTTGCTGAGCCAGTCGTTGGTCAGGTAGTCAGTTCCGCAGGCAGTCATGTTGCCCTCAGGTACGTACCTGAATCAGATCAAATTGTATCACTATATTTTGTCATTAAAGGTTACAATTTTTTCATTAAAAAGAATCAATATGTTAATTTTTGTCCTTGCCAGGAGAATTCATGAAGTGTAGTGCTGTTTCATGGGGCTTGTTGTAAATATGAAACCTTTAATCCATTATTTTCTTTTTATCTCACTGGTAAAAATTTTCTTGGTTTGTAGGAAAACAATTTGTTGAATATTTATCACAATTGAGGAATGCCATAGCAAAATTTAATGCAAAATATGGTTTGAATCTCAAACAAATATTCTTGTGTAGATTGAGGGTAAAATATTAAACTTATGCAGCTGAATAGTTGCTGACCTAGCAATTTGAAAGCTACTGGTTTTATTCTGCTATAATTTTTATTTCTACTTTGATCTGTTTATCTGACCTTTAACCCTTCACGGACGGGTGACGGATATATCCGCCTAAGTCTTTGGCGATAAAGGACGGGTAGCGGATATATTCGCTTATGGTTTTTGATGTTCCGGACGGGAAGCGATGAGAAGCATGTGCTTGAGCAGTAACCAGATGTTTTGCGGTACCAAGGCGCCACTTTCCTGCTCTCTCCATGGCTGCGCTCTCTCCCGCACTCCTCCCGCTCTCCTGCGCCTATCCCTCTCCCGCGCCTCCCCCTCTCCCGCACACCACTCACCTCTCCTACGCTCCCCAGTCTCCCCTCGACGTTTTGCGCTCAACACTACGCTGTCTTTATTTATTGTATACATATTGTTCTTTATTTATTGCCTAATGTTGTCATGGTCATATCTTCAAAGACAGGTGGCGGATATATCCGCTGCATTTCTACTCATATACGGACGGGTAGCGGATATGTCCGCATAGTTAAAAATGAATAAAAAATTAATTTGACAGTATGAAGTGTTCTATTTTGTTTATTTAATGTATACTTGTAAACAAACCACTAATAAGGAAAATTAATTTTTATTTTTTCCTATAATTTCTTCCCGTTCTATGTCACGATTTCGCCCGTCCGGAAAGGGTTAAGTTATGGTCTTGGCTAGAAAATCATCTTATCAGCAACAAAGCTTCAAAAGACATCTCCCTTTTCCCTTTTACACTTATCACTCACTTGAACTTGTTTTACCTTAAAATAAGCATACATTTGATCACTACTGTCTCAAAAGAAATGATTTATTAACTTACCTTCCCCATCCCAAGAAGGGGGCGAGACACCAGATGAGGGAGTGAGCCCAGCAGAACAGAATCCTGGCCAAAGCTGTCTTGATGGTCATGGGCTTGGCAGACAAACCCTGGAACAAACACAACATTATAAAGCAAAGGTCAAGAATGTAAACCAAATAATAGTCAAGATACTTTGTGCTCAACCAGAACAATAACTTTTATAATAGTGAAATAAGTGAGGTGTTATAAGTTATACCTTGACGATGACGTTGTATCTGTCGTTGGCGATCATAACCATGGTCCAGATGGATGTGCAGCCGAAGACGGATCCCAACATGGCGTAGAGCTCGCACATGAAAGGTCCTGAGAAATAAACACAACATAGTCAAGAGATTGGCGTGGATTAAACTGACTTGAAACAATGATTATATTAATTTATATGCAATTTCGAGGGGAGAAGGAGGGTGCTTAGTAAGGCCTAGAGCGGGTTTTAAGACAATCAAGAGCAAACTATGGGCATTTTGAGATTGTTCAAAGTCAAAGTAAGGTAATTAGTTTGGATAATTCTGAGACTTTTAATGAAACAAGAGGTTTATAGAAAAATGGAACATGGATGATAGCTATTGTTGTATGGGGTCTTAAACGATCATAGAAACTCTTTTACAGGTTGATACATTACCAAAATAATAATCCATGTATATAAGAAACACTCACCAAGAACCCAGGTTTCGTAGTAACAATTTAGAACCATAGGCGGCGACATTGTGAACATCATAAGAAAGTCAGAGAAGGCAAGGTTGACGACCAGGAGGTTGGAGGGTGACCTCAGGCCCTTGGTGCAAGAGAAGATGTAGACAACCATTCCGTTACCCATGACACTGATGAACCCTAGCACCACCATGGCAAACCTGCAGCAAGCAACAGTCTGGTTAGGGGATTCAAATACTGTTAGATACAAATGAAATGACATGAAAATCCTTCTTTGTTGAGGCAAACTTAGGACCTCACGGTCCTTTCTTACAGTTAACCTATAGGTATTACAAGTAACAAGTAATAGACATACTGTATTATTAATTTTGTTGTTTAAGTAAGTAGGGCATCAGGGTAATGATTGGGTTGGTAGAATTGGAGTTAACAGTAGACGTTGGTTTTAAAGTTACAGACTTAAAAATACATTAGTAGAGTCCCCTTATTCCAAACTGCAGGGCTGCAATTAGGACCAAAACTTGTTTGGATTAGGCAAATTTAGACTAGGCTTATTTGTCATACAATACAATGACTTCAACTACTTAAATTGTCTTATTCATCAAGACCTGAGGGTAAGAAATCCCCCTTACCAAGAGATACCAAAAAAATAAACAAAATACTAAGAAAAAGAAATAAATTATGGCAATGACTATATTGATTATAGATTAAAAATTTAAATATACATTAAAAAAAAATTGTATATTTACCCTAATAGAGAGTGCCACAGGGGGTTCATGGGTGGGAACTGGTACCAGTGGGCATCCACCATGTACAGCATCTCTGGCGGCACCTGGGGAAATAAAAATATTCAAAATAGCAATACAAAATACATTTTCCAATGACCTTTATTTTAAAGTACAAAAGCCTAGTAAAATCGGTAATCTATTTCTATAATAGTAATGACTGAGGAAACAGACTTACAACTGTGTATTAAATATATATGTGCACAATTTTTTTGTATGCCCAGTAAATCTCATTTCTTTCTTAATCCATCCATGATAGCTTCATTAAACAACGTATCTTTTAACTAATAAAAATGCAACAATGTGAAATGTGAGAAAATATCAAATTACCTTGTCGACCACTGTCTGGTTGCCGAAGCCGCCTTGACTGGCCCATGAGTAGGCACTGAAGCTCGGCTCAGAAATCAGAGTCATGGCTGGAAAAACAGACAATATATAAAACAACCAGAAAAGGTATATGCAATAGTAATAGTTAAACTAGAGTTATACCAAAGAGTTAGTGCAGTTAGCAAACAAGGAAAATTGCTCTAAAAAATAAAATAAACGAGCATATAGGTTGTAAGCCATGAAAAACAAAAATAGTAAATAGAAATCTTGAAGATATGAAAACCTTGTAGGATTAAACATACAGTAACCAGTAGTAAAGTAGGTACAGTAATGTAATACTCCAAAGTAAAGTATCATTATTAGTTGAAAGAATATGGTGAAATACTAATATGTCACAAGATCATATTATTAATTTTACTTTACACTTTATATCCAATTTAATTCATACACAGCCTATATTAGTCCAACTATTGTTATCCAAAGCACAATTACTTTTAAATTACACACTGTAAAACCCTGACATATATCAGGCAGATATTGGAAAATACAATTGCCATTGGCCACGTTTTAACAGAACACACTTTATGACTGGTGGTCATTTAGCGAAGCACTCATCAAACTTTCAAGTCTCTTATGCAAACAAATCTAAACCAATCACCAATCGAAACTGATTCCAATCAAGCAAAACACGTTAGCCTGGAGCCATTACATATTGGGCTGCCTCCGTTATTTTATTACGCTTCCATAACCATGTTATAGGGTTTAAAATTCAAATGTTCATGTCCTAAATTTGATTTAATTCCTAAATCAACGGAATATTAATCAAGATGAATATTTTCATCGTGTCTGGCGCTTTGTTTGTCTTTAAACAATGAACAGCGCTTAGATTGTCTATTTGTTTAACAACTTTTATTTGAGTAAATATTTTGTAAAAAAATTTCAAAAATAAAATTAGGATGTATAGTAGTTTTAAAAGAAGGCATAAATGTGTTCAAAAATCCATCGTTTAAAATTTAATGATTCCTTCAAATATAACATTTGCTAATAATTTATAATATAAATAAAATTATATAATATTAAATAATATTATTAAATTTATAATAATATAAGCTGTTGTACCCGTGCTTTGCAACGGGAAGAGAACACGAAATAGAAACATTTTGATCTTTACATCTGTTGATAAAATAGTTAGACATAAGCCTTAAAAAAAATACCTTTATGGCCTTAATAGGATAGCTTTTGTCATAAATGTAAAAAAAATAATAGTACTGCGCCCTGTTGGTAAACCTTGTAACTTTTTAATGCTATTCAATATCATAGAACAAACTTGTGTAGTTGAAACAGCTGACAAAATTCTTTTATTCCTTTTAAATACGATATTACTCATAAGGTTAACATGGGCAACTCCAGAGCCACTGGGGCGGAGCCCGAAAGGACTTTTAAGATAAGAATGCGTCTATATGTTAATCGGGAATGTGAGCTATCATCATACCAAATTTCAGCCCAATCCGACCAGTATTTTTCGCGTTTACTTGTCACAAACATAAATCCATCCATCCATACATCCAAACTTTCTCAATTATAATATTAGTAGGATGGCATATTTTAAAGTAAAACAATCATTAAAACACTCTGAATATAGTTCAGCTACCTCATTCATTTGAATTTTATATCCTGACACAATATTTAGACTACCTACACTAGAATTAATTTAACAGTTGAATCAATATTATGGAATCAATTTGCATTACCTAAGCTAGAAAAAAGTTTAATTCGTAAACGTTGAATTACACTTGTTTACAGTTGAAGGCTACATTGCAATAAAAACGTATTTACTCATATTAAGCTTGCATAATTTGAAATTCGCTCTAAAAATTAACTTTCACCCAATTATTGAACAAATAATATCAAATTACTAGAGAGAGCCAGAACGGCAAGATCCGAGACGCAGGTCAGCAATAACGCCTGCCTGGTGTTGTCGGCAATTCTGATACTGATACTATTTTGCATATCTCAATATTACAGGCGCTGTATACCAGACCATGACGACCGGAGTTGAGTGTGCAATCGCTCTGATCCTTGCTAGTTAACATTGCTGTACTACCGGGTGGACATTTATTGTACATTTTTTAAAATGGATGTATATTGTTCGTAAAAAGACTTATTGGTGTTTGAATTGATCTAGGAGTAAAACATGAGAAATTTAATTGAAAACAACGGTTTCAATCCATCGAAAAAATTAAAACATGAAATTTTTAGCCTACTCAATTTGTGTTAGTTCATTATAGGTTGATTTTTCTTACTTAAATTTGAAACCACTATTGCTAAATCGTAAGGTTTAAAGAAATTTATTTTAAAAACAGTTGTTTCCATAAAAAATCATTAAACTTAAAACTATTTTAAACAATCAAATTAATTGCAAATTCATAGAAATTTAAGAACTGTTGATATTCAAAATAAACGGAAACCTTAAAACCATTCAAATTTCCCCAATAAAGGTAAAAAAAAACTAGATAGCCACTTTTTATAAAGCTAAATTTGCGTTCTAGATAAATAAAAATGTTTAAATAGCAACAACTGACTTTACAACCAAGACGACGTATAAAATATATTTAGGTAAAAGTTATAGTGAGTTAGAATTTATTTATATTCATTTAGTAAAATTGTTTGTTATGGATATTGTAATTGACAGATATAATGGGTAATCTAAAATTTTTCCTAAATGACAAGCAGTTTCCCATGAAATAATTGTCGGTATTTGGAGATCTTTCATTTAGACCTTATTGTCCTTCACTTGAACCTCCATATATTTTACTATGCAAACGATTCATCTAAGAAGTGTTATTGCTCAATTACATTCTATTATAATAAAAAAATAAACAAAATAAAACATTTCTGTTACCTGCGAGTTGTTATTTCACTGAAGAAAATCGAAAATTCGAACTACTCCAGGAGGTTTGGATGCAAAGCCGCCGGACGCCGGGATGCGAAGAAGAGACACCTGGGGGGTAAACACCTCGAAAACCTCTGTGTCGCAGCCAGCTTTATACGTAGCCAGTAGCCGTAGACAGTCGGGTACGCCCCCGCTGTCGTCTTTAAGGTGACGCTAACAAGATGAGAAGGGAAGCCCCGGAGGTAATCCCATTGTCGCCGAACTCCAAGTGAGTTGGGCAAGGTGGTCTGCACAAGGTTTCTGTTCAGTTATGAAGGTTATGAATATTGATGATTATGAAGGGAAATGTGAGGTAAGGGATCCCTCCTTAATGGATTGAGGATAGTAAGAGTCTAGAGTCAGTGTGTGATTGTATTACTGATTGATCAATTATGATAGCATTGACTCTTGGATACTGTTATGTTTGTATTCAAATAAGTTAGTTGAAATTCGTATGTGTTGTCCGCTACACGTTTCACTGTAGAACTAGTGCATAATTTCAATTAATCGTTGAGATGGGGACGCCACCAATGTGCGTATTTTAATCCAAATATGAAGGATGGTTGTAGAACCGGCGACCTTTTGATTGCTAGGCGAGGACTATAACCACTCGGCTACTCAGCCAGTCATTCCAAACGGGAATCACCATAAAAGTATGATAAATGCTGATGTATAACTTAACCTGGAAATGTATGAAAAGTCTTAAGTTCTAGTTCTAGCTAGAGACAAATAGAATTTGTTCAAGGTCCAAATCAGCTGAATTGAGGTATAAATACATACAGACCACTAAGGAAAAGTCCGTTTAAATTTACTGTCCCGGTATAGACATTGACAACAAGGCAATGATCATGAATCAAACAGGTAACTACTAAGATTCAGAAGTAAACTGGTTTTTTTCCAAGCTTTGGAATGAAAATAAAACTAAAAATAACGATATCACATACTGTGAACACTAGAGATAAAACCATTGACTTTCGATCCTTCAGGTCCCTCTCATCCTATTGTAACATTTGCTTCATGTTTTGACGTGCTTCATGTCGGATTACACTTGAGTGTTCTGAAGTCGATTAAGTGTTTCTCTCCCACTTCAGGGTAAATTATAGAGAGTGTGATTTTCTCTCAGGTTGAAATAACAGAAAACAAGAACTGTTATAGGCCTACTAGAAGACATGTGTGCAAATAACGCATCTTAGTAGGGTTCAAAACATTTTACCGAGACAAAAAGAGTAATACCATATCTATATCTACGTTTAAGGGGTATGTTCGTTTAAGACAATTATAATGTACAATAAATTAAATTCCTTGATCTTAAACATGAAAAAAGTGGTTTTTATAATGTCATTTACCTACCTCAATCAAGTTATGATTATAAAAAGTCATACCCACCTTTCAGCTACAAGTAGCTTATTTAAATTCCGTTTTCATAAACTGTTTTGTCTCTTGTTTAAAATCTGAATGCGGTTGAAAATCCAAGTGAATGATCAAAAACTGTTAATTTGACATTCATATTTAAACCGTTATAAAAAAGTTGGTCAGCATCTATGAATCTTTGAAAGCAAAGTAAATCAAACGCTAAGGGACAGAGCCCAAAAGGAGTTTACCTTTAAGTTAGCATTGTTCCTCTACATCTTAAGCTACATGAGTATAAAAAACCTTTGACTAGCGATAGAAGTCTATGTAAATTGACCATATTACTCATTAGTCAATTATATAACCCAAAGACATATAACAACTCTTTTTTAAGATGATTGGGGTTTCTGTAAAAATTGAACTTATGGCTTATTATAGAACAGGTCTTATTAAAAATAACTGTTGGTTAACTTATTAATGAATGAAAGTTTTATGTGGTATTTGAACCATATTTATACTTTAATATCACTACCATATACGCTACATGCGTAGTGTTCATTCGCACAAAACTATTGATTACCGGAAATTATTCAGCTATTTCTTCTACTCGCAAAGGTATTAAGGATTTTAAATATCTTTAATAAACATTAAATTACAATCTTTTGTTTCAGTCTCTTGAAGGACCAGCCACTTTTCTTCAATGATGTTTTGTGCTGGACAGATCACCTAGTTAATTATCGGCCTTTATTGGACCTTTTCATATAGATTGAACATAACTATGTTAAGGTTAAACACTTAATCACCTACATGTGCTCTATTGACAGCATTGTCAGTTGTAGTGCCTTGTATAGTGGTGGTTTCCCCACTATTTCCCACTAGATTCCCAGGCGTATATTGTTCAACAATTGCAGAACCCAAAGTTCATGTATAATGGATTGATTCTCGGAGTTGCCTCTCCCAACAAAAGACTCGTTGCAAGCAACAGGAAGCTTGCCAATCCAAGGTTGTTCGTAGGGTTTCCCCTAATTGTATTATCTTTCTTAACACCCCCCCCCCCCTATTTCCCGGGTACCTTGAAGGGGTGACACGTGATGGGTAAACAAGATCAGAAACTGGGGCAGCCACGCCCCTTCGTACACGCGTAAACAGATGGTTTGGAGTAAACTAATTTTAAATTTCGTTTACTATTTTTAATTTTAGAACACATTTCCCTGTTTGGGGTTTTAATATGTGAAAAAGTAATCATGTAACTGACGAAAAACTTCTATTTTACCGATATGCGTAAATGGATGCATATTCGTAGTTTACGTTAGTAGAAAAACACTTAGTTTAGTCTTAAAATAATCCAGAGAGAACTAAATATGGTATAAAAGCTTTATCAATTATCAAACTTTTTGTTAGGTAAAGTAATATCTATTGCTCTATCCCAATGTCATTTATCATTGTAATATGAACACTAACACATCTTTTTATTTAATTTATTTGAGTTGGTAGAACTTTGACAAATAAAATTAATGTATACTTCTATATTTTAATTATAATATTTAATTTCCAGGACATTTTGTTCAAACGAGTACCTAAACATATAATTGATTTAGTCCGCTTTATTATGATTTAATAGCTTTGTGCACAAAAAATACTAACTTAACAATTGTTATCAACACTATAAACATTTTTATTTGTTTTGTAAAAAACACTGTAATTGAGTATTAGTGCCAACGAGTTATTACATTAAATTTAAAAGTACCTGGGGACCGAGCCTTGCTCGGTTGTGGTTAATTGGGTTTAATCGTTAAAACAATATCATAACCTGACACATTTTATAATTTACGAAAACCCTTTTTATTACAAATCATAGACATTTGATCGCTGAAATAATAAACATCTCTGTAGTGTAATATTTTACCGTGTAAAAGTATGCAATTTTAAACAAAAATAAGATACAATTTTATGATCTTGACTAAGTTTAAGTGACCCTCGCACAGAAAGGTTTCCCCCCTTTAGTCATTGAAATCCGTAATCTTTGCTTAATAGCTACATCTGATGTTTTTCCATTTGTACTGTATTTTGTCATTTGCTAGTATACTGTGGATAGCTTGTTATAAACACCTGCTAAAGTTTTTTTTTTTTTTAAATTTTTCCTTGTTATTTTATTCAACCAACATTAAGGCCCAAATCATCAACCAAATGATCAAATTGGCAACCCATAAGGCCAATGCTAAACTTTTACGTTTCAAAATGAATTGTGTAGCGAAATTATGAATTTTCCTGAGGTAGTGGCTGTCACCAATCTCGTTTTTAGGGCTAAAGTCCCTAATTCAAAAATTTAGTCAAAATCCTTCAGCTGGATTTCGAGATATATGTTATAGACAGACAGACATTGCTCGTATTACAGAATAACATTGACGCCTGTTGGCTCCCGAGATATTTAAGTGCTGACCTCTGTACGTTGTCACCTATGTCAATCCAATAAAGCATACATTAATAATATTGCTGTAGGAAGCTCCATCTATAGTATTATATAAACATGTTATGGTGTCTGTCTTTACTTGCGTATGTATGTGTGTGTTTTACTAAATCACGTAAAACCACTATACCGTTTGGACTTAAATAAACAAAATATTGCTGCTATACTAAGGAAACATTTAGAACTACTACCGCTTCGATACTGACCGAGGGCTCTAAAAGTATTAAGGTGAGGGGTTTAAAAGTAAACATCAATTGGTCTACATGGTATCAATCAAAATACTCACAATATTTACGTGTTACATATGGCTATCCAAGCAAACCAAAACTTAAAATTATGATTTAAAATTGTTCTAACTATCAAACACCTTTCAACGTTACAAATTTACAGTTAAACGGCAATTTCTAGAGAAATTAACGTAAACGATGCCAACGTAGATTCAAATCCCCCGACGCGGAAGCTCAGCAGTTGTTGAAATAGTTGGAAGTCCCCAACGACCTTATCACCTTGATTGCGAGGGAAAATTCTCCTTTTCATTGAGACAAATGGGCTGTAGATTTCCGCCTAAAGGCAACTTTAATTAAAACGCCCGTGAACGTTTCGGGAAAGCGAGAACTCGGATTTTTATTGGTCCTTAATTAATTCAAGGTGTTTTATTGCCATTGAATTCCTATAGATGAAATATAACCGTTTTTTTGCTACTGATGAAACTTATTGATGTGTGGTTCCGTTACTAAGGCGTATATCACTTTGAAAATGAAGTTTAAAATTATACAATCGGGTAGAGTTTCAACTATAGTAATGATGTTTTGTTACAATACCATTTTACTAATCAGCTCATAATGGTTTTTTCTGAGATCAAAAGTTCATTTGAGCCAAACATCTAAGTATACATCTATCATATTGTAGGCGTGTATTGTTGGAATGTAAATGCCATACATTACATTTAAACATATATACTACCCTTAAGAAAGGGCGACTCCGGAGACACCTTTTTATAGAATATAATTTAAAAAAACTGAATTAGGAATAGGAATCGAATTTCATTGAAAACAGAGTTAAAAATTTATGTTGAATTCCATTAGAGAAAGCTCTTATAATTTGTACCAATATAATTTTAAATTTGAGCACACTCTGTAATTGGCTCTTTAAAAAGGTTTTTAAAAATTGCTATATCTGATCCATATAGATGGGATATACTTCAATGCAAAAGTCAATGCTTGACTGAAAATCCTTGACAATTTAGTCAATGATAGTCGAAAAATGTTGTTTGACTAAACCAACGAGTAATATTATCAGGAGGATTATATATCAGGACCTTTCCAACAGCCATAAATCAAATTATGATGTTATTTACCAACAATACATTCTATACACAGAAAATAAATATAATGCTACGACACCGGTTAACCTACTTTGTTACACAATATGAGCGGACAAATCGAAAACATTATAATCGATGGCCTAAGCGATCTACAGCAATTCTCATTGTACTGTCTCAACAATGTGTGATCGCAGAACTCCCAGAGGGGAAGAGACATCTCCTAATGAAACTCGTAAACTCCCAAGTTATAGCAGTCTCCTGGGCTAGCAGCTCATTTGGATATCTCAACTGAAATATTCAATAGCCTAACTAAATTACTGAAATATGTGTCTTTCGAACAATTATTTTTTATTAGGATATTCTGATAAAACTGGTCACAGTTGTACTCGTAATCTAGTTGCATAATCTAAAATAAAAACATTACAATCAATGTCCTTTGAATGCAATTAGTATTCAAAATATTACCGATAACTTTTATTTATTGGTGAAATAAGTTCTTCAATACAGATAAATTTCTCTTCTCCTGAGATAAATAATACTTGATTGATCTTCAGCTCAATATAGCTCGAAGCCACCGAGTCTCATCTTATGCTAAGGATAAAAACCTTTGGTGATTGTTGGAGCTCAACCTCAGGCCACCAGTAGTGTTCTAACTATTAGACAATCTGCGCAGCGCCATTTTTATTCATTACACTTACTAGACCTTATCATGTTTGACGGGTCTTGTACTCCATGGAAAACAGATCCAAACAAATACCACAATTATTAATTGATGATAATAATGACAACAACATAAGTGAGTCGATACAAATTAGGACCTCTATTAGGCCAACAAGGTAATGAGGATTAATTAATCATTCGTCTGATAGAGATGATCATATTTTTAAAGTCCATCCAGTATCATTATTAGTATTCACTAAGAATGCATATGATCTCATATACCAAAAAGGAATATATATATATATATATATATATATATATATATATAATTAACATAATTTCAAGTTAGAAATTTTCCTTTCATGGCCAGTCAGGTTCAATTAGTTTCATAAGTAAAAACTATTTATGACAATTTAATACTCAATTCGCATATTTAAGTGAGTAATATATATATATATAAATATATATATATATATATATATATTTATTTATTTATATCTTACAGGAGACAGAATCCTAATACAGGAACACTATAGGAACAATTATAGGAAACAGATACCTGATAATTTTATATCCAAACGATGAGTAACACAATATTAAAAATTAATTAAGTTTGGATAAATGTTTGAACAATATGTTTACTCTATCTGACCACGCGTTACTAACGAGCGTGTTCAGTGAACAGTTTAATACGAGTTTTCTCCGTCAACGAACCGAGTAAAATAATTCTACCTTACAATGATTACTCCAGTCGATAACCAGCTAATGAAACAAAAGAAAATATGAAACAATTTCCAACAAACTTTAGCAACTTATTGAGACGAGAAAGTTTTAACGGTGACTAGAGTATTATTGACTAGGTTCTTATTGACTACGGTACCATATTTTAGAAGTTTTGAATTGAAGAGAAGTGCTTTAGATTAGTATTTAATACAAACATTTGAAATACGTACTACTAATTAGTTTACAAAAATAATTTATTTAACGTTTCCTTTTTGAACTTAAACTATTCTTCCATGCTGAGCTGGAAAAATACGTTCTTGTTCTTTTCCTTTTCCTATTGAAACCACAATTTGACTCTTTTTCGTCCTCACTGCTTTCGTTCTCGGGACTATTTTCTATGCACGAAAACCCCTTTTTACGTTTGGTTTTTGAAGAAAACTGTAGAATACGAAGTAAAAGCGAGATCATCGCAGGCAGCTGGTTTTTACCATTGCTGCAAGAAGACCTTGCGGGGTCATTGACAGAATTTGTAATGTCGAAATTTACTTCCGTCAATACCGTCGTGATATCTTTGTCTGCGGAAGTATCCAAATGTCGACACAACGTCTGAATGTACCGTGAACCCACATTTGTCACACCTGGAACGTGAGAGAGAACTATGAGAAAGTCTGATATGTTGGGGATGAAGTAAGACTTTCCCATATTACGTTCATTTGCCTCATCATCATCAATTCCACAATGACCTCTAGCTCTTAGCCCACGTCTGTTTCCTCCTCTAAACATTTCATTGTAGCTCTGAATGATGAACAGCTTCGGCTTATTAACCAAGGTTGGTGAGTTCTCAGCAATAAATTTGTCCCAGAGCAAATCCACTCTGAACAATTTGTCTTTGGCTGCGAAATGTCCACCGAATCCCTTTCCGAGGTAGACAACCACTAAACCATCACAGTCTGAATGATCTCTTTGACTGAGTTCTTCTACGGTAGAGCTTATTTGACAAGCTGTCAAATCTTTGTAGAAAAAAACATCAAACCCCAAACTTATGAAGGTCCTGGACAAACTGTTGACGTCGTTGACCACTAGACCACTGTTGCCTCCTTGGTAGAATATAGCTGCCACTCCTCGCCTGCTGTGGTCCATACGGTAGTGGGTTGCGTCTTTCTCAAGACCGCTGGATTGTTCGTCTTCGTCAACCGAAGGCCCAGGGATGACTCTGGGGAATATGTCATCCAAGAGGTCTGGATCACCTTGGAGATCAAAGTTACTCATGATGCGACTGCGAGTTAAATGAATGCAATCATTTGAAAACTGAAACTGTGATTTTGAAATAGTCTACCAAACAAAACATTTTGTTTACTAAATGTTACAGCTGTTGATTCCAGCCAAAGTGAAATATAAAATTAAAGAAAAAGACAAAGTCTGTAGCATTAGTAATGGTTTTAATAGCCAGTGGTAATAGTTTGGCAATGTATGTAGTTGTAATGTTGAAATTTTTGTGATCAATGATGTCTATAGGATTAAGTAAGAGCATAAACGCACATAGAGAGTACAATTATGCGATATAGGTACAGTAATACGTTTTAGGTTTTAATAGGCTTTTATCCGCGGAATACAGTTTTAAAGGAACATTATTCGTAAGTGGAGTTATATATTCACAGACTGGGATGGTGGCGTCGTCCTGTAACCCAACTACTAGGAGGTCACAAATTGTGGATATTTATGGCATGCACTGTGGCTGTGATACTCCCTGGTGTGGATTAACGTCCGCACTAGTGGGTACTACGACTATCCGCAGTACTATCATGATAATTAGACCAATTCGAATACCACGGCAAAAATGTGGTTAGGATTCCACTATAAACTGTAGGTCTCTTAGTTGCCATTAGCTGCATGGGTTATTAATTAACAGCTGTGTCTAAGGAATATGTCGGCCTTAGTCACTAACAAGACTACAAGATCGCACCACTCATCCTACACTCATCCTTCACTCATACTAGCTGTAACCCGCGGGCTTTGCCCAGTTTAACTTCTTAATTTTCAAGATGAGCTCGTTCGCATGGCTCAATCACGTCCTGGTTGAAGTTCGTTCGCTACGCTCACTCGCCTTTAGGTTGGAGCTCGTTCGCTACACTCACTCACCTTTCCTTTAGGTTGGAGCTCGTTCGTGCGCTCACTTGCCTTCAGGTTAGCTCGTTCACTACGCTAACTCGCCTCCAGGTTGAAGTTCGTTCGCTATGCTTACTCACCTTTTGGTTGCAAATTAGCCGTTGTCATAAATGTAAAAGAAATAATAGTGCTGCACCCTGTTGGTAATCCTTGTAACTTTAATGCTATTGAACATCATAGAACAGAACCAACTTGTTTAATTGAAACAGCTGTTAAGATTCATTAATTCCATTTCTCATAAGGTTAACATGGGAAACTCCAGAGCCACTGGGGCGGAGACGATTGGGCGGATCACGAAATTGATGGTGTATAAACCTATTCCACGAAATTCTACACGTATGTACCAAGTTTCGTGGCAATCGGTTCAGCGGTGTCTGAGTTTATCACTGCCAAATATACAAACATCCTCTTTTATACTTATAGATTTGGGTTATAAAATACGCACATAGTGGCGCCTCCTTTGAAAATAATTGATAAGCAGTTGGCTCATAATTATATTTAAAACATATGATCTTTTAACCGTTAAATGTAATGTTAAGATTTTATATCCTTGTTTAAAATGGGTCTGACTTAGGGGAGGTACGATTGAGGCATTAGTTCAAAATTCCTCCGTGAACAGCGCTGTTGTAGAGAGCACTTTGGCAATGAAGGTTTACTAATCGCAAAAATAGTTCTGTTCATAAAATAAAATTATAAATGCCTCAAATTCAATTTTATTATTTTTTAATTATAAAATTAAACTATCATAACCTAACCGAACTAACCAAACTTGCTGATAATGAAATAATGTAACAACAGTTTAGTAATAGAAAAAAATAATTCTGTTTAGGCCTATTAAATAAAACTAGAAATTACTCAATTAAAATGTTAATGACTTAATAATAAAATTAAACTGTCATAACCGAACCAAACCAACCAAACTTGCTGATAATAAAAAAATCTTGGACAAAAAGTTAATGTACCAGCGGGATTGGAACCCGGGACCTTCGGCATATCAGCCCGGCACGCTGACCACTAAACCACCAAGGCCGTCGGCTACACCTGGTTTTGTCGAGTTTAGGAAAGATGGGGACAAGGAAAGTTAGGGACACGGAAAGTTAGGGCCAAATAGGGGTTCGACCGGGGGGGGAGGGAGAGATTAGCTGAACTAGACTCTGAAACTACTCTTTTAGAACGAATCGTTCTCCTGTTTCAGTTCACAGAGAGCTACAGTAAAGGGGGTTGACTTCAAAATCATAATTTGAATATTTCCAAACAGTAAACCAGCCATTTTTAACAGTTAATGTTAAAAGTCAGTCAAGTACTGATTGATCCAGGCCTAATCACCTAGGTTTGCTAGATTCTTTTTTACGCATTTTGGGTAAGTTAAATATATATTACAGAAAATATAAACGCATTCTATGCAACAATATTACTGAATATAATGTAATGACACATTTTTAAGATATGCTGACGTAATTAGTTTAAAATTCAAATATTTTTGTTTGCACATTGCGTCGGATCATGGTGTGTTACTTTCATGTCTGATGGACATTTTATCTCTGAATTTCTGATCCGCTGTCATTTTGTCGGAAACGCTTAAGAAGACAATATTTTATGCGGCCTACTCTGAGATAATTACAGGACTGGTCAAGATCGAATATTTTGACATATATTTTAAAGGAAAATTTAGTGATTATTTTTAAGTTGTTCAAATCGGTTTACAAGGCTTTGTAAAAATAAAGCGAAATATGTTACATTATATTACCCGATAGTTAAAGATTTTCTGGCCAAGGGATCCTTGGCTGGATGGCTGGATCCGCCACGCGATTACTCTTTTTTCTTATATTCACTAAATTGGTGAAAATGGCCCAATGTATTTTTTGAAATATAATTACGTACGTTCGTTACAATTGCTTACAAGGCATTTTATATTTTGTTTTTTTTTTTATAAAAGGCTTGCTGCTACGGGGAAGATATTGAGGGGTGTTTTTTTTTTCAAAATGTTAATAGCTTAGTATGAAATAAACTAAATTGCCAAATTTGATTAAAATATATCCATAAACAAGCAAACTACAACAGTTTATTTGTTCTCCATAAGAATAACACATGAATTTAAATTTACAATTTTTTAAATTATCTCCGTAACCGTTAGACATACAACAACGCTTCAATATAAAAAATGATTTCTTTAGCGAAATCCTTCCGCTGCATATTGAGATATATATTTATTCTATTTATTTGTCTATAATATTACAGACACACAGACAAACAGACATAGCTCGTATTAGAGTATAGGATTGAAGATGCATCAGCTGTTAGAGTTGTTGTTATTTACTCGTATATTTTGTTTGTTTACTTTTTTCCAGAGTTAATATTTTATTCTCATAATAGGCTAGGTGTTTACAATTACAATAAAGTTTTACTAGTTTTGATTCTGCTACACAGTTTTATTTTTATACAATATATTTTCATTTAAAATAAGCAATAAGTACGATTGAGAGTTGCCAGTATAATTTTAATGGTTAACGTGTGTAAGTGTTTTTTACTAAATTATTAGAATAATAAAACTAAATCTACAACTTTATAACAAATAATATCTACTTCAAAATCAGGTAACCCCAAAAGCTCTCACTTTTATGTATATGCTCGTCGCCGTATGGCTTATAACAACACCACCAACGTTATAATCTTCTTTGGCATAGTTATATTTATTTTACAATAAAATAACTTATAACTTAAAGATACAGGTGTAAGTTTGTAGGAAGAACACATTTCTAAACAGATCGGCATTTGTTTTCAGACGAAATATTATATCGTCACATTGTAGGTAAGTGACGTTTTGTAAAGAAAAAATAAACGTTCTTTACTTACTTATTACTTCAAAATATACTCTTTACATTAATTGATCATTCCATCACTAAAATCGCCTCACACCTTTATGTAATGCAATTTGGCTATTCCATATAGGTGTGAGTACAACAAAAAGTTGCCCCCTGGTGGGGTTTCAATGAATTTAATTTAGTTGATCAGACAACTGAGGACCAATCACAGAGCCGGCAGTGGAAGTAAGATGTTGTATTGAGCCCTGATAATTGTGTATCCCAGAAGTCCGATTTATGGACCGTTGAGAGGTCTGATATGTCCTCCTGAAAGTGCTTTCAATAATCTTAAACGTAACACTTCTTAAGATGCAATAAAAAGTATATCAAATACTCTGAATGCAAAATTACACTCTTTGTTGAAACTTTGTTAAAACATTGGTTTTGACTCTGAAATATTGAGACGATTATGCAAAATATTGATGAACCAATATATAATAAATTATGTGTCAATTGACTACTTAATGATATTGTACTTTATTGCAATTGTTCGGTTAAGCCGATTACCTTGAAAAGATTAACACAGGAGAATTAATAAAATTGATGAAAGAATAAGCTTTGTGTAATATCACTATAAATAATACAAATATTACAAATAATCAATATTAATATCCAAGTTTCTGCTAAAATTAATAATATTCAAGTTTCAGCTATAATTTATAATATTCTAGTTTCTACTAATTACACTTCAATTTAATGTGAGAGAGTATTGATTGTGGTCTTTTTGACTTTCTTTCCTGAAATATTGACGGCAGAGCCTCGGGAACCTAGGTTTAATTTATTCAATCTGTTTTAGGCTATTAGGCTTCCCAAAGTATGGTATTTACTTACAACTGGCCAGTTGATCTTATGTGCAAAGGGGCTATTCGTAGATCTGTGTACAGCACACTTTGTTGCTCAGTAGCAAAATGGACCAAAACGACTACTGAGTCGTTTGTTTAATTTAAGTTAAAAATATGATTTTTATGGCGTTAATGGAAGCCTACCTTGTAGCCTGTATTGACACCTAACCTTCAACCGGGACAATGCTCTGATTGAAACCTGAATTTGCACCCAATCAAATACTCTCAGTGATCTCCTTATGTATTTTTGAAGTGATTTCAAACCCAAATATTAAAGCAAGAACAAATTGTAACAGTTTTACGTGACAGACAGCTGATTACCCTAACAATATAATTTGAATTTAAGCACAAAACTAATATGAAATTTAAATGGTATAAAAATTTACCCAAATTATTAATATAACAATATCTACAAATGTATCACAGTATGTATTTTAAAATAAGTAAATGGCAATAATTCTAAAGCAATGTGACTG